TCCCCTTCATCATTATTGGCCTCTTCTTTTCCGTGGTCTCTCTCTTTACCGGCCTGCTGGCCATCTGCACGCGCATTGGCAGCTACTTGTCTGGCTTCCTCGCGTGGCTGGGACTCACCTTCCAAACCATCACTACTTGCCTTATGACGTAAGTGAAAATTAATTATTGTCAGGTCTTCCTATAGTTCAAAGAGCTAACTACTCGGCAGCGCCGTCTTTGTCCAGGGTCGGGATGCCTTCAACCGCAACGGCCAGAGCTCCAAGCTGGGCGTCAAGGCATTCGCTTTCATGTGGACCGCGACCGCCTGTTTGTTCATATCTTGTCTGCTCTACTGCGTTGGCGGTGCGGTCGGTCGCAAGGATGGTGGATACAGCGGGCGCAAGGAGCGTCGCCGTGGATTCTTCTCTTCTGGTCGCTCTAACAGCGTGAAGAGCCAGAAGCAAGAGCAGCCTGCAGCTGCCTACGCTTAAAGTGGACTATCTCAACCCTCACAGTGGAGAAAGTCTACTTACGTGTTTCATGGCTGCCAGAAAAAATAGGGCAAACCTTCAGGCAATCGTTGAAACCCTTACAGTTTTGACGTCCTGCTTTCTCCCATACACACTTTCCTCTTCAGCGTTGGTTCCTTCGTAAGGAGGTCCTGCTTCCTTGAGAGTTTCTCTCGCTTTACTTTATCCCAGCTTATATTTGGATTGAGTTTCAAAATCCTCGACGCTCAATGCATACGCTCACTTAATGTTGTTACGAACTACCCACGATCGTTATCATGTCCCAATCCGTGTTTCAGGGAGGTGGTATGCGCCTGTACGGCGTGAATTACTTCGTCACTGGCACTACATCATTTTGTTTTTGTCCTCGACCACCACGAGGCCCGCGAAATGTTGACGACTTCAATGGCCGTCCGCCTTGGTCTTGTCTGATGTCTCTTGTCCGCATTTTTCTTAATTAATTGTTGTAATATAATTTCTATTTGGTGGATTTCATGCTTGGTTCCCTTTCCCTTGCCAGTAGGTATGATACAACGTAGAAGCTAGTAAAGAAGGGTCAAGAAGTGGAATGGCCTACATTGTTTTAGAAGGCGTTGTGGAGCACACACCTTGGGAGAGCTTAACATCCGTCGGATTATCAATTAGGGGCGAAAGGAAGTGAAGATATGCCATTTCCAATTGAGAGTCTATATAGATTGGGGGAACATGAGAGAGGACAGAAAAGGGGTTGACTCTAAAAAGATAATGACGGGAATACAAGGGAAAAGCACAGCCTCTATCAATCATGCATGCATCATCACACCATAAGGAGATCGCTTTTTGAGGGGAGAAATCTAAGCGGAGCCGTTGATGGCACCACGGACGGCGGTAGAGCCACCAATCTCGCGCACAGCGATCTGCAGACCCAGGTCGGGGTTGACATGGACCATAACCTCGACCTTGGAGCCGGCCTTGACACCCTTGACGGCGAGCTCGGCAACGGGGCTCTCGGTCTTCCAGACAATCTCGCGGGTGTCCTCCTCCTCCTCGTCAGAGTCAAAGTCGGAATCCTCATCATCAGCGGGCTTCTCCTCCTTGGCCTTGGGCTCAGGCTTGGTCACCTTGATCTCACGGGCACCCTCGCAAACGCGAACCAGAACATCGCCACCCTCCTTGGGGGCAGTGTACTGGGCAATGCGGCGAGCGGGAAGAGCAGTGTCGGCGTTCAGGAGGGGCTGGAAGCTGATCTTGTTGTTGGAGGTGAACTCAACACCGATGGCCTTGCTCAGGTGGGGGGTCACAGTCACCATGGGGTGGATGGACTGCTCAATATCCTCAGTGTCGAACTCCTGAACGAGGGAGGCCTGGAAAGCGGCACCGCGGGCAGACAGCTCAGAGGGGTTGATGGCGGAAGTGGAGGTGGAGGGGGCCAGGATGGTGGTCTTCTCGGGGAAGATGTTGGCAACCAGCTGAGCAATCTTGGGGGTGTGGGAGGCACCACCGGAGAAGATGACCTAGAATAAATAGTCAGCACCAAGCCAGAGGAATGTTTAACTAAGAAATTTTGGCACAACGACATACCTCGTCGATGTCAAGAACATCAAGCTCGGCCTTCTTGACAACCTGCTCGATCAGACCAGTGAACTGAGCAAAGACCTTGCCGGAGAGCAGCTCGAAGCGAGTGCGGTTGACGGTGGAACCGTAGTCAATGCCGTCCACCAGGGACTCAATGCTCAGCTGAGCATTGGCACTGAGGCTGAGAGCCTTGCGGGTACCCTCACCCTCAAGCTTCAGCTTGGCCAGGCCGCGGGCGTCCTCACGGGGGTCGGTCTTGTGCTTCTTGATGAACTCCTTGGCGAAGTGGTCGATGATGACCTGGTCCAAGGAGGCACCGCCAAGCTCGTAGTCGTGGGCGGTGGCCAGGATGGTGTACATACCACCACGGCAAGCAATGACAGCCACGTCAGAGCGGGTACCACCGAAGTCGGCCACAACGACCAGCTTGTCGGTCACGGTAGCCTCAGGGCGGGCATCGTAGGCCATGACGGCAGCGACGGGCTCAGCAATCAGCTGGAGGACCTCAATGCCGGCAGCCTTGGCAGCGGCGATGAGGGCCTCACGCTGGGCATCGGTGAAGTTGGTAGGGACGGTGATAACGGCAGCGTTAACCTCCTTACCAAGGAAGTCGGTGGCAGACTGCTTCAGGCGGCGGAGGTGGCGGGTGGTGATCTCCGAAACGGTGACAGTGTTGGGGGTCTCGCTCTCGGTGTCACGGATCGTGAAAGCAACGGTCGAGTCCTGCTGCTGGGGGTGGGCGGATTGGTGGCAGGGGGTGGCGTCGATTGACTTGAAGTCCTTGCCCAGGTAGTCCCGGAAGTATGCGACAGTGTTGCTGGAGTTACGGATGAGCTGGGCCTTGGCCTGGGTACCGTGGTACTCCTCGCCGTCAATGTAAGAGAGGATGCTGGGAATTTGACGGTCTGTATGGAAACGGCTCAGTTAACTTGAGTTGATGAAAGGCGGGGGTTCTCATATAAAAGACATACCTCCCTCTTCGTTGGCAATAACCTCAGCCTTGCCCTCCTATAAGATGTATTAGTTTCATGATCCTGGATCTTCTTTGGTATCTTTGCTGAACATACGGGCGAGATGCGGGCAATTGAGCTGGAAGAGTTGCCAAAGGAGATACCGATAGCGAAGCGCTCCGTCTCGGCGGAGGCACTGTTGACTGCGTCACCCATTTTTAATGTGAATGTGGTATTATGTGTCGAAATTCAAGAAAAGCGCTCCGCGTCACAGTGTGTGCAGAACAAAGTCGGGGGATGACCGATGAAAGGGTAATGTTCTCGATGGAGGGGGAATCCAAATCGAAAAATTTGAAGATTTTCGGCCGGAACGTGGCTCGTGCTTATCGATAGAGCTGTGGCGCAGTATTCGTCCTCCCCGTACTATCATTGGCGCTTTCAAGCCAAAAGGTGACTCTGCCCTAGGTCCTATCGATATCCTGACAACTAAAATTTCTTAATTTCCTTGTTAAAATTGGTCCAATTCCGCTATCCACACTCTCCCAATGTCCTTGCATGTACCGAGTACTCAATCGGAATTTACTTAAACCTTGGCACCGCCACTGAGCTTCTTCATCACGTGGCGATAACGAAGATAAGAGCAGCCGACGTTTTCTTCGGCGAGAAGCATTTACGGCGCATCCCACTCTTTACACCACGAATTGATCGCTCAAGCCGCTCTGAATCCGTCCCTGTCAAAAATTTAGGACACCAAAATAGTTATTGAACTTTTCAATCGGCGTCATGTCCGCACCCCTCATCCTGCTCCCGGGCGATGAGGTGCCCCGTGAAGTTCTGCCATCCAACAACTCGAATCCTCTCAAATTAGGCCCAGGCCTTCGCCTTCTGTCGCAGCTGTCATCCAAGTCTAAAGCCACCACCCATGTCCTGACAGCGACTCAAGCTGGCCTCGTCACTACCGATCCCAAGCGAAACACAGTCTCACTCCTCTCTTTTCCCAATCGCCGATACATCCCCACTGTCAACGACCTCGTCATCGCTCAGATCCACCACTCGAGCGTCGACTACTTCCACTGCATGGTGACGCCACACACAGCACACGCCCTACTGGGCCAATTGTCTTTTGAGGGTGCTTCAAAGAAAACACGGCCAATGCTCAAGCAGGGTGAACTGGTCTATGCGCGGGTTCTGTCTATTGGTGTTGGCGCAGGCGCAGAGGTCGAGCTTACTTGCGTCAACCCGGCCACTGGAAAGTCAGACCCCGGTGGACTGGGTCCCCTCGTTGGGGGTATGGTGTTCGACGTGTCCACTGGTATGGCAGCTCGGCTACTGCGAGCTAGCTCCTCTTCATCTGAGCAGAGCGATACCATCGATGGACTTGCGGTCCTCTTCGAGCTTGGAAAGAAACTGGAGAGTTTGGGAGGATTCGAGCTTGCCGTTGGTCGCAATGGTAAGGTCTGGGTTGATTGCTCCAATGCCGGTGATAGTGCGATCAAAGCCACAATTGCAATTGGGCGCTGCCTGCAGACTACGGATGAGAAGAGCTTGAATCCTGCGGATCAGAAGAAGCTGGTCACGAGAATTTTGCGTGAGATGAACCTGGCGTCATGATTACAAGTTCATTGTCTGCATTTTGATTCTAGGAGTATGGGTATCCGGTCATTTTGATTTTCTGTACATATACCATCCGCAATTGTAGTTATCTTTGCCAATGTGCCAATATCAATGTTGCAATGACATTCACATACTTCCGTCACCAGTAAGATATAGGCATGATTTTGGGTTCAATCGACCTGATAAGGCAACGCATTAGGTCTTCGTAGATTGTACCTTGCGATCTTTCCGAATACAAAAGAAACCTAATTCTTTGGCGGCCGTCTGCAGCCTGCCGCCGCAGCTGCATTTCAGATGGGTCTTGCGGGCGGTATCAAAGGCGGTCACAATATCTGCCGAATATCTTCACTTGGCGGCCATAAATTTTGGGAGCTTCACTTCCCCACGAACCATCTTAATTGCAATAGCCCGCGTTCGGCACGCCCCGTCTCGGCCTCACAAGATGGAGGTTGCCGAAAGCTCAGGTATGCTGGCAAATTCTGGTGCTGTCATTGTGCTTGGTACCATAGTCTGACATCTCGCAGTCATTGGATTTGCGAATCCACCGTCTACTACAGAAAGCGTTAGAATGAAGAGAAACAAGTCGCACAAGGCTAGACACACCGAAGAACTCCCCTTGACAGCTTCTACCAACGGACTTGCATCCTCGCCTTCCTCCAAAGATGACGGGTCACGGCCCTCGAAGCGCAAGCGAGACTCTGAACCGCACAAGAAGAAAAATAAAAAGAAGCGTCGCGAAGCAGAGGATGACGCAAATGAAGAACCGGATCAGACGTCTGATGAAGGAGAAGACCCGGGACAACCCCTTGATGTCCATTTAAAATCCGAAACTTCGCCTTCGAAAGAGACTCGAGAAACGGAGCAGGATGGAACTGGAAAGGCCTCTCTGCCTCAAGACTCTCCAGAACCTACATCTGATGCCACACCCAGTGATAGCCTGCTGAAAAAGGTGCGAGGCTACCGCATCGGTGGTAAAAACCAGCAGAAAGTCGGGTTCTTCATTGAGGAGGAAGTCAAAGCGCTGGAGAACTTCAAGGTCCAGTTTTGCAACATCCATGGCGTTGAGGGCCGTACCTTTGACGCAATGGTCCAGCACTCTGAGCGTGGCGGCGATGAATGGCCGGTAGGGACCCATATCTGCACCAAGGGCGATTTCTGGAATGATATCTATGCATTGATCCCCGACCGAGACCGCCGTTCCGTATATCGGTTCATGCGGCGACACTTTCAGAACACGACACAAAAGGCTCACGACTGGACCCCAGAGCAGGATGACGAGCTCATCAGGCTGCATGCTCAGCACGGGCCCAAGTACGCGCAGATTGCCAAACTTCTCGGCCGCAGTGACGATGACGTGACCCAGCGGTGGAAGAACCGCCTACAGTATCGGGCCACAAAGAAGACTGGAGCATGGAGCGAAGCCGAGCTACGCGCGTTCATGAGATCCTTGGAGGAATATCGAAACCTCCTGATTGCATCCTCGGCGGAACCCGAAAAGGCCGGCAAAGACATCTGGGAGATGGACCTCAAATCCATTTCGTGGGGCTCAATCAGCAACGGAATGGAAAACTGCCGAACTCGCCAGCAGTGCGCGGACAAATGGCGAAAGATCTCAAAGAACATTATCACTCTACGTCAGACTATTGACCCTAATGCCGTCTTTGATCCCGTAGAAGCAGCGAAGAAGCACCACCGCTGGAACGGAGTTACCGAGGGCGAGAAGAGCAAGGTGTATGTCGAAGATGACGATGACGAGGAAACACGGATTCCCAGCACCACGCCTGCCATCATCCCCAAGCTAGAATTCGCGGCCGAACAACAGGCTGTGGATCTAGCCCGAGTTGCGAAAGAGGCTTCGATTGAATCGTCGCCCTCGCGGGGTGATATCCAGGTAGATGGGTCATACAGCGTCGAGAAGACGAAAAAGCGCAAGCACGCCGACGCTGAGGAATCTGAGGACGATGATGACGACGACGACGATGACGACGACGACGATGACGACGCGACGCCCTCTTCGCCAATCTCAGATAACTCTCATAGTGAAGTGAAGACATCGCGAGAGGAAAAGCAAGAGAGAAGGCGGAAGAGGAAAGAGAGAAAGGAGCGGAAGAGACGAGAGGCTGCTGAAGCCGCCGCCGCCGAGGGGGTCGAGGAGAATGCTACCATCACCCCAAGGGAGAAGAAGCACAAGAAGCATCGCAAGTCCGAGGCCGATGGCAATGAGGTGAACGAACCCGAGCCGACCGAGTCCTCAAAGAAGAAGAGCAAGAAGGAGAAAAAGAAGCACAAGAAGGCCGCGCAGGAAGGAGATGCAGGTGTTGATTACACGAGTGACATTGAGAGTTCTATGGTTGTCTAGCATGGCTAAACACTACTGTTATTACTCGCGAGAGGATGTTTTGATACAATGAACATCAAGTTTGAAGCCGGAAGAGCTAATTGAAGCCATGTCCCGGTTGAATTGAAATCTTTCTTTAGTTAGCGAATTTGTATCTTTAATACGTGCCAACCTAGCCTACATGAAACGCTGTATAGTTGAAAGATGGACACAAGACATGCTGATACCTGAGGATAGCTTATCATATTTAAGTCCTCATAGTCAAATGCCCGCCCCTACTTAAGCAAAACCTTGTGGTTTGGAATATCTGTGGATCGAAAATTTATGTATCACCATGATTAAACTCATTCCTTTTTAGAAATGTGGTATGCTAGTTATCCATCCCACGGTTGTGTAGGATCCAGTCGGAAGAGCTCTCAAGGACGAAAAGACAAGGCCTATAATCCCCAGGCGTGCAATAACGTAGAAGTTAAAGCTAACAATAGTAGCAACAAGCATAGTCCATAGAGCGGGTGGGCGAGTGAGGCCAACCATAAAGGAAGGAAACAGGTCCTTTGAGTTGGGGAGCGTTGCAGCGTCTGCAAGACCACCGACTAGGCATATGACGAGAACCATAGTAATAGACGCGAGGGAAAAGACACGCCAACATATCAGTTCGGCGCGAGTTGCGAAAGGAAAATCCCATCTATATAGGCAAAGGTTACCGTTAGCTTATAGGGACGATCGCAGCAAAGGAAAAATTAAGCCTTACGCGACCATATGAACCCCGCAGTAAAGAAGAGCAGTGAGACTGCATATCACATCAAAGATGAAGAGTTCAAATGGCGTCATGATAAGATCATTACCACCTGCCTCGTCGGTCTTGAGATGCTCAATATCTCTGCGGAAGAAAGGCGTTCGAACGGCCTTCCATAAGGCAGACACCCAGTTGTTCTCGTTGACGCGAGCTCGCCCATGAACCCACCCGGTGGTATTCCCCTCTATCATATTACGGACCTCAATTGGCATATCATCACGAATACAGCGTAGATGGACGGCGATAGGCGTGCCCATGTCTTTGGGCTTATACCACCATACCCCATATATTAGAATAGCACAGGCCACATAGGCAATAGTTGATAATTCGATAGGTGAAACTGGTAGATCGTAGCCCCATCTTGCGACGACGTTACCTAAGAACCAGGTGCTTTGAAGGACGGTAACGAACTTTGCAAACGAGTCTGTTTTCGCTCGATCTTCGATATCCTGGTCTCGAAAGTCTGAACAGTGGACCACATCGGCCTGGATGAGACGTTTCATGTCGCGGGGCTGGATTGTGTATATCCATTCATCCTGCGTCTGCAACACGAGTCCACCAGCGATAACACAGAAGCATTGACGGAGCGTCCATTCGGTGTGGACTGGATGTAAATCCACGTGATCCAAAATTTCGACTTGTTCAAGAGGCCTAGCCCGTTGTGATAGCCATATATTTGGCTCTGATGAGTCCGTGTCTCGTGTTTTTTGAGCCTTATTGCACACTTTCTGCAAGGTTCTCGCATCGGCGAGCTGACCGGTCGCTCGTAGGAAGGTAAGCTCAGGGGCTAAGATAGTTAGAACCCACATACGCATTTTACTACTCGTACATTTCGCAACGGACGTATTGCGGGGAGGAACGTCCATGTGAAGAAGTGTCCATGTGCAGGCAAAAATTGTTGATAAACAAGCCCACAGGATGTCCCACGCGGAGCGACTGTTCCCGTCTAACTGCCAGCTAAGCAGAGGTGTCGAGCTAGACGCCATAGATTGGCCCACGAAAACGAACAACAAAACTAGGATGCGCATGGTGCCCAAAGAAGATCCATCTATCATGGGTGAAGGTGGTTGCAGATAAAAGAAAAGCTTCGCTTCTGGTGCAAGATGGGAGCGTTACGGCTAGGAAAGTCCCTGACAGCCACAAAAGACTTTATTTGCTAATTTCGTGTAAAATACACAGGCCGTAGTACTGAAATAGTAGTGTAAATACATAGAAAGCGGTCTAACTTGTATATCAAAGTAACTAAATTAACATCCAATCAGAACTCGTATATGTAGGATTTGTTTTTCGAGAATCAAGTCGAAAGAGTACGAGGTCAAACCGGATTCGAAAACTACTGTAGGCATGCTCGGCTCCCTAGATTCTAGATTTAAGCTGAATTCCACATAGAGTGGATGACGCTCCCGGCATCTAAATGCAGTAGGAGAATTGCCGAGAAGGAAGCATACGCCCCATGCTAATATTACATCTACTGTAGATTACTGGACGAATGGAAAAGTCAAAATTCTCCATAAAAGGGAAACTCATAAGATGCGCTCATACAAGGCAATCAACCACGGAAATGGACAACAAAAGAACCACAAATCTACCTTTCTATAGTTCATCCTTGCGGTCAACGTCCTCAACAATCACATCATCAACGGACACCTCCTTTTGTCCCGCATCCTCCCCGGTCTGCACAAACCCGACTTGCTCAGCGGAAACACGCTTCGCCAGCGCCGCAATCTCGTCATCATACACAGTCCATTCGGGCACCTGTCTCCTGGCCCGAGCCAGCTTAGGCTCCTTAGTCTGAGGGTTATTGCAAAGATCAATCGTCCTCGCCGACGCCAGGTCTTCGTCCGAGCACCACGTCTCACACCACAACCACTCCTGCGGCAAACTGTGAATCGGAATGTGATGCTGCATGTGATTCGGCAGGTCCTGGTCCAGGTTACTCAGACTGTTAGGATCAGCCGAAAGCATCTGGTACTGTCCTCGGAGGCGATCCCCGGCAGCGATAGCGCGGAAGCGGTTCAGATCGACCACGTACAGCGCCGAGATATGGTAGGGCTTGCCGCGCAGGAAAGTGCTCCAGTAGCCCTGTTTCCAGAAGCGGAAGCCCTCCATCTCCGTGCGCGAGTCGCCCATCGGGGTGAAACCGTACGGTGCGCCTTCCAAGTCGTGCGTGACGAGGTCATACATATCAGTTCGCACAATTTGGTCGGCGTCGACGAAGATTACTTTATCCAAGGACAAGGGGAACAGGACGTCCAGGAAAAGCATCTTGTACCCCCAGATCTCGCGCTGCTTCTCCTTTTGCGGACGCAGCCAGTGAGGCCACTTGTAGGTGACCATCTCGTACGAGAAGCCGTATTCTTCAGCAAGATGAGGTAGGAATGCGCGGAAGGAGGGTGAGAGGAATTGTTCAATGAACCAGAACTTGACGGTATGTTTTGTGTGCCGCATGACGGATACCATCATGATGTTGAGCATGCGCTCGTACAAGTGGCCACTGGCGACGGAGAAAATGTTGATATCGGCCTGTTGCTCCTCAGACTTGGAGCCCACACCAACACTGGAGAGCACGCCGGAGGCGAAATTGAAGCCCTTGGAAAGGTAGTCTCGCGCCGAACCAGGCTGAGCCCCTGTTTCAAGGACGTCGTCATTCTCGTGGCCGGGTTTGCGGGAGAGACGAGGGAAGAGGGTGCGACCCTGGAAGGATAGAAGGGTGACCTCGGTGCTCTCGTCGCCAGGCTGGGGCCGATATCCAAGGCCGCCGACACTGTCGATGTTGAACAGCTTCTCACTTCGACCAGGCTTGAGGTTGATCTGCCAGACGCCAGGCTGTGCCTTGAATTGGAAATAGCCCAGGTTGGCCATGATGATGGTGTCCGCGAAATGAGGATTATCTTCGGTGCCCAAAATGAGCTGGACTCCGCGGGGTGGGGAGTTGGTAGTAACATCCCGAGAATGGCCTTCAATCAAAATGTGTTCCAAAGCATAGATGGCATCGACATTGGCTCCAGCCTTGAGGGTACTCAGCTTGATGTTGTCTGGGTCATAGACAGACTCCTTGGGCGCCACAAGCCAAGACGTGGGAACATCCATGCCCAGGGTGAGTAACGCCTCAACGGGCACACCAGTAAATGAAGCACCCGGACGAGACAGAGAACCATCAGCAGAGAACGAGGGCTCTGACTCCAGCACGTAGCGATAGAAGCGCTTGACGGGAAGCTCTTTGAGCTCATCCTTGGGATTTAAGAAGATCTTTAGCTGCACACCCGCTAGCTCAGAGAGGACCTTGAGAATCGGCAACCATCTCTGGGCCGTCTCAGATGCCGGATCAAGCACAACTGCGACATTAATCGCGGGATCCTCGGAATTGGAAACCGTGATGACAGAGTGCTCAGTCTTCCACTTTTCCGACACATCCATTCGGAAGTCCGGCATCGACTCAAAGATGCCCTCGGGCACGTCCGACATTGTAGAAAGAGTAACCATCGAGGTCAGTTTGGCAAGATCAAGTGGCTTCGTGAGCTTCTTGTTCAACCGGAGGGATAGGGAGGCTCTCGCAACGGGCTCAATCCGCTTGGTTCGCTCGTAGGCGACGAGCTGGCCGATTTCCTCCACGCTCAATGAGTATTCCTTAGGGATAGGTCCAACTGCACGGCCGTTGACAACGAGGCCTTCCGTGCCGGCGTCAAACCCGAGGGTCTCGGCAAGACGTCGGTGGACCTGGATCGCCTCCTGGCTATCATATTCGGAGGACTCTAGGGGCTCAGAAGAGGTGATAGCATCTACCATGCCGTCGATATCCGCTCCTTTGGCAAGGGCATGTCGAAGCACGTTCAGACGCGACATACTTCCTTCAGACTCTGTAGCACCGTTGTGCACCAAGAGAAGTTCCATCTCGCCATTCTCCTTCCGGAACTTCAAGGCGTCGGTGACAAGCTTCAATCCAGTCTCCGACTCAAAGTCGCCTACGACGATAATGTGAATGCCGCCCAAAACGCCGCTCTCAGGTTCAACCTGAGGAATTTGATCAAGAATCGTGGAGTCAGACCCGAAGATGGTGGCAAGGTCAACAATGCGCACGCTCTTAGGATCCTCGGGCATGATGAACGTGTTACGTCTCTCAAAGGCACCAGCCAAGAAGAACTCTGGCAGCACCGCGTCTTCTTCCAAAACACCCTCAACAATACCCTGCTGGATGAGCTTCAGATCCCTGCTAATCAGCATGCTCAGTTCCTGCATCCAGTTGCTCTCACGAGAGACTGGGATACCGTTGACCAAGAAGTGAGGAGCTGCACCCTGAAGGCCGAGGCGACGTTGGTAGTCGGCGCTGCGTGTAGCCACGGTATCGTAGTACTCACTCTTCAACACCTGGTCGAAAGATAGGACTTCCTTGTCTGCGCGTGGCGTTCGCTCCTTGATCGCTGTCCCGAACGAGGCCTTGTCAGTTTCTCCGGCCTTACCCTTGGAGGCAGACTCTTCTAGATAGTGAAGCAGTGATGAGAGCCCATAAGTCTCTTGCAGGTAGTGTGCCACCTTCAGCTGTGAAATGGCATTCGGAGAGGACGCAGTTGGCACCAGACCGAAGCGAATAGGGATCAGGCGTTTGATAAAAGTCTGGACCTGGTTGACAACCAACAGGACATGTTCTGGGCTAGATAGATCAACGGGAATAACGACATTGTGCAAGTCACGACGGACTTGTGGCAATTGTCCCGGATAAGTGTTGGTGATGTACTGTACTTCGTGTCAGTATTGTTCCAAAACGGATAGTATGAAGGAAACGAGCATACAGTTTGGAGATCACTTGGCCAAGACTCGTAGCGTGAGTCTTTCTCCAGATCATTCATCCAAATAATGACCTGACCGCCCTCCAGAGTATCGCGATAGTCGTAACGCTGAGAGTCATCGTCGGCCTGGGACTCTGCCAGCGTTGGATGCGATAAGAGCTTCACGGCCTCCTGGGCAGACAGACCTAGATCGCGGAACTTCTCGATGAGCCTTCTCTCTCGACGGAGGATATCGGGTAGAGAGAATGCGTCAATTTGTCGGGTGTCAATTTGCATGCCGTTGATCCACATAACATTGTAGCCAGCTGGGATCATCCGCGCCCGGTTTCCACGGATTTCCTGCAGCAGTTCTGCGGTAGCATTATGAGCAGCGATGGTAGCCGAGTACTTGGGGAAGCTTTGTGACAGCTTGATCAGTGTATTCAGCGGGTCTTCGCTGTCCATCACGTAGCTTGCAGAGTTCACGCCGAGTCTAGACACTTCCGAAGCAGAGAGAGGTCGCAGGTCGTCGGGGGCATCCTCCTTCAATTCCTCGGATCCACTCAAAGCGTCTTCTTTGCCGCTACCATCCCGTTGCTCCGTATCCCGGTCATCGATAACAATATAATCCGTACGCTTCAACGCCAGTTCCACGCCGTATCCGGAGACGAATAGAGGTCGCGAGGCCCGGTGCTGGGGTGGTCGATAGCGCACACGGTACGAGATTTCACCTTGCTTCGCCATCTCGCTCAATTTCTCATGGAATTCCTTGAATGCCGGGGCCGAGACATCGGCGTAGAGGACAGCGGGAGGAAGCGAGACATCACCGTGAACACGATCGAAAGGTAGTTCCCTAGGATCTCTACAACCTTCCAGTCAGCAAGCTGAGAGCAATCGGATCGAAGAAGCTGGACTTACAACTCTCCATCAACATCCTGTTGAGCACGCTCCATCAGCGAGGAGCAATACTGCTTCCCCTCAAAATGAACCCAGACTGGACAAGCCGCATCTTGCGCCCCCATCATCGATCGCTGCACCGAGGTATTGTAGTACTGATAATGAGCTTGAATTCGAGGCGCCGCCGACCGAGTCGACAGCGATAGTTTGAACGAAGATAAACTTTCGGGTGTGCGTAGATGTCCATCTTCGTGAACGACCTGCAAGAAGCGATCATACAGCTCCTTCTCCGAGATAGCTTCCTCAAAGGCGCCATCGGCGATGCGGTTGAGTAATGGGAAATAAGAGGTTGCATTTTCGTCGGCAGCGGTTTCACTAATCCCCCGGTATGAGTATTACTAGCCCAAGTTCACCAGATCATGAGCAAATAAGCAAGGACATTGGTCACATACAGCAGCTCAACAAGATATGGAGATGAATCGAAGGAAGCCTGCAGCGCTACATTGACTGCCGGACTTGCATTGGCCAGACAGGCCGGTAGTAGAGCTCCCAAGGCGGCATACCAATGCCATGAGGCTCGGGGTCTCGTGGGGGCCCTCATCCTCGCTGATGTGGATGGGGTTGTTGGAATCGACGGTTAAAGTGTTTATGAGGACGGATGCCCGGAGCCGGAGGCTTGGCCGTCGTCTTCGAGGAATTAACGATTTTTGTGTACTTATTCCGAGTGCAAATTCAGAGCATTGACAAGCATCGCAGGCCAAGTGAGCCAGCGCTCTCGTGCACAAACGCGAAGAAGGCTCGCGGATCTGGACACTTAGATCATTCCCCTATCGCGCTTATCGCAGCTTGTACGGTGGGCGAAGCGGCAACCTATGCAATTCGCGAACTATCAGTGGCGTACTGGTCACGTGTGGCTACGTTCGTGATTAGATACCAATATCCTCAGGGCCGGGGTGATGGTCTGATACTCACATTCCCCTCTTCAAATATAAACAGCCTTTGAAGGACGGCAGGCCTTTCAGTTGCTCTGGCGACGGCATGGCAGTCCTTACTGTTATTGCCCTGCTTTCTACACGAAAGATACAGACACGCTACAAGCTACCGGCTACGAGATGAGACAGGAAGATATTGTTCAATGTTTTCATTTGAAAATGAAACCTAGTCCGTCGAGTATGAATATCGTAAACACATGATGTCGTTAAAACAGTTGATAGATACCAGCGCCAGACTTTTGACTCCCATAATAATGCATGTAGTGTCCGAGTGCGCCGAAAGCTCCGAGAAAGATCAATATGGAAACAGATAGCCAGAACGTTCCCATATATGCAGCCTGCGATGTCTTTTTTGTTTGTTCTCCAGTGTAAGAGACGCCGAGGGAAAGTTGGAACGCGAAAGAGTTTGTATAGAACGTGTCAAGTTGAGACCAGGCTCAACGGTAAGAATAGTAGGGTGGGAGAACCAGAAATTGCTTTACTGGTTGTCAGCGGTGGTCGACACTTGAGATTGAGAATTCTTGCGAGTGTACGCATCGCGAATCAGACGATCGCGCTTCTCCTCGGAGACTTCAAAGAGAGAGGAATTGTAGGTGCTGCTGTGCTGGCTTCCAGGCCGAGCAAGGGCAGTGGTGGACTTCATCTTCCGGAGGCTACGAAGCTTGGCCGCAGGGCCCAGAGAGCGGAGCTCGCGGGCAAGGCGTTCCAAGACTGAGCCTTTGTTCGAAGTGTTGCCCTCGTTCTCGTCCGTGGGAATGGGGAACTGTGGGAGGGGCTTGTCGATAACGCCCTCGGCGATGCTCATATCAGACCCGGTAGAGCCTGTGGTGCCAAAACTGCAGCCGGAGTCGACCTTGCGAGTCTTGCTACGGGAGGAGCTGTGGGACTCATCGAAGTGACTGGGCTCATTGACCAAGACACACTCGTCAATCATCTCGTTGACCAGATCGAGAAACTTTTCCAGAGTCTTGTGGACGGCGGGCCAAGAACCCTCGCCTTCTTCACCTTCGCCCTGGTGAATCATCTGGTGTACAGCATCTGTGTCGCGAGGGCTGACCTTGTTAATAGTCTTGAAAAATGCGTCGCGATGCATCTTGAGAATTTGGTAGGTCAATTGAGGAGTTGGAGTCACGGCCCCGGGCGAGATGGGAGGATAGAGGGTGTTGAGCAGAGCGATGTGGTTATGCTTGTTGCGCGGCTCCAGGAGAATCTCATTGATAATCATCCAGCGGCGCAGGCCCACATAGATCTGGGTGTACAGTGCCTCGAGAATCCGGCCCTTGGCATTAAGCGACTCAAGCCAGGACACGACACCGGGATAATTGATGGCGAGCTCCGAATTTTTGAGGTTCTCGGCTTCGTCACGTCCAATATTCAATCGCTGCAGGGCAAGGGACATTTCTTTCTTCCAGCGGTTCTGCAGGTCTTTGGCGTAGTCTAAAGCAGTCAAGCTTTGGGGGAAGTCCACCTGCGTCAGGTCGTTGGGGAAGCAACGACGGAGGAAGGATGTCAAAAAGCTGGGCGGGAGCGAGCAAGGCTGCGAGGGCATCCGAGCGATCTGGTGGATCAACTGGGAGCGGAAGTCGGCGGCAGCATCCACGGCGCTTTCCTGTGAAGAGTTCGAGGCCTGAGTCGAGGTCGAGTTGCGCGGGCTGAAAGCGGTTTCGGGTGAAGTGCCGCCCGCCATGAAAGACCGACTCGGCTGGCAATTGAGAGCGTACATGTCGCGAAGGGGAATTTCGTAGGTAGCAGGGTAGCGGGCAATATGGTCAAGGATCCAAGTGAAAGAGGAACCATCCGGGATCTGGGCAACCTTGGCTGAATCGGGGCGCGCAGACATGTTGTAATTGAGCGGATTGTGGTCCGTGTAAAGTAAAATGGCTTTTGTGCTGAAGGAGGAATCTCCAGGGACCTTTTAAAGACGGGAAGAAAGTTGGCAACGCGTTCGAAAGATCCAGACAGCCCAAATAAACAATGCTGGACTAGCTTCCGAGGGCTGGGACGATTTCAAAACACGCCGAAGGGATGAAATCGCGTGGAACGTTGTCTAGCAAGAGAGAGAGAGAGAGAGCGTGTTGAAATAGAGAAAGGCAAGATAAGGCGGGGGATAAGCGTGGAGATTAGAGCTGATCAGATGCACGCAACACTGGCCATACTACGAATGACGCAGCGAAGTGGCAAGCGCGTGTGTGTGGCTGAAAAAAGGAGGTACAGGAGATCTCCAAGGGGAGTTGGTGGTTTGACTAGTGTCTTGAGGTAGTTAAGATGTTTGAGTTGTGGACGCGAGGGGCTGCAGGCGTTCGATGCTCTCGTTGGCTGGTCGGACCTTGCGGCTGCAAGATCGGATGGAGGCAAAAGGCAAAAGACCAGGCGACAAAGTTTATTTTGAGATTTTGATTGGAGACTCGCTCTCAATGATCGTGAAAGAAGATAAGCCGTGAAGACGGATTGCAAGACACGTCTCACGTAGATTGAACGAAGGGAGTGTTTGTTTGGTAGGAGGTTGAACGAGGGGAAGTGGGTTGGGAGGAGTGCGTGCAAGGAGAGGTGATGGAGGAGAAGAAAAAGCAGAAGATGAGAGGCGTGGAGAGAGAGAGAGCGAGGATAACAGAGGAGGATGAGAGAGATTGAAGGGAAAGTGGGAAGGAGGATTGCTCATAAGGAAGCGGAGGGTCGTGGAGGAGTGGAGGAGTCAAGCAGCGCAGGCGAAGCGGACTGCGAAGTCTGGACCGGCGGTGGATCCCCGCGGATTTTCTGTATTTTCCACTTTTCCACTTTTCTCTCTTCCACCCGTCTCGACGAAGTACACTTCCCCCCCCGTTTAGTACTCGTCAATTCGTTCCCATCGTTCACAACGACAGTTAGTTCTCCACCGTCCTCCTCCACTTTGCAAGAATAAGACCTCATCTCGATCTCCTCATTCGATTTCCCAGGACTGGATCCATCTCCGTTGTGTCTTCGAGGACTCCACTCTGCTGTCCTCAGCCGCCCTAGAGAGGCCACCAACACCGGAAAAAGACGGCCGTTGCGTCTTCCGCGATTCCGGTCCACTTGGTCTCTGCCATCCACACGCTAACCGATCCTCGTCCACCGCAGTGCGCGGGTGTCTCGCGCTGCGTCCGGGTCCGGGGCTGTGGTTGACGACGCCATAGTACACGCTAGCGTATCCCTGTCCGGGTCCTGGGGAATTTCACACACTTTTTTGATGGACCTTGATGGTCGTGTCAGAAATTTGAGCCTGCTCAGGACTGTCCCCCCGGAGGCTTGGACTGGTCAAACCTCCATGGGCACTCCTATCTCAATGACTCGCCCCGGGACCCAGCGTGTCAAAGGGAAACGCGGTACGAGTGCCAAAGCTATGTTCTAATAATTACCCTGGATGAGCTGATAAGTGTTATGCTTTTGGTTCAAGACTCGTTTTTCTCCTCGTTCTGCTGTTGAATTGACATTGGATAAATTTAGATTGCCACTGTCAAAATACAACACACACCAGTCATATTTGGGTCACCCTCTGCTGCGCATCGGTCTTTTTTTGGGTGCATTCGTCACCCGTCTTTGCGGAGGCAAAAGCGTGCCTCCCTCGATCTCCGTGGGGTGTGTACGACGCAATCTTTGCAGTTGACGGATGCCCGCATTACCCGGAGCCCTCATTCATTCCGCTGCACAAAGAAAATCTCCCCCATGCCGGAGCAGTCACGTTGATCTCGAGAAAATGAGAGCTCCTCTTTTGTTCTTTCTTATTCATCGGACAAGAATTTTCTGGACTATTAACTGCGGGCTACTGCTTGTCGTACAGCACTTCTGACGATAATCAATAAACAACCACAATCGGTGCTATCGCCCATGGTTCTCGCCATGTCAACCCCGCCCGCGACCCACGGAAAAAGGTACTCTTGGTCCTGTACTTTCAGGCACAGCCGGGGTGGAACTGTACCTGCATCGTTTCAGATTTTCAGGCTACACACACCATGCATCGCTGTTCTTTTTGCTTCTCGAAATATCCAAAGTCATAGCCCCGTCGTTACTGTTCGATTCAAATATAATTTGTGCTCGATTTAGTAGACCCGTTTCTTGCTATTCCTCCCCTCGCGAGTCGCAGCAAAGAAAAACACAGTCGACAGCCCCGATCGTCGTCCCTGCAGTTGCCCAACCCACAACGACCAGGCCGCCCTTTTTGCGGGCCAGAAAATCGACCTTCCCAAACCGGGCGAGATCGGACTAGTCGTGGGGCCTCAGACCGTGCACAAAATGGTCCAGACACTACGATCGGCACTTCTTTCATTAAATCCCTTCCGGCCCTTCGCTACGCAGTGCTAACGGTCGGATCCGTCAGACTCAGATCCTGCCAAAATTGCCAATCTCCGGTACTTATCACGAGGGTTTCCGCGGCGCAAGCTAGACGGCGATCATGGCATCATAATCGTTGAATAACAATGCCCCGAGGCGTCGGCGATCCCAGCCATGATGTCGGATCCGCCTGGTCCAAATACACTCTCCGTACGACCGTGTACTACTATGCCCGGCCACATGATGTAGTACGGAGGATATCTTAATTTGCAATTGCACAAGTCGCCAAAGAAGATTTCGATCATCAACATCGATGGTTAAGAAAAGTATCTACAAATCCAACTCGAGTGCACATAATTTGCCAGTCCACGTTGTCAGTCGAACTGCCTGACGGTTACTTGATCGACCAAAGTATCATAGCTGCACACAGCCCTTTTTCCCGGTTCACACACAGATCTTCTTCTTCGTAACGATTACTCTAAGTTTGCGATTGATTACTGTGATCAATCATGTCCTCGCGAATGGCATTTGCTCCTCGCGCGTCACAACTGCATCCCAAGTGCTGGACCCAAATTTAAACCAGCCCTCAAAATCAAGAGATCGCAACCTGCGGTTCGGGGAAAATCACCGAGTCAATTTCGAGGTTCGTGTTACCTCTCCTGAGATCCCGTGGGTAAGCCCTGTGTTTTGTCTTTGTTTCTAGTCTGCGTAGTGCTTTTTCCATTGCGAACTAACCGCTGCCCCGGGAGCGACGATGATCATGTGGCTGTTGGCGGTAGGGCAGAGAAATCGAGTACGGCCAGGTTATCATTGACGTACGTACGGTACTTCGTGTAAAGTACCGAATATGATGCACCCCGTACTTTGACACCAGTTTTAAATTGGACGTGTTCGATGCCGCAGGATCGGTGTGGCAGACTGCCTAAATTTTAGGATGTTTGATCCTGGAGGGGGGTGCTGTCATGTTGGGGCGTTTATTCTAAACAAAGGACCCCTGCCCAATTTACCAGGCTACAGTGACCCTCGATGGATAGGTCCCAGGTTGACCAATTCCTCATAGAATCTGTCGCTCTAAGTACAATCTAAACCTCATTCGATAAAGCCGTTTCTGCAAATCTTAGACTCCTAGATCCGTTTATTAGCAAATGAATCCGCAGATGCTCCTAAACGCGGAACAGATGGGTCGCGAGTGAATTACTTGAATTCGGATGTAACTCAAGGATCCCCTTTCTAGCCGACAATACAGCATATTCCTTCTTACCAGCCGTTGGCTTAAGAGTCGACATCGAGCTCGCCAACGTCCACAATCAGCATTCCAAAGCCACATCGAAAAGTTGAGGCTGTGATTGGTGATCATCGGTGGTAGGGAGGGTGCATAAAGAGTTGAGATTGTTTCTCAACTTCGCTAATAGACAATGACCATGGAATCGAAAGACCAGTTGAATAGAGGCACTACCGCAGGATGTCAAGGGGTGGATAGTATAATTGAATTGGCCCCATTGCACTATGTGACAGTCCACGGCTCTCACTTTATTTACGAAATGCGGATCCAGAAAGCTGCGTATATGCGATACATATCAATCCCCGAGCTTATTCTTTCTTCTCCAACACCAATTTAGTCTACAGTATCTCCAAAGGCACACCATCTTTGTCGGCATAGTGCTCCTGAATCACAAGAGTGTATTGGGCCCAGCTGGGGATCTCACCAGATTTGGGCTTGACGCCCTCCTGCTTCGCACCCAATGGCGCAATCCGGCCTCGGAAAGAAAATTGCGAGTTTGGAGCCACTCTGTCCACCCTCTTCCGCCTCTGCCTAAGTGGAAATCTGTGGCACCAGGCGTCGGAACGCGATATTGGTGGCGTAGGTGTTAAGACGAATGTACTTGGGCGATCTGGATAGACATCTCGGCCCTTTCTCGTAGTAATAGTAATTGAGCCTCTTGATGTAATTATTGCCAAATAGAGCGTGGAATTTCTTCTGGTCTTCCGGGGATCGCTTGGAGAGGTTGCTTGCCAGGAATGCGACTGCGTGCTCGTCGCGCAACCAATCACGCGGCTCGTCGTCCAGGTTATCTCCCAGTTCGACTGGCAGTTCATCGGCATCCTTGGGATCCATGCCAATTCTTGGCTTTGGTGAACCAGTCAAGTCGTTGCGTTCTTGCTCATTCATGTGATAGAGCATTACCTTCTCCAAGTATCTGGCTGTGGTCTTCTTCAGGAGGCCGGTGTCGGCTCCGAGTTTCTTAATGAGACTGATCCGGCTCATCAGCTTCTAGAGGGGTCAACCACAGGCGCAAGGCGACCCGAAGGTTCGGTTCCTGTGCTGCTTTGGGATGGCTCGGGCTTGATCTTCATTCCCTGCACCAGGTGAACAGTACCATGGTTTTCGGCTGCTTTCTCACAGTCTGGATTGCACTCCGTGAGCTTTCCACGGAAGACACCTTGAACAGGATCAGCCCGAAACTGCACAGCAGAGATAAGGAAGCGCAGAGAAAAGTCACTCTTCGACTGGGTGAAGGCGAGATTTTCGAATTTCATCTGCCCTTGGTCAGTTATGACATTATCGGCTGCCAGTGCTACGCCGTTTGGGTCACAAATTCAATGAGAAATTCATTGTTCAGGGTCGCCGTCTGTACCTCTGTTGATATGCAGTACCGGGGAAGCTCAGGGAGGCCCAAATTCTCCTTTCAGGCTTTGGCGATAATATCGATCTCGGGAATGTGATACTGAACTGTTTTGTAATCGCTCGCATTTCCCAAGAGCACAAGGGTGACAGTAAATAATGGCGTGCTGTATGAGACCGGATCCAAATTCAGTGGGTCGTGTTCATTCTGATCAAAGACAACGGCGTAGGTCTGATCCACAACGCATTCAAGACTGTCCTGGATGCGTGGAAGCGCGCCTTCGGCCTGCTTGGCCATGGCCTGCTTTTCCTCGAGCCCAGGCATATTCCAAACTTCCTCATTGTTCAGTTCCCGGTTTAGGAGAAGTTCGGCAGTTCCAAGTCCGAAGCGCTCAAAGATAGGGCGGAGCTCCGCAACATGGGTCATCATCGTGATTTGCTGAGACCTTGGGAGCTTTTTGATGGAGTCTGTCAGGGACTTGATGGTAATTTCGGGATAATTCAGATATAGCTGCGCAGACCCTCACGAAGGTGAAGGCCCCAGATATATTTGCACTCAACATCCTTGTGTTTCCAACTCTCAATGGTGATCCTCTGATACTTGTGTCCATCATCCGTGAAGTACAAGGTGTGAACGGCGCACAGCTTGCCCACCACCAGCCAACGGTTTTCTCTCCGGGTAGCGGCGTGATTCTTGGCGCGTAGACCAGTATTTGTGTGAAAGACGTGCCCCTTAGTAAAGAAGGGCTTTTCTTGATTGAAACCCCAGAGTCGAATGATGTTCTCTTCGGTGGGGATTGCTACAACCTCATTTGACTTGACACCGTAATCTCGCGTGTCTGCTCTCGTGAGCACACGGTCATCCTCGCGCAGGGGACTCGATGACTATAATCAGTCCAGACCCGTGTGCTCTCAACCAAACGAGCAGACCCATCATTTCTGATTATTTTCGCAGACGAATCAAGCTTCGACAGGCCGTTCAAATCCCTCTTCAAAGCGAGTATCCCAGAGACGCTCAGGAGGGTGATGCGTGATCCGACTATTCTTGTCCAGCTGCCGGAACGTCTCTGGCGCAGTCGTACAATAGTTGAGAAGTTCGAGCTGCTGTGCAACTTCGTACCCTCTCTCATGGTCTTCGAATTGTTTTGGAATCAGCGTTCCGTTCGCGGACCAGCACCACCACTAGTCGGTGATTTTCTCGATGTTGAATAAAGTTCAGACTGCAGTCTCGATTGGACCACACTCCTGCGCCTACCTCGTTAGTGTTACTCTTGAAGCCTAGCTCATCGTTACACTGGAAGAAACTTCTCCCAATTGATTCCAGCAGAAGTCAGAACAAACTAGTGCGAACAGTTTCATCTGCATTGGGAACATTCTTGAATGCAGACAGATTCTCATCGCATTGTTGATAAGAGGCAAGCATCAATGTGGCCAGGGGGGCTAGGAGGTTCACATCCTTGCAGGTCTGTGTGATATTGGCGGCCCATGTAACGGATTTAGAAGGATAGCTCTTCAGAACTTCAACGAGGGCCTTGGCTTTAATCTCCAGGTCAGCAGCATTGGCCATTGTGATGGAGACTGGCAATAAAAAAAACAAAACAAGGAATGGAGTGGTGGAGAGATAAAGAGACTGGTGAGGATGGATGGCTGGAAACTTGAAAGCTTTCCGAAGATTCCATACGTTTTGGCAGCTCTATGGCTGTGGTTTTACGTTGATAACAAGCCTCTGTGAGCCACCACGGGCTAGAACCCTGCAAGATGCACGAGGATGCGTGACCTCATACCCACATGGTCACCTATCGAAACTATCTAGGATAGACTGCAGGATTGCCACCCACGGCTGTCAATATTAGCGAGGCATTTTGAAATGGTACCTTACATACTTACTGGTGTTCCTGCGGTACGCAAGTGGTATTGTCAATACCGGGGTTCGCCTGCTCGTCTGAATATACACTGTACCTCAACTCCTTGGTTAGCCTCCGATTTCCCCGCAATTCGACAAACCGCGGCAAGACAGCCGACGAACACTCGTCTCGGCTGAGCTGAACACCAAATGAGGAATACAAGACGAATCCTGAAATCACTGATACATAATCGTAGCAAAATGTCTTGGATGGAGTCGAATTGTTTCTCAGCCGTGTCAAACGACCTCGACAATGGACCAGACCTCCCTTCGCAACAGCGAAAAGCCTCAGCTCCCTGAAAATGGTCAGGCCGATGAACAGTTAGCCGGGAACAACCATACAAACTATTATCCAATAGATGTTGAGGAACCGGCACCGGCAGGTTCGTCCAGGATTCTAATGACTCGAGAGTTGCAAGCACTGCTAGACTAACGCATTGGGAATTACACAGCCTCGGAGACTGACTCCCCTCCGAGCGCTCGGCCGTATTGTCCGGAGATGCTGATACACGAGCTGGCCAGAGCGCCCAAAGTGCGTTGGGATCCCCAGCGCTGGACACTAGAGCGTGCAGTAGTTTCGGCAGGAACTACCGGAGTCGACTCGGTGATTGTGCCTCTATTTTGTGACGTGAAGAACAACGCCACTCCCGTCAACTATGTGAGTATTTACCTCAAAAGTTTTGGAGCTGAAGTACACGAGAAACTGACGCTACTTAGCGCATTGAGCTCCAGGTCGGTCATGATCCAGACCACCGCTTCCATGTCCAGGTGGACAGCGGATCTAGCGTGCTCTGGTTACGATCACGACTGCATCCAGATGAAGAATTGAAGCCGTTGGACTTGCCCGCGCTGGATGTCTTCCTCGAGAGTATCAACGAGGTGACACCCCGGCCCCTACAGCCATACAAGCTCTCTTACGGAAGCGGGTCTCAAGTCGAGTTGAAAATGCACACTGCGCCGATCACGCTTGGCAATCTGTCAGTGGAACAGATGTTCGGTGCAGTGCCTTTCCGTAGATTGTCTCCCACAATGCCCAGTGGGATCTTGGGGCTGGGTTTTAGCGTACCAGATAGCCCCTTGCCTCACCATGTAAACCTGGTACTCCAGATGCACAAGGCGGGCTTGGTGAAACACGCATCCTTTGCCATGATCGGGCCTCGCTCAGAGCCGGCCTCGAATCCCTTGGTGCGCCGCGAGGGAGAGAGAACGCATCGTGGGTGGTTTGTGTTGGGAGCTCTGGATGACAAGTACCACCGGGGCATCACCTGGTGTCCAATTCAGACGCAGAATGGTGAGCATCGCAAGTGGGTGGTGCCACTCCGAAAGGTGATCGTAAATGGTATCGTTGTGTGTGAGAATCAGCGAGCGCTGCTGGACACCGGGTGCACGTATCTGCTCACAGGAGTGAAGAATATGGCAGCTCTGGCAGAGGCGATGAGGGGCACACGCACCCTTCGCGGGGTTGAATATACACCTGGTGCACTCCGGTCGGTGGAATTTGTGTTTGGCAACAATGATGAGGATAACAAGGAGGCCAGCTTTGGCCTGAACCCGGAGAATCTTACATTGGGATGTGGTGTGGAGGATACCACCATGCAACGCAGCCCGTTCGAATCCTTCAAAGACGGGCGTCTTGAGGATCAACATTCAGCCGGTGACTATTGGATCCTTGGAGGAATTTTCCTTGACAACATGATTACCATTTTTGATTACATGGGAAGCACGCGAGTCGGGTTCGCGGCCAAATCGGATATTGATCCTAGATGATCATAACTCGCTTCAATCGCTGAATACCAGCATTTTAGTACTCTTTAATCTTTTCTAGAGATCACAATCCCCCCCCCCCCCCAAAAAAGCTCCATGATCATCTTCTCCTCCAAAAATGAACAAAATCCGGCCCAAACCGGCCATAGTTGCGGTTCGAACGCAACCATCCCAGGAGATGGGTATTGACATCCTGAGCAAACTCTTTGATGGTTCCAGTAGACTGGTGCTATTCTTGCTATTATTTTTGACTTGAATTTATGTTGAATCTCATAATTTACAGACCGTAAAGACGAGTATCACGATAATCACGAGTTTTTGGTCGCTGTAGAATCGAAGATGGTCTGGAACTGCGCCATGGTACGAGCCTTGCGAGGGGAATTCGGGGTTTGAAGAGGGGTTCATCGGTAAACTTCGCCCGCAGTGGTTCACTAGGGCCGGGCCGGCTAGAAAGTGGACCTAACTACTCGTTGACATGTGGCTTACCTGAAGAACAGCAAAAAGAGCAGGACTAGACGAGATAGAGAGTATCGCGTGCCATTGGTCGGTAAATGTAGAAGGTTTTGCTGTAGATGGGTGTTCGGCAAGTCCGGGGCTAAGGGGAAAACAAGTCTTAGCTGACACCGAACACAACACTTAGCAGTCATGTTACGCTAAGACGTCAGTACGTACTAGTACTATATACGGAGTAGTATAGTTGAACTGCGGCAAAGATCGCCTGGGCAAGTGAGGACGAGCAAGCCTCCTTCTATAAGGAGGGCCGTTTCTTCTATAGAAACGAGTAAAATTCACACGGCAAAGTGCCACATTTCGAATTATTCGTGATTCCCAGTTATCAAACTCCAATAAGCAAAAATGGGCGACATTGAAAAGCCAGAAGCTGAGACAGTCCTCAACGTGGATGATGAGCGACTGAGCAAGCTCATCACGCCTCCGTTGGACATGCCGGTATATGAACCAGCGGAGAATGGTCCTATTGATAGCCTTCGTTCCAAAGCGGGCTCAATCATTCGCACAGAGCATGAAGGGGATATGTTCTTTGAAGGTAATGAATGATAAACCCCTGATATTGCCACAATACAAGTCTGACAAGTTCATCGCAGCCGCTGAACATGAATCGATTGCCAATGGCGTATTCCTCAAGAACATCCACGGCATTCCAGAGTCCGCGATTGACCACGACTGCTGGAGGGTCAATGCCTATGTGCATGGAGGCACGGGATCCGTCGCCAAAAAGCGCGAAATCAACCTCAAGTTCGGCCGTGTGATTGCCCTAGCAGGGGATTTCTACAGCAGTAACAAAGATAAACACCGTACGCCCATTTGTGGTGCATTTTTTACAAATGAGCCCACTGGGAATCCTGACGAGGACTTGCGGAATCAGTCCGAGCGATTCCGTTCTGCTGTCAAGAGTATTGTTCAGGATGATGATGGAAACCTTATTCAGCTATGCTCGCTCATAGATCACGAGCACGAGAAGATTGCGGAGCATGAGGGTGAATATCACACTATTGCCAACATATATCATGAAGCAGACAAGTGTGGTCTTCCTTCATCCTCTCAATTCTGGAGCGCCACTGTGGGTAGATCGAATCCCAAGTTGAGTCTCTATACCTGGCTCCTCTTTATCAATTCCGATCATTTTGTATGCACTAAATTCCCGACTCTCTTCCCATGCTTGCTGATAATTTCCAGGGAAATGATGCGGTCACTGCTTACACAGTTGGTCATAAAGTGGCCCTTCAGCTAGCCCGAGAGGCCGGTCAGCTGGAGGAGAGCAACGAAAAGGAACGTGCTGATGGATTGCAAGCCGCTTATTTGCATGAAGGTATGATCGCCTGGAGAATAGATTCTGAAGAACATCTCTAACATCTACGTAACCAGCCTTCTGCCTACACTACCTGACCGATCTATTTTCTTCGGGCCATATTCGCACTCCCCGGCGTGAGCTGCACAATGATAGCTATACGGAGGCTAGTTTTAGTGCAGCTAGGCTGGTATTTGGGGGCAAAGAGGTTCCGATTTGGGATTTCCAGTGCAATTATGTGAGATGATTATGAACACTCTGTCTGTCACAAGATACTAAACGTCACAATGATTATAGATGCACGATAATGACTCTGCAACTGGTCTTCTTGTCCAGAACAAGAAAGGCGAACAGTGGATTGCATATGGTGAGCCTTTTGATATCCATGTTTATGATTAAGACATTAGAACAAGCTAACCCCTTCTGTAGGCGATAAACAGTTTGTCGAGAATTGGGATGCCGTGAATCACGCCCGAGTGTAGGCGCTTCCTTTTTCTTTCTTTTCGATTGTGATACTTACATATAATATAGCACCCACGCCGTCCAAGTCTCTGTGGATGAAGTGTACGAGGCTTTCAAAACTACCACCGAGAAGCACCCATCATCATTCGAAGTGCTAGACTTGATCCCACAGCCAATGCTCTCCGCAGAAAAAGGTCGCTCTGCTTCCTGGATTGATCAGTTCGGAGGCTACGATATGCACAATCCCGCAGCTCTCTGGAAAGTTACCAACGAAGGAGACAAATCCCATTTGACCATTCGAGCTAACCTCAACGACTACTCTCTTTACCGACGAGTGGATGGATCCCCCAGGTCCACCAGCAGCCTTAGAATAAACCCAACCGCGACCCCAGAATGCGTTGCTATCCAACAAGCTCCTTTCCGCGGCTCGGACGCCTTCCCTTCCGCGGGCCCCATCGACAACCTAGTCAGCGGCGGCTTTTTGCAGATCCAGGACCTCAACCCACCCGGCATGGGCGTTCGCACCTGTGTCAACTTCTGGGGTCCAGCTAAAGTCAATTTGACCGCAAGAGATAACTCGAAATTCCAGTCGAATACGTTCACTCTTCGCAATCGGCTTATTGATTTTGATCGCGAGCAAAGTGCCGATGACGCAGTGACTTGGCACTGGCAGAAATGGTATGACCAGCAGAATGGTCTCTCGCTGTTCCGGTTCAATCGTCGCTCCGATGGCCAAGTCGTTGTCTCGCAGTGGGAAACGAAGGACCCTTGCCCTACTCTGCCGGTCACCTTTGACCCCAATCGATCTTGGGCGTTCTCGTCTACTCAAACAATTCGCGAGCGGCCTTTGATCAGCCTTGACAACCGTCAAGCTGGGTTGACTCGGTTTGTGGTTGGTAACTTGGTAAAAAGACCTTCCTCTTCTCACCCGGACATCGTCTGTCTCTCGTTCACTCCAGACGGGCCAGTTCAGCTAGCCCTCTCCTCAGCTGGGCCAGGAGAGGAACCCGTCATGATTCTAACACTCGAGGCACGCGGCATCTACCAATTCATGAAGCGCGTCAAGCAACAAAGCGGACCTGATCGTATCCTACTTGCACGATACCGCCGCGTGGAGAATGACTGCGTACAAGTGACCTTTACCACGATCGCCTTCTCCGACACAAAGGAACTCCACGAAGAAACAAGCAAGGTCAATATTCCCCTCTCCGAATTTGAAGCAGAAACCTCCATCGTGGTAGGAGATCTTCTCGGAACGGGCAACGACCAGGCTATCGTCGTCCACGACACCAAAGCGGTCTCCAAATACATCATTTACGCCTTCAACGAGGGCAAACTAGCCCAGGCTGAGGAATTCGACATCCTTCGCGAGGAAAAGTCCCCAGTCCTCCGACCTTTTATGACAGCTCTCCTCCCGGCACAGCCTGCGCAAAAGAAACTCCCTTCTATCCTCCAGCTAGCCCTCCACAAGGTTGATGAGAAACCAACACTTGTCTTCCGAGTCACGAACCGCGCATCCGGCTCAACGGAGTGGAAAACCACCATCTCTCGCGTGGAAGACCCGTTATCCACGGATGAACATTATTTCCATTTGAAATGGATCCGATGCACACACCAGCCTCCAGGCTTCGAATCTCGCAACGCATTGCTGGAGATCTTCTCATTCTACGGTGCGCTGGGCATCAGGCTTTTCTCTGCAGAGAATTCGCGGAAGCTTGACGAGTATAGCGAGCAGGGCCGGCAGCAGTATATGGGGCAGACGTCTCTTGGGACTGGCCTGGGTGCGGAGGGAGACTGGGCTAATGGTATTATGACGTGGGGATCATCCGAGAATGATTTTATGGATGTCACGAGGTGGACGCCCGATGTTAATGGGAAGATGGGGGAGGGCGCCTGGGGAATGAGGGAAAGAGATGCTGGGCGTGTTTTGATTCGGGGGTGGGAGGTTGAGAAGCGTCCTGGGTATTGAAGTATACATCAAAGATGTCCGGGAGATATTCGGAAATTTGGGCAATTTCCTATGATCCTTCTTGCTTAACTGATTCACGGAAATCATTTTTTGGGTTATTTCCGCAGATTGGAAAGCGATGGCCGTCATTCTGCGCTTGATTGTTCAGGTCCAGGCCTGCGGAAGATCACAGATCGAACATGAAGAGTGACCACTAGTGACCACTAGTTTTCACCTTAATATCTTAGGTGATAGATTCTGTGATGTTTGATGCCGGTGACTGGAGGATGTTTGCCATTCGAAATGCTAGAATGATGCTCCCTCTGTCTCGTATAATCGATTTCCCATGTTCGGTGCTGCTTGGTTGAGCCGCTGGGAGTACTACAACTGCCCAGATATATTGAGCCGCTTTGACCACCACCTACGGATAGCCTATTTTATGACCTCAACGACCGCAAATGATCAGAGTTCGATTGACTTCAAACCCCAATTCTTCGTACAGTGTATCGTAGCCTGGATCACGAATATTAAATTGATACTCCGATGTAAGGACTCAATCTGAGTGATTGGCAATATGACGACCTCGTGTCGAAGAGGTACACCGCCCGGCAGAAAAGATATGACGATAGGCGATCTTCGCGACTTCCTCAGCCAAAGCTCGGAAAATACCAAGCAAGAAACAAGCGCGACCTGGCCATGGGAAAGGGACCCTTGGAGCGACAGCTCCATTTTGATAAGAAGAATCAAGATCTTGTCAAGCTCCCAAAATGTATGCTTCACACCCCGATTCCCATCCTGCCGGATCAATCGCAAAACTGCTCGAAGATGACTGGCGCAAATGTCTAACAACGAAAATTCATAGATGCAAAGGTTGAGAAGCGACCCATTCCTCATGCGCCAGTTGCCTCTCCATACGCCGGTGCCTCAGTGCCCAAGATTGTCTACGTATCCAGCGGCACGCCGTTCATGAGTGCCGTGAAGCGCGTCCAGAAATTACTCCGCCAGGCCGAGAAGCGCGCCACGGCCAATATCAGCCTCGAAGACGGCCGAAAGACGGAACAGCAGAAGCTTGCGGAGCTCGCCAAAGTTGCTGAAAAGCAGGAAGAGGTGTTTGTGAAAGCTACCGGACGTGCTATCGAGAAGGCACTGAACGTGGGAAAGTGGTTCGAGGAGAAAGAGGCCGAGTACACCGTCCGCGTGAAGACCGGGAGTGTACTTGTTGTCGATGATGTGGTCGAGGATGAAGAGAAGAAAGAGCGGGAGCTGCAGAAACAACAACGCCAGGGGGAAGCGCAACAAGACGGGCAGCGAGATGACCAAAAGAGCTCCGAGGAGATGACCGGTCTGCAACATACTACCTCAAAAAGCGTCGCGAAGAAGAAAAAGAAGCGTCCGGCTTCTGCCATATCTGAAGACACCGAGCTTCCCGAGACCCGAACACGATGGGTCAAGATGGTTGAGGTGGCTGTTAGCCTCAAGTGAAACCGTTTGTGGACTGCACGAAGACATTAATACCCCATAGCGGCCATTCACCATTGCTACTATTGTGAGGCCCCCATCGACACCGACCCTCTCATCCGATATGCTACCACACACCAGTATCATTGACACAGGGTACAGACGGCACCAAAAGCGAGGTCACGCCGGCAGAAATCATTCCCACTGGGGGCCCCAGGGCTCCCCTTCGAAGTCCTAGATGCACTGTAGGGTGCATGTGCACCATTCATTTGATGCTCTAGTCTCCCTGAGATGACCTCTGAGCGTCTCCAGTCCCGCCATATCTCTGAAGAGAGAAGCGGCCAGCCGCACACCATAGGGACTAGTTACAAAGCCCAGTCTTTTTGACGATACCCTGGATACCAAAGCTAGTCGAACTTTGATAAAACCTCGAGCCAAGCTTGGAAAATTGAAATAATGAACAATCCAGAGATCATATATCCATAGCGGCAGTAAGCTGTAATGACACCAATATCTAATACATACAAATCAAATCATATAAAAGGCCCATGCCTCGGAACATATAAAGCCGAACAGGAAATAAAAAGCTATTCTACAGCCTGCACACCCGGCACACAGGCCCAGCTGCAGCTAACCCGCTTAAAAGGTAGCGGCCTGAGCAACTCCCCCGAAACCCGAGGCCTCTTCATACCGTTCTCATGGGGAGTGCAGTCCCACCACTCAGTCCACATCGCCCGGGAAACGATGAATTCCCGCTGACAGATTGAGCAACGCTGTGCTCCTTCCTGCCTGGTCTGTCGCGCGAGCGAGATCAAGGGAATGACAAGAGCGGGGAACTCGAGAAGTTCAGAATCGGTGAGTTGGTCGATACCCGGGAGTTTGGATATTGCGCGGAGAGCGACCTCACGAAGCGAGGGGGCCCTGGATGCGGGCAGGGAGGTGGAGGGTGCGTGAAATGACGCATTATCTTCGAGAATTCGTCCCTCCATATCCAGGCGGGTCACTGGTCCCGTTGCGACGTGGATAGGTGTCCATGCCTCGTCAGGAGGCACGCCTTCATAGTCGCGGAACTTTGGGATGGGGGTGGTTTGCGGAACGTCTAATTCATCTTCATCCTCGGCTTCATTTTCATCATCGGACTTGTCAAATTCACAGTACCACTTGACCGGTCCAGATTCGTCGATTGACGGGAATGGATTTGGACGGGCGGTAAAGTGCTTCAACTCCCCCTGCTGCAACAGCCATAGAAGATCCCAGGGGAGTTCATCGAGGCGATTCATGGAAACATTGAGGACTTGCAGAGCGGTCAACTTGCGAATCGCCTCTGGAATCCGCGTGAGCTTGTTGTTACGCAAGCTGAGAACCTTAAGATCTTTCAGGTCAAAGATTTCGCTCGTATATAGGGAAATAAGGGAATTGTTGGAGAGATAGATTCGGAGAAATGGTTGAAGCGAGAAATAGGCGTTTTCAGATACTGGTGCCTCATGTAAAGAAGGCAGCTTTGTAAGATGCTGTAGAGGTCTCAATAGGCCTGGAGGAATATGCCTCAGATTAATGCCCCTGTTAGTTGAGAAGATTAGACTCCAGACCTCTGTGGGGAATGTTGTTCACAACGGAGAGGCTCTTACCCAAGATCAACGCTGTCATCGCCCTTCTCAAGACAATCATTGATCACAGCTTTCGCATATTTATGTTCCTCCGACTCGAAGGGGCCCAGAGAAATGACCGGCCGAGGTTGCACCGTCGTCGACACTGTATCAGACGCCTTGAAGAGTGAAGGCGCATTGGAGACTTTGCTCGGCGCCCGAGGATCAAGAACCGTCTTCAGGAGATCCTCCCCCCAATTCGATGCATCTTCCGACGGCAAAGAGGACTCGGTGATAGATTCATCACTGCCCATCCAAACACCACTATCAACATTGCGCTTCTCCTTGAAATCAGCCCTCTTCCGCTTGGGATCCGCAACCTGCTCTCCCCACCAGGTCCCGCGGTATCGACGCTTGCGCCCAGCGCCCGCTACCGGTGCATGGTAATTCTCGAGCCCGGACGCGGGAATGTCATCGCTCGAGAACAGCGCCGGGTCACTCGAGGGCTGACTGGAGCGGTCGTCAAAGCGCGACAGCCGGCGCGACCTGCGGAAGGACGATGCGACCGAGCCCGCTGGTGAGAGGCGGGATGGCGAACGGTGCCGAATCCGCCGTGGTGGAGGGAGGGGAACCTCGTTGTCCATTTGCGATCAGTGATGTCGCAAGGGCCGACGAGTTATATTATTCTCGTCCGTCCCTTTGAGCCTCGTGTGTTGGGCTTCGGAGTTGAGGGGGTCGCGACGCGTGGTGGAGCCGGCGGGGGGAAATAGTGTCAACACACGGCGACACGCGACGTGGGCGCTCTGGAGGGAGGGAGATTGATGTCAGGGGTATCAATTGGCACGACTAAGTCCCTCCAGGCAGCGCGTAAACCAAAAAGGAATGAAAAAAAAGAAGGAAAGGCGAGGTTCGAATATCAAGACACATACCAAGAGATAAGATCAGATCGAACGACAGACTGCCCGAAGTGGCCGGACGCGTGGGCGCACGGCCGTCTCCAGCGGACGGTTATCGATCGATCCACTGGAATGTTCGATCGACGTGATCTCCGCATTGTTCTACGTTAAATCTACTTTCTTGACTCTTGGAACGATAACATGCCGAACCGAAATATAAAGGTGTCAATTGATGCCTGGTGAATAGTCGAGAGTAGCTCTTCAGCAAATGGATTCAAATTGAGATTTACATCGGGGCTAGGCCAACCCAGACAGTAGTAGGTACGGCCAGTCCTTATTTGCTGTAGATTCCGGAGAAAAAAAAGGATCCACCAAATAATATATGAACAGAAGAAGTGAGGTAGATAAAATGGGGGGTTTATAGAAGAAGAAAGTAAATCAACATCAACTCGTGTCCACAGAAATCGTAAAGGGGGTATTTGGAAGTGTGAAATGCGTTAGAAAAATTGGGCCGTCATCCTCTCCGAAAAAGGGTTCTCCAGCGAACCACGAGGAATCATAAAAGTTGCAAAGAAGAAGAGAAATTATCAGTTCGAGATTATCGGTAACCCCGGCTTTGCTGGAGATGAACGGCAGGAACTGAAGGGAGCCTTGAGAGGTCCGGGCAGATACAGCCAGCGTTGACATGCTGGGGTATATGCAAGGCAGCAGTCTACCCGTGACCGATACGGAGTCTGCCTGGTCTCAATTGACTGCCTCAATTGATCGCATCCGTGATTACAGGGCCGCACCCATAATCAGCGCGAAGGATCCTGCGACCAGAGCCGCCGGCATGCCAGCGCCAAGAGCAACGGCACCGCCGGTCTTGGTGGCGGAGGTGGCAGCCTGGGTGGAGGAGGCAGAGGCAGAGGTAGCCAAGGGAGTAGAACTGGCTGAGACGCTCACCAGAGTCGCACTGGAGCTGGGAGTGGCAGTGACGGAGTTGACACGGACCAAGGTCTTGGTGATGGTCGTTGTTGCGAAAGAGGTGACATCTTCCGAAGCCATGGCTGGGGCGACGGCGATGCAGAAGAGAGAGACAATGGCGCTGAACTTCATTTTGTCGTTTAATCAGTTTCGATTGATTGATAGCAATGAGATCAGGATTGTGCGGTGACGAGGATGTGGTAAGGATATCTCGAAGTATCGAAGATAGTCACGAAAGTCAGGCAATGAACCGAGCCACTGCGAGAGAAAGGCGTAGAATGAGAGACGCGATGCAATCGACGTAGTAGAGTAGGATACAGAGAGAGAGCAAGTTCAGGCTTTGAGCACAAATGAGTGGGACTCAAAGACCAAGACTGAAGGTAGAGAACGTGGAAGGTGTTGGAAGGAGTGTAGGCCCGAATCGAGGGAGGAAGACCTAGGTATAAACGAGTGACAGAGTCCAGGGACAAGAAGTACGAACGACGAAAGAGTGACTGGGGTTGAAGAAGAGTTTTCTCGTAACGCCTAACAGGGGAGAACCAGGAAGTATGACAGGGCGAGGTATGCGCCCAGTCTAAATAATTCCCAAGCACGCGAGATTGGCCGCCAACCTGGGGAAAAGGGTCATCCGTCCACTCAGGGTCCGCAATTGAGCCCTAGCCGACTGGAAACTCCGTTTTTCTCGTTCATTTTTGCCTTTATTGAATTTTAGCTTTTTAATTAAATTACTGACGCTAGTCGAGTTGGGGGGGCCCCAATGGGGCTCCTATTGGACCGATGGGCACCCCCGTTCCTGGGACTATCCGAAATAGGGCCGGTCCAAAATCGAACTATGGAGACTTTGCAATTTCAACCCTAATGATGGAGTCGATTCAGCACTCTTTGCCAAGAACCTTGCGAAGGACTGTCCTCCATACAGGCTAGGACCTGGCCGACCCGCACAGATTCCCTCCTGTTCGTTCCTCCCCGGACTCATACCTCGTTATGCGAGGGCGCGGAAGGGACTTCCGGTCCAGGTACTTCAATCAGCGCTGCACCACGGCAGAAGCTCAATTGTGTATCATGGCCTTCACTCGGCGATTGGAGACAATCCTGGGGCCACCTGCAGACCAAAGTACTCCGTATCGGACGGAGTACTTGGACACGAAGTTCCCGCGAGCAGGGGACAGCCGGGCCGCCAATGTTTGTGACAGCACTTCGTTGTTCTAGGCGCAATACGAGAATCTTTCGCCACCCCTGGAGGATGCCACCGGGACCATTTGGGGGTCGTCGCCAGCAAACCCTACCTACTTAATGTGGACTAGAGAGGCGTGTATGGGGCGAGTTGAATTCCAACGGTTGAACGCGACAGCCACCTGGCGTGGCCCCCGCTGAAACCATCCAGGTATCGGATTGTGTTTCCATACGCGCTTGTGGTTTCTCTTAAATGACGATGCTCGCAGAGCAGCGGATGCGCAGGGCCGTCTCCAGGGCAGCGTGATGATTATGACAGCTTTTGGATGTTGATGTTCCAGTGTCATTTTGTTTTCCAGTCCCCATCTGTGTGACCCCTGGCGTCATGGATGCAGGAACCGGACAGCACGGATCTCTCAGGGCTGGGTAGTTGTGATTCGCCCTTGAGTGGTGTAAGCAGCGTTGGCGATTTTTCCCTGCATGGGTTGGCCACTTGTCACTGGGAAATGGGCCGGGGGCGATCGGATTGGCTAGCCGGAGTGAAGTAACCGAAATTGGATTGAAAACTTTGGTTCTCTTTGTGCCTCCTGCTGCCCGATAGGTCTGCTAGTCCACTCGGGCACATTCACCTGCCCACCTTGTCGCTCTGCTGTCCAGTGTCCACCGAACGCGAGAATTCGCACGAGGGGGCCACTGTGGGCATGGGCGGAATTTCCTCGACCGTTCAGGATCCCGGCTTGGCGGAAAATTCACCCGACCAAGTTCCGGCGACTCATGTGCATGTGCCTGTGCCTGATCAGACCCATGGGAACACCTCCAAAGTCCGATCCACCACACTTGGAGATCGACCCTCTCGCCTTCTGGTTGTGGATTACTAGCGAGCTTTATTGTGAGTCTGAAGCGGTCGAGAACTTCGATTAATCATCCGGACCCTCTGCCTTTCCTTGCAAAAACTTCCAACGGGTAAGATCAACGCGAAATGAACGCGAGAATCATCGGAAGGACTTGTCTGACCGCGTAGAGTTTTCAACGTAAAGCCAGTGTGCATCTTTGGATGGGTTGGCTGCCAGCAAACATGCAAACTGTCAAATTTCAAAACTTAAAGGTCCATTTGGAAGCAGCGAGTCCCCCACCATGATTCATCGTTCTGACAACGAGGCCCTATGGGTCGAAATGTCCAGTTGGCTCGGACGATCGCTGGCTGATTGGTGTCACATCATGCTAGCTAGCCACCGCTTCTTGCTCTTGTCCGATTCTGTTAAACAAGTAGAAGAGTCTCTAAGATTATTGAATCTACTGATGCAGAGAGAAACCCGTCCACGGCTTGTACAAGCAGATACTAGGAATGGAAAGGGCAGTGCAATGACAGCAATACGATAGGGCCATAATAAGCCACTGAGACGAGCCGAGGTCGGTGCATTACCCTATGGTCCGAAGATCGATCTACCAGCCAGTTATAATGTCCACGGATCTACGCATTACCTTGCAAGGTGACCAGATTGCATATGAGCAGATATCGCCGTTAGTACGTTGGAAGATACCTGGAAACTAGAACGTACATGGAATGTTTTTCGTAAATCCCTCTTCAATGAGATTGTTCTGTTGAACACTGCTCTTCGGAAGAAGCATTGATATGACCAGGCCGGTACATGATGGTTGTCATACCGAACGCCGGAGTTATAGAGTATACTGGAACAAGCTATAATGACACTTGGTCTCACCCGGATTTCATAGCGGAATGATCACGATACCGAGTCTATATAGCTGCCTCCCCGGTGTCAAATCTATTAGAATCTTAGAGCAGATCCAGATCTCGAAGCATGTTTCACCTTTGCTCCTAATCCTTGCATGCTGAATAGTGTGAGGGACTGTCACGTCTGAGAAAGGACATATATATGAAACACCGGCTCGATGTCAATCAAAATAACTCTAGGTTTGAGCTAATACCGCGAAAAATTCAACTCTCGTAGACAGGAAATGTACATCAAATCCAATAAAGAGAGAGCACGGAGACAAATCATTGAGGATCATCTGAGAATCGACGCCATGCCACTATCATTAGTGCTGGCCTCGAGGTATCTGATACGTCAATTTCGCTAATCCACTACCTTCAATCACGAATACTGTCGCTCCTATTCTGTTCATTCGACTTTGCGTTCGAGGGTTCCTAGTTCAGTAGGGCCGAGGTCTCATTCAAACCTTCCATGGCATACATTATCGTGAAGGCTCCGAAGGACAACACGATGGCCTTTACAAATGATCTTTAATGATGAATAGTGGCGCTTTACTCTACGAAGCAATCAACCAAATGTCTTCAGAGAGGCTATTCATCCCGATCAACGTTTCGGGCAGACCACTGCCTCACTTCCCTTCTCGAGATTGGCATATCCGTTCAAATACTCCCGATACAGGGCTCTATCGGTAGTGTACGATGATCCTAACTCACCAAATGCCCTCATTACATTCCACGTATATACACCTGCCTGGGACAATATTGAAGATCTCATGGGCTAATGATGGTGGTTTATTTGTTCATAGAGATAGAAGGCGGAGATCACTGACAAAGATATGATATTCTAGTCTGATATCCTAAAATGTGGATTCCAATCGGACGCAGTTCATCATGAGGCTCACGATGCTCACACCACCATCTCTAGTTTTACGTCAGTCCCACATGGAATAGGGATTGGATCGTCCTGTCAATCAAATCCACTATTTTTACAAGGGAATGTTGCTTTATTAGCGATTCATTCGCAATAGTGTTTAGCTGCTAATTATACACGCCCAAACCAATATTCAACACATCTCATGTGCATTTGGCCAATTGAGCCACTTCACTTCTACTGTTGAGCGAAATGAGAGCAGCCTGGGTAACAGGATATCGATGATGAACAGATGCAAGTGTACCGTCGACAGCACCTGGGGCAAAAGCGTCACCTGAAGAGGAAGTGCCACCATGAAACCCCAGAGATGACTGGCATATGTACATTGGAAGTCTGGAGAGTCTTCCACTCTCCATTTCGCCTGCAGCAACCACCTACTTGTAGCCTTTCTACCACCGAAATCCAAGGCCCCAGGTATGTCAAGAACGCTCAAGAGAGAATTGACTATCTTACAAAAACTGTCCCCTTCGATGTGATCATGTCGCGTATCTTCTCAGACAACCCCTCAGAGATATCGGAGAGTGACGAGTTTATTGGCGCGTCTGGCGCAAAGGGCTCTGGCGAGGGAGCATCATAGGGGGGCCTCGAGCGCGGAGCCAGGCATCGTTGTGGGGTCCTTCGGTACGAATAACGCTGCCGATGGACATGAAGAGGCTGAACGTCAAGACAAAGCTTTGATTAGCTTTCCATACTCAGACGATATGTAGTAATGGGGGATGAAGGTGTATATACCCGAAAGTGGCGCCAGAGCCCAGCATGTACTTGCCCAGAGTGCGCATAACACCGTTGGGGCCTGCGCCGTACTGGAAAATAGTCACCGTTCCTGTGTTTGATTAGCTGGCGTGCTTCAAGAACTTCACAAGTGCCTGGATTTGTGCTTCACATACCAATGATGAAGCCCATAATTCCACCGACAGCTATTTGGTGAGTGTCGCATTAGTATGAGCTCTGCTAGAAGCTCTTGGAGTTTGAGGTTGGTCCAGGCCACCCATCGGTCACGTACTGGATCCCATCATAGCACCCATTTTCACTAATGTCTTGTCAGCACATTTGACCTCTCCAAACTGAAGTTGAGCCGCTCTAGGTGTGAGTCTCGCAGATAACGTACTCTTGTCGAAGGTCGAGGGACCAACGGGGCCCCCTGCAGGAGGAGCTGCAACAACGGGCATGGTGAATGGATAACTGAAGCTCTGGATTGAAACCACAAAGTTAGAGCTTCTTGTCGCAGCTCGCAATAGGACATGACTCACTGATGCGCTTTGGATACTCTCGAACGAGAATAGGTGCTTTTTGCTCAAAGCGCATCACGGAACCTCCATCTCCGCCTCGGAGCTCACCGCCTTTACACGTGACCATAACGGCCGCACACCTGCACGTGCTGATAATGCACGTGACCATGATTGACTGGAGGCGTCAAGGGAGCAGGGACCAGACCACACTCCTCTCCTTGGGTGATTTCTTATATGGCCGACCGTCGTGGGCTTTTGATTTTACCCTCGTTGTATCGCTTTTAGGGTAGCCTTGAGCTATGCCAAGGCGGTAGTCCGTCTCGTGCTTCTTTCATTGCCCTGGGACGGTGTGAGACATCGGTCGCTGCTCACCTTTCGGCAAGACCTCACACGCCTCCCTTGTCCGGAGCACTGACTTTCTGCCCCAGACTGCGACTAAATATCCTTGAAACTACGACTTACGGGTAAGTCTGTCATCCACAGACATCATTTCCACAATCTGATGGCTCGACTTTAGGCCCTCGGGCCTGGGTCTTCGATAAATTCTTTGGCTGCCGACCAAATAGCACTAACGCGACCGTTCTGAATTAGCCGGCCGTCCGCTAAAAACAACAGCCGTCTACGCGCATCGCAAGCCTTCTTGTCTATAATCACAGGCATATATCGACGAACAAACCGCTTCAATTTTCTCTCGGCCTTCCGGGAGAGTACTATCAAGGCTCTCTCAATTCGTGACCGTTGATTACCGCTCAGATATCCCCCTGTGTTCTATCAATCCCAGGCAACCTTCTCCATGACTGCTGTGGCATCTCCGCCTAGTGTGCAATCGGGGTCTCGCTTGGGATGGTATAGCACTGGCAACGGAGGACAGGGAGCCCTCTCATCAGTGAATGCGGAAGAAGTATCACGGATGTTCATGCCTCGGAAACACGTTCAGCGTTCCAACTCTTCGTCTTCGTTAAACTCAAACTCGTCGACCACTACGGTGATAGAGACGAACGGTTCGCGAGATACACATACTGGACAGAGCTCTAACTCTGATACGAGTACCTGGTCTTCGAAGAAGAAGCCTAGTAGGAACCCTTGGCCAAATTCAAAGGCCGAACCTGTCGCGGGAGTCACGAATACACGCTCCCAGGCTGTTCCTGCTTTCTCATCTGGACCTACGGCCTCGTCGACTATGTCCGCCATGCATCAGCCCTCCAATATTGTTCCCTCACAGCACATGCTGCAATCTTCTCAACAAATTGGCGTCAGACAAACGAACGGGCAGTCTGGCGAACCACCTGCAATTTTAGCCCTCACTCCTATGAACGGTACTTTTGAAAAGAAACAAATCAATGTGCCATTATACCCGGAAGTGCTGCGAATCGGTCGCCAAACCAATGCGAAGACAGTACCCACTCCAGTCAATGGGTTCTTTGATTCCAAGGTTCTCTCTCGCCAACATGCTGAGATCTGGGCCGATAAGGCTGGCAAAATTTGGATTCGTGATGTCAAGTCCTCAAACGGCACGTTCGTGAACGGTCACCGTCTTTCGCTTGAAAACCGCGAGTCTGAGCCCCACGAGCTGCGGGAGAATGATACCTTGGAGCTGGGAATTGATATCGTCAGTGAAGATCAGAACACTATTGTCCACCATAAGGTTTCCGCAAAAGTCGAGCATGCGGGTCTTTATGGAACAACCCCTAACATCCTGGATCTTAACTTCGGAGACTTGGATCCTGCCTCAGGTGGGGGCCTGCTGCCTTCGCCTCTTAGCCAACCACTCTCTCACCTACGGGGACGCTCTGGTAGTAATGCGAGTAATCGCAGTGTTCAAAGCACCGCTACAAGCCACATCAATGCCATGCACCAGCAGCGTCAGATGAATTACTGGAATTCTCCCATCTCTGTTGAGCAGGTCGTCAAGAGACTCACTGTAAGTTTCAAGTGTCCACGCTCTCATATTTTTTTTATTATTGCTAACTAACCGCCGCAGAACGAGCTGAAACAAGCCAAGCAACAGTCTCAAGACCTTCGCCAGACTGACGAATTCTTGACTGCGATCATGAAACCTGGCTATGCAGAGAAGGAAAAGGCCAACAAGCCTTCTCCTCTCGAGAGCAGTGGCCCTCGCCAGTTGAATGGTCGCCCGAAAATGCCGCGAGTCGACTCATTCTCCCGGTTCTCTGAACCCCCCGCTCCCCCTCCCCAGCAACCTCTTCCCGAGAAGCCAGACGCGCCACCACGAGGTGGATCGGATGTCTTCTCGCCCTTGAAGCGCAGCGATACCGAAAAGCCGCAATCGTCGTCAACGAGCTCTCCTGTGTCTCGAGACTCCAGCCAGATTCTTGCCCTCCTTGAGAGTCTGTCCACTACCAAGCGGGAACTTGAGACACAAGGAACTCGGATCAAGGAACTTGAAGACCTTCTTCGCCAGGAGAAGGCCGCTCGTGAGTCTGCAGAGGAGAAGGTCAAAAAGTTGGAAATGAACTCTCTGTCAGAGAAGATGGACACCATGAATGATCCAGCCGACCTTGACCTTGATGCGGCTCTGGATCACGAACAGCCTGTCGACCAAGAACATGGTGCACCTCCAGCAAGTGCCCAGACTAACGGAACCATTCCGTCATCGGAGGCTCCCGTGGCCTCTGATCTCGAGAAGGCAGAGCTATCTACTGAGGCACAACTCCAGCGTCGTCTCGAATCAGTGATGCAGCAAATGGATGAGATGAGCAAGCAGATGGCATCTTTCAAGGAGCGCGCAGAAAAGGCCGATAATGACAACGTTGAACTACGCCAGTCATTGGCGGAGATGATCGAGACCATTCGCAAGGAGCGTGCCGCGAAGGCTTCGACTGAAATCAGTGACAGCAAATCCCACGCCCAGACCCATGATTCAAGCAAGATCATCTCTGGTCATGCAGGCTCCGACGAGAATGGTGCAGTGGAGCCCGAGGCGAGCGGCTCTGCTGTAGAATGCTTTGAATCAGTCTCCAAGAATCCAGAGATGGGTGTGGCAAGCACGGCGATTGCACACTGGCAACGACGCCACTACCTGGAAGAGGCCAGCCCTTATGCATCCATGCTTGGAGTGGTTCTTCTGGGAGTTGGTTTGATGGCCTATCTCAATGGCTGGCAGAAGATGGACAAGTGAATGTGTCCTGGTTACATGTTCGCGCTCCTCTTCTTGTACCCCTTGCCTCACGACTCTTCTTCTTTCCAAAAGTTGGCGCCTTGGACAAGGTGGTTCAGCATGATATGTCCTCCATTTCTGATGATTCTCCTTTCCGTCATTGACGCTTTGATTCCTTGTACTCCGGGCCTCACTCGCCATTCGAGGCGCCCCAGCCACGTGACCCGTCCGTGTGTCCTGGCGTTGGGTTCAAACCCTCTCTTTTCACTGCATACCTTGCATACTCTGACTTTCTCTCTTGTCTTTTGCCTTATTCATGTCCTCATCCCTAATTCGCACCAGTCATGATCTTGGCGCCGAATGTCCTGATCCTTACATCCCCGGCTATCTCTCATCGTTTTCTGTTTTCCGACGTCCCCTGTCACCATATTCAATGTCCCATCAGCTAGCCTACACAGTCCCTTGCCTCTCTCTACCTTTTTTCTTGTCATTACTAGCCTTTGTGCTCTCAACATTGGCATATATCTCTTTCCCTGTACATGATGGAAATTAGCAAGGCTGCGTTCATGGCTCGAGGTCTTTCGTTGATAGCCCTTTGACTAGGGTTCTTTCTTTGCACAACTCCTGTTTTCATGTCATACCAGCGCGTTCTTTCTGGATGTATTCAAGGGATTTGTTTTTCGATGTTTGCTTTTTTATTAACGGTTTAATGATCCATGTGGTCGGTGAGATTGCCGATCACTTTTGAAGTATCTTTTTTCTTGCAAAAGGAGCCGTAGTAGCCCATCAGGACATGAATGGTCTCAATGCGCTGTACAAGTGCCGTAATCATTGTAGACCGCGATGAGCGCTGGGCAGTGCGTTCAAATTACCGGGTCCTCGCTACGAGAGTGGATAAAGATGAAGGAACAAATTGAGTCCTTAAGTCACTAACCTAGACTTACGCTAGTAATCTTTCAGTCGCACCGTGTTTAATTCATGGCATGGATGACCCACTGGAGTGCGGCTCATGTTGGGGGCGAATTTAAGGGCAAGGCAGCTTTGGGCTGCGGGGTCGAGGGCTGTGCCGGCCAGCAAACAACATAGCTGTATATTTTCAGGGCTTGAGCAAAGGGCCTACTTCTCTTGCGAGGCAATGCAACATACATCATTTGTCTAGGGAAAGTTTTAGGTTCTATCCTTCAATTTTGGCTTGAATTGGTGGTTATATCGTGTGTGAAGTTTCGAACCCACATTTCCAACTCCTTGGATCTTCCGGCTCAGCAACACCAGCACACTGACATCTTTCCTTCTCACCAATTGGCTATGCTTTAAGCCGCCCCAAGTGATGTATGGATCATGGTAGTCATTGGATATTGTTCTTTGCGCCTCGAAGGGTCAACAAATGGCACTGCCCTCTCAAAAAATCCGAAACCCGCTCCCTGCAACTAACGGCCCCAGCCCATTTGGCCCCAATCGTCACAGACTGGGGCTGCTAATAATAGGGCTGTGCCTGCAAGCTTGATATTTATTCAATTTAGCAAGCGTTTAGAAATAAAATTGATCTAAGATCCCTTCTCCTCTTCAAGTTTCATCTTCCTTGAAATAATTTTACTTGTACTTTTGACAAGCAAAAAGGTCAAATTTCTGCCTCAGCCTTCCAAGATGCAAATCCTCTCAAGCATTACGCGTTTTCTACAGGTAATCAATCTCCCTAAGGTAGCTCCTACAACCGTGGTAGGAAGCTAATCAAACCCTTACTAGATCCTCTTCAGCGTCGTTGTGCTGGGTCTCTCTATCAGTCTGGCAAAACATCAAAAGTATGGAAAGGTCCCAACTCAGACAAGCTACGCTGCTTTTACTGGGGCACTCGGTATCATTGCCTCAGTGATTGGTATTGTCTCTCTCTTTGTCGACCGTCTAAGGGGAGTCTTTACCTGGGTTCTTGATGGTGTCACCTGTATTGCCCTCTTAGCCGCGGGCGTGGTAAGCACACATATACGGCCTTGATCTTGCAGTATAAATTCTTACAATGGTCCAGGCTTTCTCAGTAGCCCTCAAGGGTGTCGACTGCAACAACACTTCGACCGACGGGCCCACTTGGGATAACCCCATCATCAGCGGAGGCTGCTATAAAGATGGGGACACCAAATGGTGTGCTGACAAGTACAAGGTGCATAGCCGTTGCGTTACTGCCGAGGCTGATGCTGCTTTCATGTTCCTGGCCTTCCTGGCCTGCATCGGTGTACTTGTCGTTTCTTTCCTGACCCGTCGAAACTGAAGGGAATCCCTCTGGGGTTTAATATGAAGATTGGCAAATTTTACTTGCCAATCGACGTGGCTTCTGGATTGTTATAAGACCACATGGATATATACGAGTTTGGTAGAATGCTGAGCCAAAATTGACTCCCCGTTCATGGGTGAGATTCCTTTACGATCCTCTTGAGGTTTTGATGTTCGCTCGTTTTATACCCAGGGTCGACAGCTTAGAGTATATGATAATCATGCTGTTGGCGATGCTTCAGACCAAATATCAATTAAAAGAGCATGGTTTTCAATTTTATATCCACAAATTAAAATTAAAATCGGCAGAAGACAATATATTAGAGCGTCAAATTCAAAACACAGTTCCAGGCATCGACGAAACTCTAGTTTCCACGTTGGTTGCTTGCAGCATTAGCGTCATAGTCAGAGCTGTGTACCCGAGGATCCAGCTTGTTGAGCCAGTTGGAGCTGTGTGGACCAGAGCTTCTTCTCCTGGCCGGCGAGGCCGCATTATAGCTACTACCACCGGCCGCAGTGCCACCGAAGCCCTGCTGGCCCGAGAGATTCTCCGTCTCTTGCATAGGCCGGTTTTCCATTTGGTTGGTCATATTGGCCGAACCGGTGTTCAAGGTGTTGGCTCCACCCTCCATGGTGTTGCCAGCACGGCCGGTCGTGGAGGCCATTGCGCCTCCGTAGGTGTCGCGGTTACCTAAGAAAGCCGTGTCAGTGTAATTGACAAAAAGGGGGATCCAAAAGTTTTTATCGTACCAAGGCCTGTGTCGGTAGCGGTATTCATCTCGTTTCCCATCCGGGACTCGCTGAGACCAGAGCCGGTATTCATGTTTCCGGCTCCATAACCTCCGGTGGAGCTGTAGGTCCCAGGATCTGTACTCAAGTCTCCAGCACGGTTCTGCGATCCTAGTGCGCCGGAGTCCATGGTCGATGGACGCTGTTGAGTGGTACCATAACCGCCCGATTCGACATTCTGGCCCCTCTTGGAGTCAGTGTAAGCGCCGGAGTTCAGGTTATCTGTACCGGCGCCGGCCAAGCCGTAACCCTGACTGGTATCTAGTAGAAGTTAGATAATGTTGACAGTCTCAGAGCGCCCCACATATACATACCATTCCTTCCGGTGGCCATATTGGAGTCACGAACGGCCGAGTCATAGTTGCTAGCACCGGTAGTGGTCGCACCATAGGTATTACCAGGGCCTAGTCATAGATTAGTTGTGACAGGATGTATATGGAAGTCGTCCATGAGAGCTCTACCTTCCATCTTGTTACCCATAGGGGAAGGGCGATTAGCGTCGCCGGCATCTACCAGTCACATAGAACATGAGCGTTCGTTCAAGTTGACGATGAAGGATAGATAAGCTGACCTTTGACCGGGTTCTCCGTCTTGGACGAATCATGGCGAGACCCTTTGTTCTCAGGGTGCAGATGGCTGTTGACAGCATCCTTGACTTTATGTATGAAGTTCGACATTTTGAAATAAGAATACCGAGTTTTGATATTGAAAGTAGGAGAAAATATGACGATAGATCAAACTTGGATGTGGTGTTATTGGCTCCGGAGATGTGTTGTATGAAAATAGCATACAGGATGGGGTTCGTGGATTTATAAGGTTGGCAGCCCTCCCCCGACCAATGCCTCACAGTTGTCGGAGCTCTGTGACGACATAACGCGGGGTGGGAAATCGAAGAGAGACAACAAAGCTACCTCAAAAGTCGGATCCATTGTCATGACGTGCTACCAGAACCTTTAACGTGGGATACGCGTCGCTCGAGGGACCATCCGTGTCATGGGTCGTCCTGTTACGAACTGGCCAAGCTCACGCTGGCCACTAGGATCAGTCTTTCGATATATATCCGCCTCCAAGAAGTCAATTAGTAGTACAAAATCATAGAAGAGTTTGGCCATCAACCAGGGATGGGACATAGCTTCCTTCCATGGGTGGTTGGGTATGCTGACGAGTGAGGTAATTTTCATTAGACGGTACCGTTACACATGGTATTGTCGCATTGTGAGTACTAACCACTTACTGCCTCCGATTTAGACGTAAGTTTTGACTTAATACTATATAGATTAAGCGTCACAATATTTGATATGTCGTTGTCTGTGGGCTATGATGTCGTAAGCTTTAGTGTTGATATAACTCCTGTGAGCTTTGCGCAAAATCTGTACCATACACATTGGTCTGCCTGGGGAAGTGGATCGGCAGGTCCAGACTATGGGTCCCAACACAAGAAACATCTTGAACCTGTAGATATTTCGATCATGTAGACATGATAAGCATAAAGGCCAGTGTCGTTATCATTGTCACACCGAGTATAACTTGGGCCATTTTATCTTCATAGATACTACGGATGTCCCACTTCTCTGTGAGAGGGAATATGTATTTTACCTACAGCTAGGTTTGATCTTGCTGCTCCATATAATTTTCAGTTTTCCTTGGATCATAGAGGAAACAATGCACTCACCCCTCTATAGTTATCTAATTAAGCTTACTCAATCGGCAATCGCGAAGTACCAACACCAATGATGAGGGCATCCGACCGCAGGTGCCACGTGAGTAGAACTTTGCAAATACCCATTCCGACCGTAGCATAGAGTCAAATCTACAAGAGAGTTGTGGGGATTGTTCAAGTTGAGTTCCAATAAGCGGCTAACTAATTTATTCGTAAAATGCAGATGGTCTTTTGCGTTTCCTTTTGTACCTTTGACGCTGGAAAAGGTTTGCTACTACCCCTTTGGATCCTCACAACATGATGAAATGATCGGCGGAGGAAGCGGGCACCGGCATAAGGTGGGCGGGAGAACTGCGAGCAGATGGGGCCGCACCTAAACTTGGTACTGGAGGGGCTTTATCACCGTGCTAATTAAAAACCCCCGATCGCCTAAACTTAGTCACATGCGATGCTGAGGATAGTCCAAAATGCTCTTGGGCATTCGATCAATATCAAACCATTCTTCGAGTACTCTATAGAAGACTCGGGTGTGTTCTCTACAAGAATAAAGATAGTCATACGACCAAATGTGTGTCACTTGCCTAAGGCCGCAGACACATGACTAAAGCGCAATGCCGTCACAGGGTTACATAATCCATTCAACTAACTAACTAACTTAACTATTCACCTCCGGGTGGGCTCTCCTTCTCCACTCCCGACTGACTTCACCCTCCCCTGCCATCGCCCCCTATATTTCCGCGTCTTTTGGCATTCGCGTGCATTTTACCACCTGTGTGTTGGTTTGTGTTGACCAGCGGTGCTGCTCATTTCCCTCGATGAGTGGCCCCCCGTTCCTTAGCCGCCAACCGAGGGATTGGTACCTAAAGATCTGGGTGTGTCAGCGTTGTCATACAACGGATATCTAGGCATCCTCAGTCGTGCCACTCGAGCTTCTATTATTCTCCGGTCCATTCTCCTTTTTGTCTATTCATCTATTCCGTGCCTATACTTCCGGCTTGTCTGCCCAATATGCGACCACCACGTCTTCTCCTGATACTCTTCTGCCTAATCTTCTTCCCGATCTTCCTCACCCTCTTTTCCGCGCTTTCCTCGCCTACTGTTGCGACCTCTCATACGCTCGCTGGTCGGACGTCCGGGTTGCATGCCCTATTCTCATTCAACATTCCATCGTCGCTCTTTCCTCCGTCGGCGATTATCAGCCTCACTGATGACAACTCGACCTTTTTCCTGGCCCGCCCTGCGGCATTTGGCCCGCTCCTACCCGGCAAAGGCCTAAGCGGCCAACTATGGGTTGGAAGTGGCTTTGGTGAAGGTGGCTTGACTGCTGGGGTAGAAGGGGAGTTGGGATGCTCTGATATTCCCGGCTGGGACGAAGGCAACGGTGCCAAGAACCCAGACTCGGCTGCCAGGGGCAGCGAGCATAAACCTGGGAAATCCGGAACAGGTGTCATGAGCGATCCGCCATCTTCACAGAACCGCGCCCGCCCGCCAGCTCAGGCTGAAGCCGCCAGACAGAACGATCGAGGCGACGTTGCGGCTCCTTCCTCGTTGAACGATGGGACCGACGATCATTTACAGGCGGATGGTGTTTCGGATGCAGGGACAACTCAGGAGTACGGAGACTACGTCCAAGTCAAGAAGTCTACGCACGCCGATATCCAGTCATTACAGGAGACTGCCGAGATTCAGGGCAATGTTGTGTTGCTCAGCCGTGGTGGCTGTGGCTTCCTTGAGAAGGTCAAGTGGGCCCAACGTCGCGGAGCGATTGCAGTGATTGTTGGTGATGATACTCGAGGCGGTAATTTGGTTACCATGTATGCTCGGGGCGATACTTCGAATGTTACCATCCCAGCCCTGTTTACTTCCTACACCACTGCGCATCTTTTATCGTCGCTGATTCCCGCGCATTCGGGTGGAACTACCGGCCTCGGCGAAGCATTGAAATCGTTACATGCCAAAATTGCCGGTCAAGCCAATGCGGATACCCAAAATTCAGCAACAGCCACAACTACCAAGGCCACGGCTGTTCCCTCGTCGACTTCCACAACCGTTTCCAAGGACGAAGCTGCCGTTGTTTCGCATTCAAATAGCGGATTCTTCCGCACTATTGGCGCGTTCTTTGGCCTCTGCAGCAAAACCGGAGGCTCGGGGCATCAAGAGGACAGCCGCCGCCCACCCAGCAGTGGCAACATCGATTGGCTCACGCCAGGTTCGTGGGATAAGTCTGAACCTTTGTCAGGCTCCTCAAAAAGTTCAACGAATTCGAAGTCTCGCAGCCGCGGCAAAGTTGATGATAACACCAATTACAAGAAACTTGAACTGTCACCTGAGGACGATATTACTAGCGACGATTTCGTTATCGGGGTCCAGGACTGGAGAGATCCCGATTTGATGTTGCCCAAGAGCAGCACGCTACCCACACCTAGCACTTCGGTGAATGGCAAAGATAGTGCCAAGACATCTGCGCCGGACGCAGACACAGCGTCGCCGTCCAGTCTGCTTCGTGGTGGCAGCATAACTCCGGGAAGTGGTGAATATCAGAGTATTGACAAGTCCACTGGTAATGTTGGTGACGTGGGCGCGAAGAATACTGAGAAGGACTTCAATACTGAAGACGCAGGATCGGGTTCCTCCAGCAAGGGCTGGTTCTCAAGCCATTTCGGATGGGGAGCTGAATTGAAGCAGCCTGCTCAGCCTTCTTTAGCCGCGACTCAGAGCGCCGCAACAATGAACGAAAAGAGCCAAAATCCGGTCTCTTCGTCAAGTGTCCCAACCATCATGTTCTCAGAGCATGAGGGTCTTTGGGTTACGCTGACCCCCACCAGCATGTCGACGAGCCCCTTCTTCGACACCCTTTTGGTTTTAGTCATAAGTCCACTTTTGACATTGACCGTGGTCTATGCATTGCTGTTGCTTCGATCTCGCATTCGACGTCGCCGGTGGCGCGCACCCAAGTCGGTCGTTGAGCGTTTGCCTGTCCGAACTTACCACACAATTGCCCACACATCTTCATCATCATCGAGCTCCAGCTCTCCACGGCCATCCAGCCCCGGAGCTGTTTCGCCAACATCCCCGCTTCTCGGTCACGAAAGTCGCCCCACTCACTCCCGGCTGACCCGATCTCGCTCTCAAACTGTTGCTGGTGTGTTGACGGAATCCTCTTCGTTGCCCAGGGAAGAGAAACCGGCAAGTGTGCAGTCGGGCTCAATATTGTGGAGACGCAAATACACCGGGAGACAAGTTGAATGCGTTGTCTGTCTCGAGGAATACGTGGATGGACAAAGCCGGGTTATGAGTTTGCCGTGTGGTCACGAATTCCATGCGGAGTGCATGTAAGTACCCTCATCCGTGTTTTGTCTCATGCCCCGCCTCATATACTGACCTCTATATAGTACACCATGGCTTACCACCCGACGACGGACCTGTCCGATCTGCAAGGGTGACGTCGTTCGCTCGATGCCTCCTTCTCATCCTGGCGATAACCATAATGACAACGAGTCTTCCGCCGAGGACGCAGACCACCGATCTGATCCAACCGCTGCACCCGTTCTCATTGCCGGTGTCGACGAAGATGATATCTCTGATGACGAACAGAACGTGGGTCTTCTTTCTGGTCACTCGAGTTCCGCTCCACAGTCCAGTTGGCAAAACCTTGCCTCGCTCAGCTTCTCTGCCCTCAGCGGCGACACAATCTGGCATCAAGCCCGTGCGGACCGGAACCGCTAACAACACTCTCATTTTTCTTCTATTTATCCTTCCCACTCCCATTTGTTTTTCTTGCCCAGCCGACAACCGGGCATCGCTTTGATTCTCTGGCGCATGCTGTATTAGCGATCGTTTTGATTCCCTTATGATTTGAACTTGCGGGGCGTTTTAGTGTGTACATCTCGGAGTGCTGGACGGTTGCCAAGCACTTGCGAGCATCGTTGAAGCGGCTGGGTCATACCGCGGGTCTATCGTTAAAATCCATTTCCTTTGGTTACTAGAGAGCCTTTGAATTGATACCATTGCTTTGTTACTAGTTTTTTTCTTGATTTTTGCTACCTCCGGCTAAGTGTACGTCGCCATGATGACAGCCTAGATAATTCAACTCGTTTTCTTGGCCCTTGTTTGCCAGCAATCTACTTTCTGAATAGGAGATACGGAATTCTGACGCTCAGTCATGCCGTGTAACGTACTGAGTTGTCATCCCAACAACGGAGAGCATTCCCAATTACTCGCAACGCTCTACTCTCTCTCTCAGCATAGACATTGCCAGCGAAATCCTCGAACACGCCCAATGCATGCGCACAGTGATCACGAACAAGCTTTACTCGCGGGAGCAGGTCTCGGCCCATCGGCAGGAAGCGCTCTGCTTCAAGACCAGCTCTAGCACCCTCCCAGACCGCTACTTCGAAGATTGCCTTTGCAGCCTCGTCCGCAGCGCCATTGCCCACGAATGTTCCGTTATTCAAGCATCCATAATCTGCTCCGCCACCAACTCCTTATAATCATCCGGCAGGGGGCTTCAGCCATTGGAGAGGAATTGCCAATGTTGATATCGAGGTTCCTAGCCACACCGTCAATAGACAATTGTTTAACGGAGATACCTCTTTGGCAAGGACACGCGTCGAAGCTATATAAAACATCCTAGTCAGTATCTGCTCCTGATTCTGTGTGATACTGACCTCAAATACCATCTAGCGCAGCTTTTACCGCCGCATACCCTCCCCTCCCCCTACCCCTACTATTACAGCCATCTCACACAGCACCGGAACTAATGTTAACGATGATTCCGCAGTGTCGATCCCACATGCGAGGCACAAGCGCTTATATTAGGCGGCTAGGCCCAAAGTAGATTGTTTCCATCTGCCGACGGCGCTTTTCGTCCGAGAGCTACTCCACGGCGCCGAACAGAACGTACCCGGCATCATTGACCAGGGCGTCTATCTGTCTTCCAGATGCTTCCAGTTTCTCCACAAGGACTCGTACTACGGGAAAACCATCCACATCGAGCACGTGCCAATCACCGCCCTTCGCCTCCACTCCCGCCACTGGAACTGGAGTACGGGATGGCGTTCGAGATGTTGCAATGACAGTATGTCCGTATGTTCATGTCGGTGGACTTCACGGGCCAGTGCCAAACCGAGACCGCACTCCCAGCCGGTTATGAGCCACGTAAGTGGGCGAGCTGGCTTGGTGAACATCGGGCTGGACATGATGGCAATTCCGGGTCTCTTGTAGATAGCAGAGAATTTAAATCGATTTGAGCAACAAAGAGGCTCATGTGACACTTCTCCCCACATTCCATTCCTTCAATGTCGGCAAAGTAAGCGCCGTTTATGCCGCATAATTGGTCTCTGTATCCCTCCCGCGGGCCGTCAGGGTCACCCTGGCAGGGTTTATTCCATTGCGGAGTTGACTGTGGAGCCGATAGTTAAATTGGAGAATATCCACCAACGTTCCGCCCATGCCCGGAGATACATGCAAGGATATCCCCCCATTGCAGTCAATAGGGTGAAAAACCTAGAGTTTTTTCTGTCTTGTCGTCAATGGACATAAAATCCTTTGATCTTGAAGATGTCATCGCTAACGGATAAAGTCCAGCTATCAATCACCCATGAGCAAGGTCGTGATGCAGCTTCTAGATCATCCGGGTCTCCGTAACATATTGGCAATGGTGTCTTACAGAGCTTCAGGAGCCATAGGATTAGGCTGCGCTTCAGTAAGTGAGCTTGTTTGTCGTATGATGCGATTAATACGATGGTCCGTCGCGAGGTCGTAATACGCATAGAAATTTGTCCACCAAAACGGTCGCCGCGACAAGCGTGTCCGTATCTTTGATACTCATTCGAATCGTGAATTCTTCTTCCTCTCTCGATCTCTCCTTTTCCAACCTCTCTGCGAGCTCCCTGAAGATGTCGGGCTTGCCCATCAACCCACCCAGCGACGCCTCGAGCCCGCGGACGAACCAGCCCGGTAAGTAACAGACCAACTCAACCCCGTCTCCGCTGTCCACAGACTGTGCTTTTGTCCGATAATATTTGTCGGATGTGGCATGCTCCTGGGTACGTGGATATGGCTGACTTGACTTTATTGACAGCGTGGCGCGAGCAGCGTCACGGCGAGACCGGTGATGGCCGGGGTCCATCAGAGGTACGTAGATCCACAGTGTTTTTCATCAATATCTTTGCCTGATTTTCCCACAACTTGCCTTGTGTACAGCGGGCCCATGAAGTGATTGTTGACCATGATGAGATGCCACTCATTCCAGGATCTTCGCTCATGGCTATCTGAGCAGTTGATCGTTTGGACATTATCCAAGCTTGGCTGGACGTGGTTCATCTGATGGAACAACTCCCCCGTGTGCGAGTTGCTTGTATGGACTGGCGCTGACAAGGAGCTTTTAGGGAGAGGGCATGATGGCTTCTCAGCCAGATACTGAGAGGTCTGAAGTTCAGGTTAGTATAAAATGCCCCAAATATATCGATTGGACGTACACGAAGACTAATCGAACTGTATATAGACCATTGATCTGGTATGTCGTTGCCGCTTTGCTGTCATACCGGGCTGCAGATCTGATAGGGCTTGCAAGCCCTTCATTGACCATGATATGATGTGATCCTGCTTCATGTTTTGAAAAGATGTGCTAATGCCAGCGCTGAGCAACAGGTCGAGCAAGCCGAGGATACTGTGCCTGTGGAAGCAGTATTGAGTCCGAGCAACGAGCCTGCACAGACGCAGCCAACCGGGGAAGACAATCAGCAGACGCCCCTGCCAAAGAAAGAGGATGCCCCGCGATCTCCTGGTCTCATACAGGAAGCGCCTGAAGCTATTGTTGACCAACCTCGTGCACCACGTCAACAACTTCGAGCAGAAGCGCCCTCGTTCATACTTGGAGCAAGATCCAATGGCTCTGCCTGGAGACCATCCGTCACTGCTGGTGGTTCTTCCAACCCTCCCGTCTCGCCTGCTGGCTCCTCTCGGAGATCTCAGCAACTTCCTGCTCGTCTACAGTCACCTCAAGCTTCTCTTCATCCCCAACCTCATCGCCCTTCCTCTTCCCGTCCCACCTCGGCTGATCTTCACTTATCTTCCGTCTCCCCACCTCTGTCTTCGAGCCCTCTACTTCAGACGACAGCTACTTGGCAGCCATCTGGAGAGCCTTGTTCCCCGTCAACTGGGAACACTGAATATTACTCGCTGCCTTCATCTCTGAACCAGAGGCTTTCTGGCTCTGAGACTGTTCCTGGGCCCCCCTCTCCTCATCCTCGCACCGACTCTACTGCTCGTCCTGCCGAGAGGCCTTCACCCACTTCTTCACCTGCACGGAATCAACCCCTCCGTCGTAGGCCGAGAAGTCCCCCGATCATTTGGGAATCTCCAGAATCTCCGGAATTTCCTGATCGGGTTGCCATGGCTCACCAACAACCTTCCCACCCCGCCTATCACCAGGCTCAAGGTCGAGGTGATGACCGAGGTCATGGTCAGGCCCACCACCAGGGCCCTCCCCCCGTTCCTCCTGGGCCTACTCAACGCGTCCCAGCTGGACCTGCTCAGCATGCCCATGCTGGGCCTCTTCATTATGTTCCTGCTGCGCCGACTCACCGCGCACCTGCTGGAACTGCTCAGCATGCTCCTCTTTGGCCTGCTCAGCATGTTCCTGCTGGGCCTTCTCAACCCGTCCGCTTTGGGCCTATTCACCCGGCCCCTCTTGGAGCTTTCCCTCCCGCTCCTCCTCACCTGGCTCCTCCTGGGTTCGATCCGAGGATAGTGTATCACCAGACCACAGTGCAAGACCCTCACACTGGGGCTGTCTCCATGGGGCCTTACGACCCCTACTTACACACCAGCGTCGTCCCTGGCCCGTTTGGGCACCCTATTCACTACCCGGCAGGATTTGGATACTTAAATCCAACTCCTGCTATGTACCCTGCCACAAACTTCGGCCCTGCCCCGCCTGTTGCCCCGTTTGCCGCCATGCCTACCATCGGTAGATGGCCGCAAAGAGACCCCTTCGCCGCCGGGCCCCGCCGCTACACGCCCCCGCCAGGCCATATCGCGCTTGGCCCAACTCTCAGCATGCCGCGAGAGTTGCCCCAGCCAAGTACTGGCCAAGTTTCGCAGGCACCCGGGGTGTCTGGAGTTGGTGCTTCCGCTGGTGCTCCCGCCAGAAGTGGGAGCCGAGGGTCTCGTCCCCTCGTCCCTACGGTTCCGGAGTCCCGCCCGGCGCTGGCTCGTGGCGTGCCGGCCGACGAAGGGCAGACTGCCCGAAACAATGAGGGCACGGTCTCTCAGCGATCGCAGGAGGAGAACCCGTCGATGGGGCCTGGTCAGCCTCAGCAAAATCGGCTACGACCAGTCGCGGACCAGGTGGACGCTGTTCCTCTACTGAGACTTTTTGGCTCACAAGTTCTGCCGTCGCACCCAATCGGCCCATGGAACCCAACTGGGGGACTATCGGGCTTTGCGCCACGACAGGCGGCCAGTGTGGAGGACGCTTACAGCCGTTCTGCGACTCCAGTTCAGCAGGAGTCGGGTGACGGACGTGGTGAATCCGTCACCCCGCCAGATCAGATTCAGGAACCATACTCGTCCGGGAGCTCGTCCGCTCTCAGGATCTACGGCACGCCGTCCACTCCTTCGGGCCAACCCAGCAACCTCGATCTTGCGGGACCCTTCGGATTCATCGATCCGATCAGGGCTCGGGAGGAACAACACTGGGCGCAACAGCACCAGGCGGCGGGCCACGCCTCACAAATGCTTGGCTCCCAGGCCGACAGACTGGGAGCCATCGCAAACGACCCTGCCCGGTTTGGGCTGTCTACGGCCAATTATCAGGCCAACAGACTCAGAGACCTCGCTGGGTATAGTCCTCGCGCTGACCCTAGCCCGGTCAGAACCAGTCCTGCCCACGGGCAAATCCCAGCTGCTGGCCTGGCACGTCAGCAGCTGGTCTCGGCATTCGAACGGGTGTTCCAGAACCTGGCGACCTATGCCAACGGGTACTCCAACCTTCAGGGAGTACCCCTTGTTGCCAACACTGTTGATGGGCGCAATATGCCGGGGGCCATGTTGCACGAGCTCGATCTTTTGGGTGGTGATCCCCCGACCGCACCCCTCGGCCCAGCCGTCAGAACCCGGCGGCAGCGTAGACCCCGTCGCTGGCTGGACAGTCAGGACGGCCGTGGCCTACGTGCCGAACCGGAGGAGGCCGATGCCTTCCACGAGCGCCTTGAGCGCGTTGAGTCTTCCCCTGGGGAACCGGCTCGCGAGAGCGGCCCCCAGTAAGACTGTTGTTACAGTCTTTCCCGAAGCTGGCTTGCCAGCTTCTGTTTGATTAGTGAGATGTTGGAGTAGATCCGTGTGAGATCTGCGCGAGGAATGAGGGAACACCAGTGATCTGGTTGTTCTGTGATCTTTTTCTTTGCTCTGATCTCCCATCGATCTAGCCATGAGCCGTTCTTTGATTTTTCATTGTTATTTTCATCTCTTCTTCGTGTGTGTTGACCTTGAGATTGATGTCCGAGCGTTTGCAAGGGGGACTTTGTCCTCGCCTTGCAAGTGCACCGGCGCCTCTCTCGGATCACACACATATCAATCTACTCAGTCGCGGCTCTTCATTTCTCTTTCCATATATTCTTTCATAATTGCTTCGTATCTTTATTCGTATTGTTATTCGCATAATTTTTGCATTTCGGTAGAGATCTGAGTGTATGATTGCTGACCCCTTAGATACTCGACGTTGGGTTAGCATGTCACAGCCGTATCACGTGACACCACTTGCCCTGATATCCCGTTCCGCATTCCAATTCACGAGAATAACGACATCGGTGGCACCGCCACCCCCCGTTAGGAGGAGCTCCATGTCCTTTTTCAAGTCGGATGCGGACTCCGACCAGCTAGCCTCGACCGTCATTGTGGGGAGTAATTTCTTCTTGTCCTTTGGACGGAAGAAAAAGTCGGGCTGCTTGAGGCTTTGCGTAAATGGTGGGGTCGGTAGTTCGATGGTTGTCCCAACGCGGACTTCGATGAGGTCGTATTCATCCCAGTCAATCAACCCACTTCTGACCCATCGAGAGCAGGATTCAATCAACCAAATTATAATGGGGAGGCGTCGAAAGGTACAAAGAGCGGTACACGCGCGAAATATTTTGAGAGGAGAGATCGGGCACAGATATTAGAGATGGTAGTTTTCGGAGACGCCTGTCATGGCATTGCATGGTGACATGGAAGAACGTGATGATCCTTAGGGAAGCCCATCTACGTTCAGCCAAGTGCAACAATTATAACGCAAAAGCTCTCTCCAATTCTTCCTCTTGCTCGAAGAACTATTCCAATGAAGTGTACATTACGACCGGAGGTTCTAAAGTTTGAACGAAAGGCAGTAATAGAAATAAAAATAAAGGTGCAAAATCAGAAGCCGAGTGCCTCATCTCCTGGAAGAAAGACAGGTATGCTCGCAAGGAAGGCAAAATCATAATGGGAATAGGTGAAGGAGATCTGAACAAGCAAAAGCAAGACAAAAAATGATTCTTGATGGGAATTAAGAATGGAAAAAATATAAATCGCAGAACCGAAAACTCGCCAAGACGCCGGGTACATTGTGCGGGATATGTTGTTCAGAGCCATATTACAAGAGCGAAGGGCTCAAAGAGAGACAAAAAAGGCAAGAAAAAAAAAGAAATCGTACAGCGAAGGAAAGGGGGTAAAATTTCTCCCTTGGTCTAGCAAGAAACAAGGTTGATGTGGTGGTCGTTTAGTGCTGCGCAAGCGAGCATGGTGCGGTGCGGATGGAAGGCCGTACCAGCGATGGGAGAGGAGCGGTTGTGGTGAAGGAAGCTCGAGTACGGCTCGAAGGTGGAGAGATATGTGCCATCAACGTTGTAAGTCTTGACTTCGTGGCGGTTTGTGCCCCTATTGAGAAAAGGTTAGTCATTTGATGCGAGAAGCATTATGAGCCACTGGATACTCACATGCTGAAGACAGGGGCATGCTCATGGACACTCAGAGTGCGAAGAGTATCCTTGGTAGTGGAGATGGTTGAAAGGGCACCATTCATGCGAAGATCCCATAGGCGGATCTCGCCATTGCGGCTACCGGAGATGAGCTCTCGCAAGCCACCCCGTTGCATGTGGACATTGGTGATCCACTGCTTATGCTCACGCCAGACCTTGATCATCGATGTAGTTGGCTTGAGACGCTGGTCGAAGACACGGACGGCGCCATCACCGAAGCCTGCAACAAAGATGTTGCCAGCAACTTGATCCGAGGTCAAAGATGTAATACAGGAACCGGAGCGTGCGGGGATATCCTAGAGGGAAAGAGTTGGGGTTAAGAGATGGTTCCGAAGCTTCAACGCAGCTTGTCCAAGACTTACATTAGTGCACACTTCGGTAGCTGCGTTCCACACTCGAATCACCTTCACGTCCCCTGCAACCAAAGCTTTTCCTTGGCCCTGTTGCCAGTCAAGTACAAGACCCGCGTTGCGGTTGCTTGGAATTAGTTCAGGCAAGGCCCGGAAAGCCGTCACGACCTCGATGTTCTTTGCCGACTCGTAATGACGGAAAAGCTTGAGCACACCATCGGAGGAACCAGTCAAAAGAAGGGCTTGATCATCCTCATTGATGTAGCGGACTTCGTTGATCTTCGATCCCACAGGGTTTCCATTAGAGAACAGATTTAGCCGCTTGTGGTTCTGCCAGTCCCAGATCCTATGCGAGAGTCAGAGTTAATAGGAAAACAACAAGACGGTATCCTCTTGCTGAACTTACGCAATAGTATCCCGATCATCCGCAACGGCAAGATGATCCTCGAATTGGTGGAAGCACATCTTCAATGGCTGGCTGCTGTTCGAGAGTAGAGTAACCGAATTATCCCACCTGCTTGTGCCGGCCTTACCCTTGAGGGGCTGTGTCTCTGAAATAATCTTCTCATTGCGGCCGCGTCGCCAAAGTCGTTCATTGTAATCGGAACTACCGGGTTCGTCGGGTTCGTTCGGTTTCATCTGAGGCTCGCGGAAATACTTTTCGAGCGTAAGTACGGGGTTTCCAGCAATCTCTAGGACCTCCTCGCGGGTGATGGATGCGTAAACGAAGGATGGGATTACCTCTGTGGACCAGGCTAGGAAATGGCTCTGCAACGGGATAACAGGTGCGACCTCCGGGTTCCTAGGTTGGAAGCCTCGAGACGTGGGAGTAGGAGCTTGGTGATAAGCTGTTGCTGGAACGACGTGGTCGTTTACTTCTGGGGGGCGCGTCCATTCGGGAGGAGCACGGCCGCGGGGAGTCATGGGCATTCGACTCTTTGAGGTTGGCGATGGAGGGGTCGAATTTTCCGAGGAATCGGTCATGGAGCCGCCAAATGCAAGGTTCTTTAGGGAAGCGGCAACACTGGCAGTGCGCCTGAAGCCTAATGAAAGGTAGCCTTCTTGTTTGGAGGGTGCTGTTGTTAATGATGGGGGCGTCGAGGGCGGTGCTGACTTCTTGGTATCCGGTCGTTCCTGTACCTGATACCGTTGTGACATACGGCTTGTAAGATCCAGAATTTCAATTCTGATTCTGTCAGCAAGAGTCGACATGGGTGACTCTAGAAGGGCAAGGTGGATGTAGTCAACAATAATACCAGCGTCCTGGGCAATGTCAGGGTGCGGGTCGACGGAAAGAATGAGAACTTGTTTCCAGATTGTCCCGAACGTGGTGTTTCGAGACAATTGGGTTTGCTTGGGCTCGCTGATAACATCACCGTTCTGACCCTCGATGCGACTGGTGTGCGATGTTTCACTTTGCAGACGGTGCATCAGGGATCGTTTCTCATCCTGCAGCTCTTCGTACGCAGCCACCACAAACTTATTCTGGTGGCGCTTGACAAAGGTGGATAAAAAGACAGCAAGTTCCTTGCGGACGAGCACGCTTCCATCAGCCGCCATGGGCAAGACCGACAAAGCCAAAGACTCTTCGATCTGAGCCACTTGATCGGTCAGATCGGGAATGCCAAGGAATGTCGTTACAGCATGAAGCATAGCAGCGCGAACTTCCGGGACTGGATCGAAGTTCAATTCACAGAGTCTAGTCGGAGCTGCACATCGAATTCCCATCCACTTCGCTTCCGGGAAATCACGCCAAAGCATACTCAGACAGAGGCATGACCACTGGCGGAGCAGGGGGTTCTCAACGTCGCCAAGATGCCTTAAGCACGAGTCGAACAAATCACCAGACAGACACACATTCTGACCTTGAGGATAATTCCTGCAAAAGATGGAGACAATAAAGGCACACATGGCGCGGTGCTCGCTGGCATTTCCAACAGGGATCGGAGAAGATGGGTTGAGAATGGAGATGAAGTAGTGAATACCATTGTCCTTGAGCAGATCAACCTGAACTCCATTGTCGACGGCCATGATGCGAGCCCAAATGAAAACCATGACAGGTTTCAATTCTTGAGCAGCTGACTGCAACAGCTTTACAACATATGGGAAAATACCAATGCTCAGAGCCAAATGGACGGCCCACGGACCCAGATCAAGGAACTTGCTCAGCAATATCAGTGCACGCAGTCGGTGAGCCTGACTGAGAAGAACCTGCAAGACAATGGGCAGTTGATCCGGTGGGTTCTTCTCTGTGGGACCAGATGAAAGATACACCTCGAATGCGGTGAGTTGCTCAGCGAAGAACGTAGAATGCTGATACTCATACTGTCGGCGACCCTCCTCGTGATCGATCAGCGCAGGCAACTGCGAAAGTACCATCTCCACGGCAAGGTCCCAGCTCTTCCAGAGCGCGTGCTGGTGGGTCCCAGGGAGCTCTGGCGAGGATATGGGATGACATTTGTAGGTGCGCATGATACGCTCGCTAAGTAAGAAATTGCGGAAGAGTGCAGCAACCATCAGATCCTGTCGGAAAAGCTTCTTGAAAAGAGCGCGCGGCAACGTATTCCAAGCGATTGTATCGGTGATCGCCGTGAAGATCCAATTGAGCTCTCCAAGAGGACTGCGACGATCCTGGAGGCGACCCGGAACGCGGAAATCGTCGATGGAGAGATCAGTCCGCAGCGGGTTCTGCAAAACGAAGAAACGCAGAGCGATTTCAATCGGAGTGGTGAGACAACATGTAAAGAGATCGGCGGGTAGGTCGGGGTTCGTTGGAAGAGACTCGTTCTTTTGGCAGGCTGCGAGAAGAATGCAATCGCTATAATTTTGCACAATAGCATTGGGATCCCGCTTCTTGGCCTCCGCATTTTCCTTCTCGTGCTTCTCCACGAAGGTATGGAAATTTTGGACAATATTCCCCGCATGTGAAACGTCGAAAACGAACAGGCTAGGGCCAGCGAGCCACGACTGGAGGTCATAAAGTGGCACAGGGATGTATTGGGTGTAGTTCTTGTTAAACACCCAGATTTCACCGGATTGGGTGGGCAATGGCACTCCGTGGCCATTGTAATGAAGAAGTACGCGCTCGTCCTTGGCATTCCTGCGCAAAGACATACAGAACTTCTTGGTCTCATCGACCGATGGGTCCAGATATTGCTTGTATCTGGTGCGAAGACTTAATGTTTCATATTGTTCCTGCAACTTCTTGCCGATCTGTTCCATGATCTTGTTCTGACCACCGCCCGTTGTCGAGGTGGGATCGACCCAACATTCGAGCTTCGAGGTAGGATTTGTCTTGACGACATCTGGAGGGTCGACGCCGATGTTCAGACAAATTGCGAGCGCCGCAGAAACGGTCTTGAGCCTATCCTTCATGCGCCATTCCTGAGCTGGCCAGCTGCCGTCTGGGTCGCGCGGGATGCCGTTGGTCTCGTGACGTTTCTCGGTAAAGTACATGTAAAAATTCTTGAGAAAGAGATTGAACATCAGCTTCTAGCTTAAATTACTCGTCCATCACCGCAACATGCTTACCGAGTGCAAAATCTTGAGGTATTCGCTGGAGGTGTATTCCTCCTGCCATCCATGGCGCATGGCGAAGTCTTCCTCATCTTCTCCCGGTGATTTGTCGAATGTAACACGACTCGGTCCATAATCACTTCGTGCTCGTTTCAGCATGGCGGGTCGGCTGCTCTCCGACCTGCGAGGGGAGGGCCGTCGAGGTGGCTCGGCTGGGAAACCCACGACATTCTCTCCGCTAGAGCTCGTGGGGCGAAAGGGCGGGGCCAACGAGGAGGACATCTGTTCCACAGTAGTGAAGGACCGATGGTGGCTGCTCAATGGAGTAGGGGAGCGTTCACGGGTGGGGATAGTTGTTTCTAGCTCGGGTCCAAACGCGACTCGAACTGACTTGGTAGGACGGCGGGGTTCCGGCGCCCCGTTAGTCGCGGGTTGCTGGGGGATCTCTTCCATATCTGCGGTTGGGTCCCTCATGTTGTATGTTCGGTCATGGTGTTACTCGAAAGGCGGGGCTTTGGAAGCCGCGGGGTTGGAGGGAGGCAGCTCAAAAGTGCGAGCACCTCCAACCTCTATCTCGCCGGGGAATGATTCGGGAATGACCCAGCAGAAGCGTCACTTGCAGTGTAGGTGTGAGGATGATGATTCGGGTATGAGTTTGGCAGAAGAAAAGACGCTCAACTTTCTGGTCTGATTGAACGAAGGTGCCGATAGGTTGTCAAGAGCAGCCTGAAGGGCTGGAACCGCAAGCGACGCAACGGTGAGGCTCCGATGCTGAGCGGGCCCGGACAATTGATCCCCCGCGCCCTGTGCTGAGTCATCAGGGAGCTTCCACCTTAGGTAACTAACTAACTAACTAGCTGCCCACCAGGGTCTTCTGTCGCATTGGCCAACCAGGAACTAACTTTTGACATCGGCTACCGTTGCGTCGTTAAGATAATTATAGTTGATCAATTTTCTCATTCGTTGCATTTTCAGACTCATACAGCTATATGAGCCGGTGAACACTGTCCGTTGTCCTTGCATGTCCACAGACTCTCGGTAGGCGGTAAGTGATCAGTAGATAATCCTTGTTTCTGGGGTCCAGTCTTGGCGGGGAAGTTGTTTATGGTCACCAGTTGATAGTAGCTGTCCAAGCTCGCTCACTTGGGGTGGTGATAATCTAATACTAAATTATGGGTATGCAAAAGACCTGCATGTACCCCTAGATGGTTTATGATGTGAGCTCAAATCATGCTCCTCTTTTTCACCCTAGCAACACGTTAATGCCGTTAGCAATGAACACACTGTCTGAGACAACGGCACGGCGGAAGATCACGATGAACGCCCCATACATCTAGGGTCTCACTGAGAGCCGCTAATGTGTGCAAGATCTGGAGAGATATTAGGTTTTCAACTGACCAGCATTCGCATACTAGTATTGACCTGCCCACTCATTATATTATATTAATGCCGAGGAGGTGTTTGCTTGGTAGTCGGTCCTTTGCTGCATGAAGGACTAGATGTAGCCTGGACTACAGTGTTCCCGACGCCATGAGACCCCCATCAGACCTACTCCACTATCTCACGTGGGTAGAGATTACATTGTATGATGACAGTCATCCCTAGCCAGCCAAGCGTAACCGGGAACTGGGCAGGCGGGCGCTCAGGGAGTTACGGAAGTATATGGAAGTGCAATCGAGATGATCGCAATCCCGAATTCCTCTAATGGGCAGGGAAAACCCTAAGTCCCAATTCCCCCCAGCAGCCCCTTCTTTCACCAAATTCATGCGGAATTCATTCTGACCAAAGTGCCCTTGAGGGACTAGTCTAGTAGAGTGAAATATTAAAAGGTAAACCATATGCGACCGTAGTGTTATTGTATGCACCGAGTATACATACAGCTGGCATCCGTAGGCACATCTCCACTCCTCGAGGGAAGAAGTGCCGCTGACGAGCGACGTCGGCAGCCGCCCCTGATTATTCTTCCTCTAAACAACAGCGTGGGAACAGTTCGCAGGCGATAGGTTCCCTGCACGTTGTGGAGAGTGGATCGTCATGTGGAATCGGGGCATCCTGGATGGTCATTGGGTGGCTTGTTCTTACGCTGGCTTGGGACAGCCCCGCGACTGGCCCTAATGTCCGTGATGCAATTTCAATAATTAGAATTGGTTGGTAGAGCATGGTGAAGAAGAAGTAGGAAGAAGTATCATCCAGGCATCAGTAGGAACATATCAAGGGGGAGTCTACGAAGTATTTAGAGGGCCCATACTAGAGTAGTAGGGGACGGTATTTCGTCTTCTCGGATAGAACCATAGAACCATTGGAGGGGCCAAAGAGCGAAAGAGATGATGATCTCAGACAGGGGCACACCTGTTCCAAGATTGACAATTCCTTTTGGTGATGAATGACTACGGTCCTCCGTACTTAGCTAAGAAATCACGATAGGCCAAGTCGAATGAGTATATGCAATCCTCTGGCATGAGCGAGATCTATGCGCTTGAAATCCGATGGACGTCTAGTCTGCCCTGAGGTGGCTGCTTCGTATAGAAATCAAGTAGGCATGAGGTAACGGTATTCCTTCATGGAGAATGGTCTGATCGCAGGATTGGGAATCCGTCCCAGACACTTCCGGGGAGGTCGGTTGATTCCAAGAGGACCATAACAGTTGTAGGCTGGGAGACCAGAAAAGCAGAGCCCAAGAATGAAGGCGCATAGCGCATAGTTAAGCCGCACCAGTTTTCTGGCCGTTGGAGCCGATGCCCCTGAGTATGCAAGCCTCTTTGGCTTTTCCCTCCCCATACCAAGTCCCCTCAAGTGGATGCCGCTGCTGCTGGCCACTAGCCACTAGTTGGACTAGACCAACCTCCGAGAAATTGAAACCACCTTCGCTTCTCTCCTACGATCAGCACTTCATCTCTTTCTTCTCCCTGCTTGTTGCCGCCCCCTTCTCCCTCCCCCTCTGTTTTCACATCCCCCCCAGCCCTGTGGGCATCTATTTGAATACTACTTTCCTTTCTATGCCTTGAGGGCTGTGATCGCCGGGGTGTTGTGTTCCAGTCCACTTTCAACTCCACCCACCACCACACGACCCCCTGGCCACATTTTTTTTTTGGAACGCCGAGTGGCCTGTGTATGGGACGCTTCCAACGGTTCCCGGCGCGGTTCCTGGTTTCCGACTCCATCTCCAACTGAAAATACACCCACCGCAACTTTCCCCTGGTTCCGCCCCGGTCGCAGTGCCATTTCTACAAACCACGATTCCCCTCCAACTTTCCTCCACCGAACCACTGGCCTTGAATATCTGCTGGGAGCCGGATCTGCCTAAACTGGGACAATTGCACACGCCGTCTGCTCAATCCGACCAGTGGGCGTTGATTACTACCCATTGCGCCGTTGAACGACCGATTACGACACGCTCACGATGGCTTTTTTGTTCAAATCCAAGAAAAATCAACAAGGGACCACGCTACCTCCAGCGACGAGGAACGTCCATACATCCGAAGGCGCCCCATCCGCCGGTGGTCCTCCTCCGATGACCAACGGAATCAAAGAAGGCAATGCTTTTGCGCAGCAGACACCTACGCCGAGCAGCAGTTACAACAACTCGCTGAATTCGGCTACTAGTCCAACTAGTCCGGATCCCGTCAGAATGCGACAACGGGCTGAATCAGAGTCCCAGGTAAGTCGATACTTGGCTCCTGCTCGCAATAGTCGAACCGTGCATCCCTGACCCCGGTGGTTTGTGTCTTTCCTTTAGGTCCAGCGACCCCAGCAGCCTCCTAATGGCGTATCTCCGACGAGTCCGAACTCTTCCCTCTACCCATGGTCGCAACGACGCCTCAACTTTTCCTCTCCGCAAATGAACCCATTCCCCCGATATGGAGCCGCGATCAACGCCGTAGCATCGAAAGAAGGCGACATCTACATGATGGGCGGTCTGATCGATGGTTCGACGGTCAAGGGTGATTTGTGGATGATTGAGAGCAGTGGTGGCAGTCTGTCCTGTTTCCAAATTGCGACGGTTTCAGAGGGCCCGGGGCCGCGAGTTGGCCATGCTAGTTTGTTGGTAGGCAATGCGTTCATTGTGTTTGGTGGTGACACCAAGATCAACGAGACGGATGCTTTGGATGACACTCTTTATCTTTTGAACACTTGTATGTTGCCCCTACCGCCTAATCTGCGTTTTTGGTCCCTAATATTCAATTCCGCTAGCTTCTCGACAATGGTCTCGTGCGATTCCTCCCGGTTCTCGTCCGTCTGGCCGATATGGCCACACACTCAACATTCTCGGCTCTAAGCTTTACGTGTTTGGTGGTCAAGTGGAGGGTTTCTTCTTCAATGACTTGGTGGCATTCGACCTAAACCAGCTCCAGAACCCTACAAATAAGTGGGAGCTGCTTGTTCAAAATAGCCATGAGGGTGGACCCCCCGAGGGTGAAATCCCCCCGGCTAGAACCAATCACACTCTTGTCAGTCACAACGACAAACTGTACCTGTGAGTGAACACGCCTTTGAAACAGCGAAGACAAAAACACCCGAGCTGACTCGAAACAGATTCGGAGGAACGAATGGTGTCAAGTGGTTCAACGATGTTTGGACCTTTGACCCTCGTAACAATTCCTGGACCGAGCTAGACTGCGTGGGTTTCATTCCGACTCCCAGAGAGGGTCATGCGGCTGCCCTCGTCAACGATGTGATGTATGTATTCGGTGGACGTACTGACGAGGGAATGGATCTGGGAGATCTCTCTGCATTCCGCATAACCACTCGCCGCTGGTACTCGTTCCAGAACATGGGTCCTGCGCCATCTCCTCGATCCGGACACAGTATGACTGCTTTTGGCAAGCAGATCATTGTGATGGCTGGAGAGCCAAGCTCGGCCCCGAGGGATCCCGCAGAGCTTAGCATGGCCTATATTCTCGACACTGGCAAGATCAGATACCCTAATGATTCGCAGTCAAGTGACCGCGCCGCAGTCCCGGCCGGCAGGAAGATCAGCACTGACAAACAAGGCCCCTCGTCTGGACGTACATCTCGCGAGGCTCAAAACGCGACTCCGGACCACCTGCGTCGTGGACCGACACCATCTCGTGAGAGCATTATTCAAGCTGCGGGTGCGAAACCTGGAGAGCTCGGGTCAAACCCTAATCTCGGCCTTGGATCCCGACTACCAAGAGCTTCAATTGCACAGGCGCCTGCTGGGCCACCACCCCACGGTCAAGCCCCATCTCCAGGCCCCCGGGCTAATGGATCCCAACCTGCAATCAACCCTCGCAGCAAGACACCTCCCAAGAACGATCGTGGGTTTACGCCAACCATAGATGTCCGCGAAGCAAATGCCGAGCGAAATGTTGAATCTCCCGTGGCCAAAGATATGCACGAGAACTCAGGCTCTTCCGGTCAACGGACCCCAACCCAGCAGCCACAAAAGATTACCGCGAAGGCAATGGAGGCTGGAGAGGCCGCTCCGATGATGACACCTGCTCGCCAAAGATCATTGCGCCAGCACCGGCAGCGGGGCTCTATGGATAGCGCGGAGGAGTCTATTCTTGGCCGACAAGCTGCCAGCATTGACGGCTCTATTGAGTCTCGGAGCTTCCGCAACTCCAGGACCCTTGGTGATGAGCCGCGGTCGCCCAGGCTGACTCCTCACCAAGAGGCTTTGATCAAGGAACTGGAGGCAGCCAAGGCTCGCAATGCTTGGTACGCATCCGAGCTGTCATTGGCGAGAAGGGCTGGCTACGTCCCCAATGCAGCAAGCAGCCCTGCCATCGATGACCGCATCAACGAGTCTCTCAATGATGAGGATCGTCCTCTGGTGGAAGCATTCCTTTCCATGAGGGCCGAGTTGGCGAAGATGCAGGCTACTGTGGACCGCCAAGCTGCCATCGCCTCCAAGCGGATCGCGGAAGTCGAACATCAGCGCGACGTGGCTGTCAGTGAAGCCGCCTACTCAAAAACCAGGCTTGCCGCCCACGGTGGTAGCCAGCGAGGCACTCCTCAGCCCGAAGGTCCTCGTGATGGAGAGGATGAGCGCCCAACCGACATGGGTCGCCGACTCGCACTGGCTTTGGCCTCTCAGTCGGAGCTGAAGGCTAAGCTGGAGGCGATAACCATTGATCTCCAGCAAGAAAAGCAAGCCAAGGAGCTCGCTGAGGATACCATTGAGGCCACTCGCAAGCGTCTGGCAGAGCTGGAAATGTCGAACAGCACACTAGAGGCCGAGAATCTGCGGGCTGAGCTGCACAAAGCCGAAGCCAGCGCGAGAGAAGAGGCCCTGCTGCGCTCGGAAGCCGAGGCTTCCTTGAAACAGCTCATCATCGACAAGGAGGAGCTCATGAAACACGCAGAGGACTCTTCTGGACGTCTGAAGGACTTCAAGAGCAACTTTGATAGCTTGCGGGAGGCCGTTGCGGCTTCAACTGCAAAGGCTGCTATTGTGGAGAAGCAGCTACATGAAGAGCGAGAACGCCGTGAAGGTCTGGAGCGTAAGCTCCTCCAGCTCCGCTCTGAACACGAAGAGCGAACAACCGAGTTGGAGAACACTACTCGGCGCCTACGTGATGCCGAGGAACTGGCTGAGATTCACGCCAAGGAGGCCGAGACGCATAAGCTGGCTTTCGTTTCTGGCCTCGAACGTGCCTCATCGGTTGATCTGGAAACCTCGATTAAATCTCGTGCCGACCAGCGTGTTGCGGCTCTGGAGGCCCAGGTCGAACGATCTACCACTCTGGCCAAGGCCAATCAGGCCGCTGCCGATGCAGCCGCGGAAAAGCTGCGTCGGGCCGAAGAGAGAATTGCTGGACTGGAGGCCTACCAGGAACAAGCCAGCCGCGAGGGACTGCAGCTGCGGAGACAGCTCCAGACCGCTATGAAGGAGAGCCAGGCGGCGACTGTGGAAAGCCGAGACTTAAAGTCTCAGCTTGAGACCCATCAGCGAGAAGCCAATGCTTTGAACATTCAGCACGCTGCTCTGAAGGATCTCCTCGGCGAACGTGGCATCAGCGCTGATAGTCGGCGATCCCCTCGCCTTGAGTCACCAGGCTCTCGCTTCGGCACACCAGAGCAGAGCCGGCTGCGCGAGCTTGAGCAGCAGCTATCAACCAGCTTGAAGGCTCACGATGATCTCAAGAATTCCTTTGAAATTCGAGAGCAGGAAGCTGATCGTACGTTCCGGGAGAAGCTGGAACAGCTGGAGAATGATTACCAGTCAGCGGTGCACTACGTGAAGGGTACTGAAAAGATGCTGAAGCGCATGAAGGATGAGCTCAGCCGGTATAAGATTCAAAACGCCAAATTGCAGTCTGAACTTGAGACTTCCCAAAAGAGTCTCGAGAGCGGAGACGACCAGTCAGAGGCGGCTGCTGCCGAATGGGAGAACGAGCGCGCTCGACTCCAAAAATCCATCTCCGATTTGGAATCAAGTACCTCCTCCTCCCTGGAGAGCTTAGAGGCCCAGATCTCGGAAATGAAGGAGCAGCTCGCCGCAGCCGAAGCTGAGAAAGAAAAGGCGCAGGCTGAACATGAACGCTCCCAGCGAGAGCTCCTTGCCGCTGCTGACCGTAGCCGTGCCGAACTGGAGCAGCTCAAGAACGAGAACCTTCACCTTGAGACCCGTGCCACGGATGCGGAACAGAAGGTCAATATGCTCTTGGTGCAGGTTGAGACTTCCGTCGGTCACTACCGCCGCCAGTCTCAGCACGGTGGCCAGGGACCGAATGGCATCTCTCGCACTCACAGTAACGCATCCAGCAACACCATCAGTGGCCGAGCCCGCGCTGACAGTAGCGTCTCCCAAGACTCCACCACTTTCCCAGACAACCGTGGTTCTATGGCCTTGGACTCGCTTGCCAACGAGTTGGAGGCCCTTCGTACCCACTGGGAAAGCACCAACCGCAACTATCGCTTGAGCAGCCAGCTGGATCTGGAGCGGACCCCGACCAAGGAGAATAGCGATGGCCCTGCTTTGATGAGTGATAGCTTGGCGGAGTGGCGGAGGCGACTGGATGAGGAAGAACGTGCTGGAGGTAACAAGGGCAAGCCCGAGATTGCTTCCAACGTGATCTAAGTCCTGCATTCGCGCATCTCTTACCCATTCTATGACCATGTGCATTGAGATATGTCGATTCGCAACTTTTCTTCCTTTTTGAGCGCCTTCCATGTGTACCTCATTTTGCGTTCCTTTGTTTACTGTTTGTTTTCCCTTTCCATTCCTTCTTCTTTCTATCGTTTTGTCTTCCGCGATGCATGATCACTTATATAATGGAAGGTCCTTTGGTGCCATTTTGGCTTCCGTCTTGATCACCACTTCAAGGGACGGGATCCCCTTCGTTACTATTACCCTCTGTTGTTTTCTTGGTTTAATCTTCTCGATCACTCTCTGTCCTCCCCCTCTTGTCTCTGTTCTTTCCCCCCTTCTCTTTCCTTTTTCTTATACCCCGGTTTTCCGATGTTCATTGGACCCTGGCTGTACCACTAGCACACTCTACACGAACCCTACCATCTTACTTATATAGTCAGAGAAATCACTATCGTTGCCTCTCCGAAAAGACTACGTACTGCTATACTGCAGGCCCTTCGCAAGTAGATTTCTGTAGTGTTCCGTACCATATTAAGAGCGATTCGGGCACGGCGTTATCGTCGGTATGCTTCTTGCATGCAGATATGCATGTTGCCTCTGATTGCCACTCCCAGTCCCCACGATAGCCACTGAGCACTGCCAGGGCAGATATGCGGGTGTGGGGGTGCCACGGGTGTTGGACAGCCGGGGTAAGTGAGCAAACATGGCACTGCATGATAGGTATTTCAGCTCGATCTCGGGCAAATGAGACATTGCTTGTTCGGGCATCTCGCGGGCAGCCCTGTAAAGAATTTTCGAATTTGGTTGTTTCGGGACAGTTTGGTCTAAAGAATGCTCGCATTGAAAGAACATCCATTCCTAGGTGATTCTTAAAATGATGGTTCTACTGTTGTACCGTAGTTGAGGGTCCGGGTTTCCGCAGCGGCTATGGAGTTATTTTAGGATCCGCCGAGACGCGCCCTGTGACAATCGACCAAATTTATCGGGGTAAATGGGCGGCGCCCAGCGGGATTTCCGAACCCATTTCAGAGGCGGACCAAGTCATGTTATTTTCTGCTAGGCGCCGATAGCATCATTGATTCCGGAGGTATAGTATTGAACAGAGGACGGGGACAGGATGGGAAAACCAGTAAGGCATCGATCAATCTAGTATAGAATATTAGCAAATATCCTGTTTTCAATTTCTAACAATAATGTCAAATGGGTTTTCATGTAAGGAAAAAGACAAGATCTACTGTACCAGCTGCTCTCGTTTCAGCCCAACTTTTGGAGAAGGGACTGTGTATTGGTGTTACCATACCCAGCCCAAATTCGCGCAATAAGTGCCTCGGGCGCGCCACCAGTCCCCTACACTGGCAGGACGCGGGAGGCTGTCAGGACGGGTATGGCGGTCACGACGGTACGGCAGTACCGGGGTGGCCAGCCACTCCTTCGCTAATAAAAATTACACCTCACCGACTCCTCCGCCCCCTCTCCTTTCTCTTCTCTCCCAACCCTCCCTCCCACCCCCCTCAGGCCCCGGTTATCAAGGCTTTGTCCTTGGTATTTCTTCGGTTTTCCTGATCCTTCACATCTTCTCTTTCGTGACCAGCCTTTTCGGCCCTGTCCGACCTTCTGCTTTCACCAACCTTCATTCCTCGAATTATCCGGGCCACGATACGGTCGGCATTGGATATATCCGTTCCTCTTCCACCCTTTATCGTCTACTCTCCAGGTATGTCAACGTTCCTTTATCGTGTCTTGCATCTTAGGTTTGGCTGTTTCTGTTACTCGCTACGCCTTTCTATTTGTTTTGTTTATCCTTACATCTCGGCTCTTTCCATGTTGTCTGCCAGGGAGGCAACTGCGGGTGGCCAAATGTGATAGGTGATAATAGCCTGGAGGCTCAGCTGTCACACCCCCTCCTTTAACCCTTCGTTACCTCTGCTCAGTACAACCCTTCACTGGCTCTTTCTTTTTCTCAACTCTTCACCTTCTCCACATCCTACCTCTTTCGCCCTATCTTCTTGATTGACTTTTTCTGACTCTTCAAGTTCTCTAGTCATTTGCACGGCTAGCTGCTGTGCCCCCATCATCCAGTCAACATGACTACCATGGTCAGTCCCGACTCTCCTTCATTCCCTATGTCGACCTCAGATGCTCCGATTCCCCGATCCGCATTGCCTCTTCGTGACGTGAACACAATTCGGGTTGGGGGTCGTGTTTCGCGTCGCCCTCGTGTATCTGAGATTCGCGATTTGCTGACCACATATACAGGATTTGCGTGTCGGTAACAAGTACCGCATCGGCCGTAAGATCGGAAGCGGCTCTTTTGGTGACATCTACCTCGGTAAGTGAATAGACACTTTCATCGTCATTGTTCTAGAGCTGACATGGAGACAAGGCACCAACATTATCTCCGGTGAAGAGATCGCCATCAAGCTCGAGAGCGTCAAGGCCAAGCACCCCCAGCTCGAGTATGAGGCTCGCGTCTACAAGTCTCTCGCTGGCGGTGTCGGCATCCCCTTTGTCCGCTGGTTCGGTACTGAGTGCGACTACAACGCCATGGTCATCGACCTCCTGGGTCCCAGTCTCGAGGACCTGTTCAACTTCTGCAACCGCAAGTTCTCTCTGAAGACCGTTCTTCTGCTCGCCGATCAGCTCATCTCCCGTATCGAATACATCCACGCCAAGTCATTCATCCACCGTGATATCAAACCCGACAACTTCCTGATGGGTATCGGCAAGCGGGGCAACCAGGTCAACGTGATCGATTTCGGTTTGGCCAAGAAGTACCGCGACCCCAAGACCCACTTCCACATCCCTTACCGCGAGAACAAGAACCTCACGGGTACTGCCCGTTATGCCAGTATCAACACTCACTTGGGTGTCGAGCAGTCTCGCCGTGATGATATGGAGTCCCTGGGTTACGTGATGCTCTACTTCTGCCGTGGCTCCCTCCCCTGGCAGGGCCTGAAGGCTGCTACCAAGAAGCAGAAGTATGACCGTATCATGGAGAAGAAGATGACTACCCCCACCGAGGTGCTCTGCCGTGGTTTCCCCAACGAATTCGCCATCTACTTGAACTACACCCGCTCCCTCCGCTTCGATGACAAGCCCGACTACTCGTACCTGCGCAAGATTTTCCGTGACCTGTTCGTCCGTGAGTCCTTCCAGTACGACTATGTGTTCGACTGGACCGTCTACAAGTACCAGAAGAACGCTGCCATGATCGTGGACGCTACCAAGAAGGACAAGGATGAAGAGCAGGCACGCCGCCAGGCTGCCGCTGTCCCCATGGGTGCCAGCGCTGCGGCCGCCAAGCCCGGTGCCATCTCGGGCCAGCGTCGCAAGGTCATTGACCGTGGAGCCCTCGACAACACTCCGGACACCAACCGTGCCGTGGGAGGAAGTGACAGGATGTGAGTACTTTTGAAACCTGGTTCCGAGTAGGGAACCCCTTTTCTCTTTTAAATTCTCCTGCGTATGGTGTTTTTCTGTGACGCTGGCGTGGAGGGCCCTTCAGTTCTGAATCTGACTAATCGCATAGTCTTCGGCGTTAGGCTGCGTTCTGCCTCGAAAGGTGCCGCTTTAGGTTATGGACCTTCTGGTGGCCGTTCGAAGCGGGACGATGGATCAGGGGCTCAATGGTACTAATCCCGTAGCACTTGCAGTGAGACCTGGTTAGGTGGATTTGATTTTGTTTGATTTCTTTTCCCCCTCTGCTTGTCTCCTGCTTGCTCCACGTCCTTCTTTCTCGACCATCATGAAATTCCGAGATTTCCCATTTGTCACCGTCGCTGTGGACACGACCCTGCTGCACACGACTTATCTCGGATTTCTATTTTTCTCCTTGGATCTCTCCGTTCATTCTGCAATCATCTCTGACAGCCCTTCCACTTCGTCCTCGATCCCAATTTTCGACCTTGACCGTTTCGATCCGTCAACCTGTTGTTCGTTTGCTCGCCCTTCTAACTCCGCAAAGCCTGGATCTACGTACCTGTGATCCACCTTTTTGTGCCGAGCAGCCCGATGACCTTTTGACTACTGTTTTCTTTCCCTATTTCGGATATTCGTCCTCGTCTTTCACGGGATACGACCGATTACTCAGTTTCGAAACGCTTTCTGATTTGGTGGCTATTCTTATGTCTTGACCTCTTCGACCCTTCGCGATTTCGGTATTCTGTCAACTCGACTGAATCGTGCGACTGGAAAGGCAAGACTCAAGAAGAGATGCAGATGAAGACAGCAATCTGGATACTTGAACACTACGTCTCCCTATCTCTCTGGTTGCTGGTACTGGACTTCCTGGAGACCGCATCCACGCATGCGTTATTCCCATCATTTTTTCCCCCCCCCCCCCCCCCCTTCCCTTTTTTTTGCCCATGATTCGTTTCACCCACTTTGCTTTTTGGAATTCTTTTGTTTGCTGCATATCGACGCCGTATGGGGGACGAGGGGACGACCGGCACCTGCCGATCGGATTTTGAGGCTGTGGAGATCGTTTTTCGGGTGGCTTTCTTCGGGTCTTTGGTTTCTAGGCTACTGGTTCATGCCCTGCTCTTCATGCATGAATTTGACCTACCAATGGATGTTTACCCGCTCGGAGAGAGCTAGTTCTCGACTGGTGATTGGCGACGGAAAATGGCTAGGGTCGCTTCCGGGGTGGTATTGCGTCGATTTGCACTGTGTTTTTTCCCTCTCATATTTGCTAGCCCATTGCCCTTCCCAACTGCATGTTAAACTCGTCTCTTGATTTGTTATTCATTTCCTTAGTCGCAGGCGTTTCTCAAGAGGCCTCGGGAGGGAGACATGACCGGATCTCTTCAAGTTCGCTATTATCCGGCAGTCCCCCTACCCAGACTCTGACAGATACACTGTCGATTTTCAACATCTAATACGAACTCTTTCTCCCACAAATCCTGAGTACTAGTAATCTGCATATCTGGGAGCCTCCCTAATCTCACCCTGGCCAGATTTATTCGGTGAGATCATCGAGTCCCTTTGCCACACGTTCTGGCCCTTTGGGACGTCCGCGTCGATCTCCACTCCGTCGGATTACACATCAAATCTTCCTGAACGGGCACGGGGCACGACTATGGGAGAATAATGTAGCCGCCTGGGCCTGCATAATAGCACGGGATAGAGTAAAGACCCTTTTAAAATATATATATATATTCAAAAAAAAAAAAAAAAAAAAAAAAAACAAGAATCCTGTAGCATAGGAGATTATCTTTCAGCACCTCGCCGTGCAACACCGCAGGTCTCGCTGGTCAGCACCGAGTCACGGGGGATCGGTCAAAACCCGTCAAAAAGAACTTTGGGGAACCTGCCGTCAGAGACGGTCAGGGAGTTTCCCGCCAAGTCATCCAGATCTCACTCCTCTCTATCTAATCCTCTATTCTAGTTCAGTAGCTGTTCAGCGCAATGGACTACTCCAACTACGCCCCTCATTCATCCCAGCCCTACTCAAACCTGTACGGGCTACCCACTCCCGACCAACAGCCCCGGGGTCCCTCTGAAGATGCCCTCCACGACCCATTTGCCCTGGTACGGCCCTCTCCCTTTGATTTCCCATGTGACATCCTTGAGGTCTCTCTAACGAACAGCCTCAGAACGGCGCTTATAACCAGTATTATCCGGGGTTCGACCCCTCCTTCCGCCTCGACCCCTCCTCGTCTTTCGGTCCGCCACCGCATTCGCCCCCGGACTCGTTCACGAAGCACTCGGTATCGAGCAATGATGTGCATAATAGCACCAAGCTAGAGCCCACTTCAATTGATGGCGATGATGGTCAATACCGCGATCCGACCGGACGGAGTAGCAGCGAAGAGAAGGACTCGGCGACACCAGCGCAAAGTAAGCGCAAGGCCCAAAATCGGGCAGCGTACGTGATCATCCGCCTCCCCGGTAATGATATACGGCTCGTCCCATCTGGGAAATGCTATCAAATATCGTCTTGTGCCACCAGCAGCAGGGAAATGCTAATACGGGTACCCATATAGCCAACGAGCGTTCCGCGAGCGAAAGGAGCGCCATGTCAAGGATCTCGAAGACAAAGTTAACACTCTCGAACAATCATCATCTACCCTGCAAGCCGATAATGAGCGCCTGAAGCGTGAACTCGCCAAATACGCAACCGAGAACGAGATTCTTCGCGCAACTTCACACTCCCTGAATGGCGGCAATGGCATCGCAAAAGCACAACCTGCACCAACAGTCACAGGGCCAATGACGTACTCCCCAACAGACTTCTACTCAACCTTGATGCCCGAAGCTGCCGGTCCTACGGGCCCAACTCCACAGGGTCAACATCGTGTCACGGTGTGCCCCATTACCGGCGAAAGGCTTCTTGATGCGAGCGCCACGTGGGACCTTATTCAAAGTCATGAGCTGTTCAAGCGTGGACAGGTCAATATTGGCGACGTAGCTGAGCGGCTGAAGGGATTGGCGCAGTGTAATGGACAGGGTCCTGCTTTCAAGGAGGGTCAGATCTTGAAGGCTATTGAGGAGAGCGTAGATGATCGTGATGAGCTGATCTGAGCCGTTCTTGATCCGATGATGAACACTCCTTTTCATGGCTCTCTCCGATTTGATGATTCAACGCTTCGTTATCTTATACCTCTTCTATTTTTTGTTGCTTTTTCTTCTCGGTCGCTCCCGTTCCGTGGGAGTCAAGATATGATGACGATTTTGGAGTACTTTGGCGCTGGAGATGGGAATAGTGGAATTGCAAAAGGTCGGACCCCAAATATATGGTCTATAGGACAAATCTACTTTTCGAATTATGTAGGAATTCCTCAAGTACGCTCAAATCCAGTTCCTGTAAACTTGAATTATTGCAAATGTCAAAAAGCTCAACGTGAAAATATGCTTTTTTTGCTTTTCTTGAAGATAGTGTGGATTGTAGACTGGGGATTCATAGACATCATGAAATTTACTATACGAGCAATCACTTCATATATACACTTAAGTATGCCTGCTCTTCCTTTCAGGATCAAACGCGGGAGAACACAGTAACGTCCCACAAGCACTAGCTGAGACGCTGGTCTGACACTAGGCCCCAGATAACAATCCACATCATTTCGTGTTCTTCGTTTTTGCCTCCTCCTTTTCCATTTTTGGTGAAATATCATATGGACAAATCATAATATACACGGCTTGCTGGAATCAATAGAAGTTTTTCAATCGTAGTCATTCGATGGTGTGATCAGAATCAATCCCAGTCGTCATCATAATCTTCAATGTTGAGCTCATCATCCTTGCCACGATCGTCGTCCGAATCAGAGCGCTTCTTGAGACGAACATCACTCTCCTTGACCGCTCCGAGGTCAACGAGGAATCGCTCCAGGTCTTCCACCTTGGTTCGGGGACCATTGAGTTCCCGCAGCGTAACGAGCTGTCTTTTGATTTCGGTGTCCTTGTACACGAGAATAGTCGGCGTGTTTCTCTCTGGGTATCCCTCAATGCACATGTCGGCACGGATCTCGCAGAACTTGATATCGCCGAACTTGGCGGCCAATTGGCGCCAGAGCTCGGTCAGCACGCGTGATTCGACGTTACCACCCTGAGACGTCAGGTTGACGAGGACATAGGCATTGTTGGAAGCTTCGGTCACTTCGCGGGCATAGTCGACTTTTTGGAGTGGGTAGACTTGGTTGAAGAGGCTGGTTTGTTGGAGGGTGGAGAGCTCGGCAAGGCGCTTTTGGCTGTTAGGCGTAAGGCTTAGATTGGTTCTGACTATCTCTTGTGGATCATTGAGATGCAAGGCTCACCGGTATTGCTGGATGAAGTCTTCGTCTTCTTCGTCCTCGAGCGCATCCAGCTCGTCCAGATCTTTGTCCTCCAATCGGTTCTCGTATGCCCTGCGCTCGGCTTCGATTAGAGCCTCCTGGATCAAAGGTTCAGGATCTTTCGGTTTCTCTGGAATGATTCCATGCTGACGAAGAATATCGTTCCTATCTCATTTTGTGTATCAGCAAGAAGGTGCTTGTGATGTAGCTCCAAGCGGGCGGGGGAGCCAGAATATATATGTGCGCCGCAACTAGCAACGATGAACATACCACTCTGTATCCTCGTTGGGGTTGACTTCGACTTCCATGGTGTCTACAATGTAACTTAAATAAAACGATCCTCAACACCAGTGAATAGTGAAAGGGTGTTTATCGAGACAGAGAGGGGAGACAAGGCAGCGCCGCAATGCATGATGCCACCTGTTTGCAGTGTTTGGTCCGGGCGCCACAAGTGTGGCTGCCAAACACACGGAAGGCCACCTTCAACTTAACTCCATAAACAGTGCCGTGGAGCTCGAGGTCGAGATTCATCACCAACCTCTTTTCGAGTTGTTTCTACTCCTCGCCTTTCTCTCCCTATTTGTCTTGGGGGTTTGACTATGCGAATGCAGTAGCTGCCTACATCGCCCTCTCCTGCTGCTACTGTGTCCTCCCTCCCTCTCCACCCCCCAATTACAACACCCCAACTCCGACGAGCTTAAGAGATCGCGAGCACAATCCGCTGGTGCAATCCCAGCACCTGGGCAAAATGAGTTATATGAAGAAAGACGAAGATGCGGATCAGGTCATGATCAAGCTTGACCGGACCTCCGTTTTCCAAGATGGTAGGTTGCCCGCAATGCCCCTGGCCATGCGGCTTACTCGCGCAATTGCCCATTGCACGCTACTAACTAGACAATTTGTCCAGCTCGACTGTTCAATTCCTCCCCGATCTCGCCGCGGACATGCCGTACCCTCCTGACCAAGATTGCGGTCCTCATGTTCACTGGGGAGCAGTTTCCCACGAACGAAGCCACCACCCTTTTCTTTGGCATCTCGAAGCTGTTCCAGAACAAGGATCCCTCGTTGCGACAGATGGTGTATCTCATCCTGAAGGAGCTGGCCAATACCGCGGAAGACGTGATTATGTCGACCAGTATCATCATGAAGGACGTTGCGGTCGGCAGCGACGTTCTTTACCGGGCGAATGCTATTCGTGCCCTGTGCCGCATCATTGATGCATCGACGGTCCAGGGTATCGAGCGATTGATCAAGACTGCCATTGTCGACAAAACTCCCTCGGTTTCGTCAGCTGCTTTGGTCTCTTCTTATCACCTTCTCCCCATCGCGCGCGATGTGGTTCGGAGGTGGCAGAGCGAAACCCAGGAGGCGGCCTCATCATCAAAGCAATCCTCCGGTTTCCTGGGCTTCGCGTCTAGCTCCCAGTCTCACGCTATCTCCCAGTCGAACTTCATGACTCAGTACCATGCAATTGGTCTCCTGTACCAGATGCGTTCGCATGACCGCATGGCCTTGGTCAAGATGGTGCAACAATACGGTGCTGCTGGTGTGGTGAAGAGCCCCGCGGCTTTGGTGCTGTTGGTTCGCTTGGCAGCCAAGTTGGCAGAGGAAGATCCCGGTCTCCGGAAACCCATGATGCAAATGCTGGATGGCTGGCTCCGTCACAAGCACGAAATGGTCAACTTTGAGGCTGCTAAGGCAATTTGCGATATGCGGGATGTCACCGATGCCGAGGCCTCGCAGGCAGTTCACGTCCTCCAGCTGTTCCTGTCCTCCCCGCGGTCTATCACCAAGTTTGCCGCTATTCGCATTCTCCACAACTTCGCTTCCTTCAAGCCCCATGTCGTTAACGTGTGCAACCCCGATATCGAGTCGCTCATCTCCAACTCCAACCGTTCTATCGCGACATTTGCTATCACTACGTTGCTGAAGACCGGAAACGAGGCTAGTGTCGACCGCCTGATGAAGCAGATTTCCGGCTTCATGGCCGATATCACCGACGAGTTCAAGATCACAATTGTCGAGGCTATTCGCACGTTGTGCCTGAAGTTCCCAAGCAAGCAGGCGGGTATGCTAACCTTCCTGAGCGGCATCTTGCGCGACGAGGGTGGTTACGAGTTCAAGCGCACGGTCGTTGAGAGCATGTTCGACCTGATCAAGTTCGTTCCCGAAAGCAAGGAAGATGCTCTTGCCCACCTCTGTGAGTTCATTGAGGACTGTGAGTTCACCAAGCTCTCCGTCCGCGTCCTGCATCTGCTCGGTGTCGAGGGCCCCAAGACCTCGCACCCCACCAAGTACATCCGTTATATCTACAACCGAGTCGTTCTGGAGAACGCCATTGTCCGTGCTGCCGCTGTTACTGCGCTGGCCAAGTTTGGTGTTGGCCAGAAGGACCCCGAAGTCAAGTCTAGTGTCCAGGTTCTGCTCACTCGTTGTGTCGATGACACTGATGATGAGGTTCGCGATCGTGCTGCCCTGAACCTGCGTCTAATGAGCGCTGAGGATGAGACTGCTTCCGCTTTCATCAAGAATGGTGAGTTTCCTTTAGCCAAAGGCAGAAATATGCATAGTGTTACTTACAATCCTAGACTCGATGTACTCCCTCTCCACTTTCGAGCACCAGCTCGTCATGTACGTTACCTCGAACGACAAGCAGACCTTTGCCGCCGCCTTCGATGTTTCGACCGTCCCCGTTGTCTCCCATGAGCAGGCCTTGGCTGAGGAGCGTACTAAGAAGCTCACTACCGCCACCCCTACACTCAAGGCCCCATCCGCAGGCCCTCCCAAGGGCAAGGCCAACGGTGTCGCCGAGGCCGCTACTGCCGCCGCTACTCAGAAGTATGCGGAGCAGCTCATGCAACACCCCGATATCAAGGAATACGGTGCCTTGCTCAAGTCATCCGTGCCTGTTGAGCTTACTGAGAGCGAGACCGAGTACGTCGTTACCGCTGTCAAGCACGTCTTCAAGGAGAACATTGTCGTGCAATACGATATCAAGAACACCCTGCCCGATACCGTCCTTGAGAATGTGACTGTGATCGCTTCACCATCAGAGGACGAGGTGCTGGAGGACGATTTCATTATCCCAGCCCCGAAACTCTCACCCAACGAGCCCGGCGTTGTCTACGTTGCTTTCAAGAAACTGGGTGGCGAGCACAGCGTTCCTATTACCTCATTTACCAATATCCTCAAATTCACTAGCAAAGAGATTGACCCTACGTCTGGAGAGCCAGAAGAGAGTGGTTATGATGATGAGTATCAGGTTGAGGATCTCGAGCTCAGCGGCAGCGACTACGTTATTCCCACTTTCGCCGGTAGCTTCGATCATGTATGGGAGCAGACCGGTGCGAATGGCGAGGAAGAGAGCGAGACTCTGCAACTAAGCAACATGAAGAGCATTGCCGGTATGTTTTCTCATTATTCCGTTAGGATAGCAGTACAAACCTCTGATACTAATGATTCACAGATGCCACCGAGCAACTCATCTCAGCTCTGTCTCTTCAACCACTGGAGGGCACCGACGTCGCCCTCAACAACAGCACCCACACACTCAAGCTCTTCGGTAAAACTGTGTCTGGTGGCCGCGTTGCCTCTCTTATCAAGATGGCCTACTCAAGCAAGAGCGGCGTCACGACCAAGATCACTATGCGGGCAGAAGAGGAGGGTGTTGCTGCTGCGGTGATTGCATCTGTCACTTAATGTCTTCTTTTAAACCTATTTCCCTTCCTGTTTTTCCTCCCCCCGCTTTTTATATCAAATTGTAGTAGACGTGAGGACTTTACTTTTGGTCCTACCCTCCCGCACACAAGTCTTCCACTCCTCCACCTCGTCATGTTTCGCTGGTGCCTGCTGTTTCTTAAGCTTTCCAGGGCGATCTCTTTTTCTGTTTTCTTTGCTGGTTGTGACGAGTCCCATGATGACTGCTACAAAACTTGGAGGACTTGGTCTGTCTGCTGTGGAGCCAGTTTCGTGTTTTTTCTACCCTTCTTTTTGCCGTGTTTTAGGTGTCAAATAGATCCGATCGGTGTGGAAAAGCCAAGCATCATGGTCATGTTCTCGATAACGCTGCTACCATTTTGGGATACTCGTAACTGGTAACGTTTGGATGATGGAACCCCGGCATGCTTTGGCCTGGGGACCTGGAATGGATTATATGACTTGAGGGTTGATAGAACGGTAGATAATGTCTGTCTTAAGCCAAAAGAAATGGCCACGAACTGATCTGTATTTTCAAGCTTGGCAGTTTTGCCAGCTAGACAATCAAAGACATTTGCCGTAGCGCCGTTAACAAAATGAAAAAAAGCGTCTTGCAACTCCCTCAATCGACACGTCTGACCATTAGTTTTGAAGCATAAGGTGATCGCCAAACAATGGAACGATCAAAAGCCAATCTAAGGTTGGTTCAATAGGGGAAAATTCTGATGTACAGTTTCTCTTCTGCGCCAGTCGACCAAATTCCTGACCGTAGATATAGGCATGTGTATTATTCTAGTCCATATATCCGAATCTGAGACTATTGCTCATTTTGAGCTTCTAGACTTTCCCAAACTCCGTAGCCCTTGTCGATATAGGCCGTGGGTTCTCATAGATCATAGGAACTGCCATCTGATTGAACAATGCTCCCCCATTGTTCTTGCCTGACACAGTATGGGTAGCTATGAAACGTCCGTCCTTCCTTCTACGGCCATGCTATTAAACCCATTCATAATACACCTAGTAAAGATATAGTCATAAATCCTAGCTAAGATATTAGGATTATCTCAACCGACATCAGGAGGTGGTCGGTGTGTGGTGTAATCAAGGCTGAGTGACGGTAGCAAACAAAAATCAAAGGATGACCACTTATCCATAAGCTCTCAAGATACTCTCACCAGTCTCTTTCCTTGATATCTTCTTACCACCCACCATCACTGCTCTTCTCCCTATCATCTTTATTCTCTCTCAAATTTTAGCCGATCCTCCACCTATCAACGATAGAGACCTCATCCATCATACCATCTAAACCAGGCGCTTTCCTGTAGGCAGAGATCATGAACCTAGTTGTGCACTTCCTTATTGAAGGGCCGACCACGGCTTTTGAGACTTTGAGGTCTATGTCTCCTCAATGGGATATCTATAATTTCTGCCTCGTATCAAGCTTGTAGTATTCAGTGGGGGGTTCAAACCTTTATAGTAACCTATGGTTTTACAAAACCTCACCATTTGGTCAACTCGTCAATACAGGGCGATGAAAAACAGTTCACACGTCAAGAACGAATTGTTGGTGAATTTGCAAAGCTGAATCAACGCTGGAAGGGGGTATATGAATAAAGAAATGATATGAAACCACCACTCATTGATCGGCTCGAATTTACTGGACTGTGAGATCATCATCAATGGTGTAAATGCCCAAGTCTTCGATAGCCAGCTTGTCAAGTTCTTCATCCGAGCTCTCCTCCACATGTTTCCAAATCTCGTCATCGATCTTCCTGTATGCGTCTTTGATGTACTTCAAGCAGGTTTCCCCCACCCCCAAAGCCCAGAGATTGCGTAGATTTTGAATTAAAGCCTTTTCAAGTTCTGCTGAAAAGTCCACCGGAAGTTGGTCATCAAAGTATGGGTGCGTCAGCTCCAATATCCGGAGAGGCAGTGGTGGCAAGGCATCGGGAACGGGGAGTATGCATAGATATTCCATAAAATCCAAGGGCATTTTGAGACTGGTCAAATTCCGAAGGAGGTATAAAACGGTCGATTCTGAATCTGAATCTGAGAACATGGTTGCATTCTCGTTGTCCAAGGTAAGGGTTTCGAGTTTTTCAAGCAGCTGTTCGTTGCGAAGTAAGCTCTCAAGAATTGGTGTGTCCAAATTCTTGCAGCGCTTTAGTATAAGTTGGCGGATATTGGAGGGCCAGTCGAATGTTGACATGACGTGAGGATTCAGGGATCCTCCGATTGTCACAGAATAGAGCTTTGGTGGCCAAACTCCTGCGGAGTTATCGGTATGGGTGATCTCCATGCTAGACGGCAATTGAAGCGTTTGAAGGCCTGGAAGATTGCTGACAGTCTTTTTCAGGCGTGAAAATTCGAGTGCGCCACCTCGAGCTAGCCTCAAATCAAGGTGCATCAAATTTTGACATTTTGAGATTGACGCAAGGCTGTTAACACTATCCAATGTGTGAGCCAGGGCCTTGACCTTGAGGTTAGGCATTCAGAAGATCACTTACCCAATTCCAGTTTGCGGGGCAACAAATATATTCAAGCCTTTCTTGACACGGCTTAGGAGCCGTGATGTTTGGCTGTTCGAACTCTGATGAACTAGATAACCCAGATGCAAGACTTTTACCAGTGAACCGAGGTCAACTTTGCTCTTTTTGGCGCCGAGTGGCGGGCTCACAGTATTGGTGAACTGGACGAACTTGTTGCCTTGCCAGAGTTGGGGGAAGTCGTAGAGATAGGATATCCCAACCGAGTACCACTGGCGGGAGACGAGGCAAAAACTGTGGAAGTTCTTTTGCCTGTCCATCAATATCATGCCACCCGGGGCGTACATCTCATCATGCCATAGTATTTTAGCAATGATAAGGAGGATCTCCGTAGGGAGATGCGCACTCTTTTGCGTTGTCTGCATGATAGTCGGGTCGGTGGTTGTTCACTTCATGTTGCTGCTGCCCTCGTACTTTCAAGGCGCGGTGTCTAAGCAACGGATGGATGAAAAGGCGAAAAGTCTTACAACGAGAAAAGTGAAGAAGCTCCAAAGTGTGACATGATCATTGTCTGATCCTGGATCTTTTCTCAAACAGCACGACAAGTAATCGTGGGTGGATTGTGGATGTTGGCTCACGGCAAATCGGAGAAAGTGAAGAGGAAAGTGGGGCGGATAGCGGGAGTGAGTCGGAGATGATATCACCTCTACCGTAAACGCGCCCCTGTCAGACACTTCTGCCTCTTCCACTCTTCCGCAACGAGCCAGAATGCGACCGACTACAGTGTGGCGATCACTGAGCCTCCTACAGAGAGCATCCATCAAGTGTAGCTCGAGCCGCAGAGCTATTCAAACCGCAAGCAAACCCCGCATTCCGAACTTCGCTTTTGCCTTTGAGTGAGTGACGGCAATGTATGCTCGCGCCCAGTCCCTTGAGTTCCAGGTCTAACGATGTACGCTAGTATTGATGGCGTCCTCCTCCGAGCATCGAAGCCGATTCCTGGTGCTGCCGAGTCATTGAAACTCTTGAAAGAGCAGGGCATTCCATTCATCCTGCTCACCAACGGCGGCGGTAAACACGAGACGGAACGCGTCGCAGAGATCAGCGAGAAGTTGAACGTATCACTGGACCCGTCAGACATCGTCCAGAGTCACTCGCCTTTTGCAGAACTCGTAAAGGGCACCGACGAGGCGAGTGCGTTGGAACATAAATGCGTGTTGGTAGCGGGCGGTGATGGCGACAGATGTCGGCGCGTTGCGGAACAGTATGCCGCACATTATTCCAATCTACACAGGTTCATTATTTACTGATGCGTGTCATTAGATATGGCTTCAGGAATGTTGTGACTCCAGCAGACATCTTCATGGCCAATCCATCCATTTGGCCCTTTTCGAAAAACTTCACCGACTATTACAAGACCTTCGCGCGGCCTCTTCCCAAATCGCAGCACCCAACTGATCCAACGAGAGGCCTCAAGATTGACGCTATTTTCGTGTACAACGATCCTCGGGACTGGGCTCTTGACACCCAGGTGATTATGGATCTTTTGCTGTCCTCGAACGGAATCATGGGTACTTTGTCGAAGAAGAACGGCCGGACCGATCTTCCCAACCACGGTTACCAACAGGATGGACAGCCACCCCTCTACTTTTCCAATCCTGACCTTTGGTGGGCTGCCGCCTATCATTTGCCTCGTCTCGGCCAAGGGGGCTTCCGGGAGGCACTCGAAGGTGTTTGGGCTGCGACGACAGGTGGTCTCAGCAAAGGGATTGAGCTGAAGAAGACTGTGATCGGCAAGCCTCACCAACCGACCTATGAGTTTGCCGAGCGACAGCTACTTCGGAATCGTGCCAGAGAATTTAATGGCGCAACGGATCTTCCGCCTTTGCAGCGAGTCTACATGGTTGGAGACAACCCCGAGTCAGATATCCGGGGCGCAAACTCCTACCGCAGTGAGGTTGGTAGCAGCTGGCAGTCCATCTTGGTGCGAACTGGTGTCTATAGTGGCGGCGAGCCCGCTTGGACTCCACAGGTCATTGCGGACGACGTGCATAAGGCAGTGCAGTGGGGATTGAAGGCTTCTAAGTGGACTTGATTCATAGATTATCGTGAGCAACAGGTCTGTATTCATGCGTCCTGTAGAGTCATGATATGCATACGGCGCTGGTGCTGTGTATATAGGTGCTGTAGCCTAAGTCGAGACTGGCATTATTTTTTTAGCGAATTCATCAGCAGTGTCATCTTGCTTTCTACATTTATGTTTTTCTGTATACTTCGAGCACCCCGAAGAACTTAAGGCACTGGCCTCAAGATAAGGCAGTGTCACATGACTTGCTCCCCCTCTTAGGGCTTAGGGCAGTTCTGCACGGCGGGGTGACTCAAGACAAAGTTATCAAACGCCGAGCTTCCTATTCCAGACCTCATCATTGAAGTAAGATATCTTCGCTCCAGCCATTGGCTGAAACTATTGTCTAATCATCTTCTCGTCAGAATCATGGCGGACTCCGAATTGCCCACCCGTCCCAAGCCTGAGGAGACTAAAGAGGCCGCGCCCGCGCCTGCGGAAGGCGGCGACTCCAAGAACGCCAGCAAGAATGCGCTGAAGAAAGCGGCCAAGGAAAAGGCAAAGGCTGAGAAGGCTGCTGCCCGTGCAGCTCAGGAGAAGGCCCAGGCTGCCGCCGCTGATGCCAATGATACCGCCAAGGGCCTCTACGGCCCGATTCCCGAGACCAAGGACGTCATCCCTACTACCCGTTTCAGCGAGCTCTCCGAGGAGCACTACGAGAAGGAGGTTACCGTGGTTGCTCGTGTCGATAATGCGCGCGTTCAAAGTGCCAAGCTGGCGTTCCTAATGCTGCGCCAGCAAGGACAGAAGGTTCAGGCAGTCATTGCTGCCGCTGAGCCCATCTCACGCCAAATGATCAAGTTCACCGGTGGATTGAACGTCAACTCTATTGTGCAGGTCACCGGTATTGTGAAGAAGCCTGAGATCCCTATCTCTTCCGCATCCATCAGCCACCTTGAGCTTCACATTCGCAAGGTATACATGATCTCCGAGGCCGCGCAGATGCTGCCCATGCAAGTCAAGGATGCCGAGCGTCCTCCCCCCACGGAGGCCGAAGAGGGACAGTCTCAAGTTGACGCCGAGGGTGCCCCTATCGTTACCCTCAAGACCCGCCTTGACAACCGTACCCTGGACCTGCAGACGGAAACCAGTCAGGCTATCACCTGGATCTCTAGCGGTGTCGCCCAATTGTTCTCCGAATACATGATTAAGAGCGGTTCTCGATGGATCTTCACCCCCAAGCTAGTCGGTGCCGCCACCGAGGGTGGTAGCAACGTTTTTGAGGTGAAGTACTTCAAGCGCAACGCTTATCTCGCCCAGAGTCCCCAGCTGTACAAGCAGATGTGTATCGCTGGTGACATGGAGAACGTCTTCGAGATTGCTCCCGTTTTCCGTGCCGAGGACAGCAACACCCACCGCCACTTGACCGAGGTATGATCATCATTAAGCTAAGATACAAGGATAAGGGCCAATCTAACCTAATTTACAGTTCGCCGGTCTCGATTTCGAAAAGACCTTCCAGAGCCACTACCACGAGGTTCTGGACTTCGCCGAGGACCTCTTGGTCTTCATCCTTACCCAACTTAAGGAGCGCTATGCTTCTCAGATCGCTATCATCCAAAAGTCATATCCCAAGGCGGGTGACTTCAGGCTCCCCAAGGATGGCAAGGCTCTGCGCCTGAATTACATGGACGGTGTTGCCCTTCTGAAGGAGGCTGGCGTCGACATGTCTGAGCAGGAGCGCTTCGAGAACGACTTCACTACCGCAATGGAGAAGCAGCTCGGCCATATCATTCGCGAGAAGTACGACACTGACTTCTACGTGCTCGACAAGTTCCCCATGGCGGTGCGTCCCTTCTACACCAAGGCCGACCCCAATGATAGCCGCTTCTCCAACTCTTACGACTTCTTCATGCGTGGTGAGGAGATCATGTCCGGTGCTCAGCGTATCAACGACATCAAGGAGCTGGAGGCCTCTATGCGCGCCAAGGGTATGGATCCCACCCATGAGGGCTTCGAGGATTACCTGAACGCTTTCCGCCAGGGCTGTCCTCCACATGCCGGTGGTGGCTTGGGTATGAACCGTATTGTGATGTTCTTCCTGGGCCTGCCTAACGTCCGTCTGGCTTCGCTGTTCCCTCGTGACCCGCAGCGCCTGCGGCCATGATCGACTCATCGTGTCGATAGCTATAAAAAAGAGTACATTGATTGGATAACCTTTGAGCGCTCCATATTGCGTCCGTACCATTAAACTAAAATTTGGCTTTTGCGGCTCTCCGATGAGGATATTCGCCTATGAGTTCATAACTACCTTAGAACGGCTTGAAGAGAGGGAAGTATTTATTGTTTTATAAATGCAGCACATGTAAACAAATATCCATTACAGTACCTCAAGGCCTCGCTCCTTTACTCCAGCTTCTTGCTCATGATAGCGCCGTACCAGACAGTCGCGATCAAGCTCACCAAGTTCACCAAGCTAGAGAGGCCATGGATGCGGCCAAACTTCTTGTTTAGGGCGACCATCTCCTTGGAGTGAGGCGGGGCGTCATAGCTCTTCTTCCCATCGCGGGTTTCTAAGGCAGGAATTTTAGCTCAAAGCTGTAAGCCTGAGTATCAAGTATCTTCAAGTCTCACCTTGATGCTTGCGCTCGCGCATAGTCTTCACCGTCAAAGGACGCAGGACGAACATGTTGATCAAGCCAGTGATTGCAACGGTGGCCAAGGGTAGCAAAGTGTTATAGCGTTTCTCGGGGGCTGCCAGGCCCGAGAGACCGAGGGCCTGTCCACCTTTGCTAGCTGTCAGAGCGACAACTACAGGCAGGGCAGTCTGCATGGAGAAGTAGACAGGGAAGATGGCAGTTTGCAAGGTAGCAAACTGTGGCCGCGGCAGAGCGCGGAATGCGACAATACCACCCACAAAGGACTAATCGAAGGTCAGATGAATTAGGCTCGACATTTTGAAGGAATCGTAGACATCAACTTGCCTGGAAGACCTGTGATCCCAGAAGGGTACCGTAGCTTTGAAGATGTCAGACGATGTTTTGATTTGCACTTTGGTTTAGGGATCGGTAATTCCGCCCAGACCGGTGTATGCTTACCTCAGAATATGGTAAGGGCGAGGGTCAGTCATCACTGCGATATTATTGATGTTTGATGGTAGAAAGGTCCGTTTGGTCCGAGTTGAGCGTGGGGAAGCTTGAGGCAAGGAAGAGGTGGTGTGAGCTATCGACAGCCACGGCCTAGTGGGCCGTAAATTGGTTGTGGCCACTACATATTTGTGTGGAGAGTATTCTATCCACGCACTTATCTCTAAGACCACGCAAGTCAAGTGATGTCATGTGCGCGCGTCTGGAGCTAAACCAAAAAGGAAATATCACGCGTCTGCCTACTTCGCGGCTCTTAGAGACCGGGACTTCTTGACTTCCCCCAATTTTCACTTATCAAAGCCCAGAAAATTCAGTCATGGCAGAAAAGGAGGCTACAGTCTACATTATTGATGTCGGCAAGTCCATGGGGGAGCGTCGACATGGTCGTTCCGTCACGGATCTTGAGTGGGCCATGAAGTGGGTTTGGGACAGAATCACGACTACGGTATGCAATCTATGGCTTCTTGATGTTTCGACAATGCCAATTAAAAGCTTGACTAGGTTGCAACTGGCCGAAAAACCGCTACGGTCGGAGTGGTCGCATTGCGGTCAGACGGTATGTAGCCTTCTCCAACTTCTGGGCCCGTCTAATCAATCAAAATTCCAGAAACCTCGAATGACCTTCAAGAGGATACGAGCTTCTCCAAAATCTCCGTCTTTCAAAACCTTGGGCAGTATGTATTCGATCCTCGATCTTCTTGAATACACTCCAGTACTAATGGGCTAGGGTACTCATGCCTGACATTCGACGGCTGCGAGACGCAATCAAGCCAAGCCAAACGAACAGAGGCGATGGTAGGTGCCATTGACTCTCAGTCTTGACCTTTCATATGCTTACATGCTTCTAGCTATCTCTTCCGTGGTCATTGCCATTCAAATGATCAACACCTATACCAAGAAGCTCAAGTACAAGCGGAAGATTGTCTTGGTCACTAATGGCACTGGACCCATAAACAACGAGCAGCTCGATGAGATCCAAAAAAAGATTCAAGATGATGGCATTGAATTTATTGTCCTGTATGTTTTTTTCTAAGGCCTTTACCCTGCTACCACATCGCTGACTCGTTGTAGTGGAGCTGATTTCGATGATGCGGAGTTCGGCGTGAAGGAAGAGGATAAGGACAAGCACAAGGTGGCTCTAAATGGATGAAATCTCTGTAATTTCTCGTTCTGACCCGTATTTCTAGGCTGCAAATGAGACGCTACTCCGTGATTTTGCTGAAGGTTGTGGAGGTGTCTTCGGCACACTCGAGCAAGCTGTCTCCGAGTTGGAAGTTCCTCGCATCAAAGTCACCAAGAGCATGCCTTCCTTCAAGGGATTCCTCTCTCTAGGCGACTCATCGAAGTATGAAACTGCGCTACGCATTCCTATTGAGCGTTACTTCCGTACCTACGTTGCCAAGGCCCCTTCGGCAAGTTCTTTTGCCTTACGTTCCGGTGGAGGGCAAGGTCAGGAAGAAGCCGAGACTGGTGCGGGTCAATCAACAAGTGGCGGTGAAGCTCTTACTACTGTCCGAATGTCTCGGACATATCAGATCAACGATGAGTCTGCACCCGGTGGCAAAGTCGACGTCGAGCGCGATGATCTTGCAAAGGGATACGAGTATGGACGAACAGCCGTACACATCAGTCAAACGGATGAGAACATTACCACTTTGGAGACTTTTGCAGGCCTGGAAATAATTGGATTCATTCATATGCACAAGGTATGTTCGGCTGATTTTAATATGCTTCCGAGAAAATACTAATATTGCTACGCAGTATGATCGATACCTACACATGTCCAATACCAATGTCATCATCCCACAGCGGGCCAATGATAAAGCATCGCTAGCACTATCATCTTTAATTCACAGTATCTTCGAGCTAAATTACTACGCTGTTGCCCGGCTGGTTACGAAAGAGGCCAAACCTCCATCAATCGTGCTCCTCGCTCCATCAATCGAGGCGGATTACGAGTGTCTCATCGAAGTCACTCTTCCCTTTGCCGAAGATGTCCGTTCATACCGATTTCCTCCTCTGGACAAGGTCGTGACTGTCTCGGGGAAGATTGTCACTGAGCACCGCAATCTACCAAATGAGGTCTTGCAACAGGCCATGAGTGATTATGTTGACAAAATGGAATTGGACGAAGAAGAGTACGTTGCCCTTTTACAAGAAGGCTATGTCCTACAACTAACCACTTATTTCCAGACTACCCATCGATGAATCTTACTCTCCGCTCCTGCACCGGATTGAGTCCGCAGTGCGGTACCGCGCTGTGCATCCCAATGATCCCATTCTCGAACCATCGGAACAGCTCACTAAATTTGCGCACCCGGATAAGCAGTTGGTCAGAAAAGCGAAAGACTCTCTAGAGACACTGATATCGGCAGCCAATGTCAAGAAAGGTAAGTCCAGTCAATTCCAGACCTCATCGAAGCAAAAAACAGACCCTGATTCGGTTTCAGTTCCACCCAAAACCAAAGGCCGTAAACGCCTACGCGAGACCGAGAAACCTCTCTCCGGTCTTGACGTCGATGCCCTCCTCAAACAAGAACCTAAACGAACCAAGATCTCTACTGAAAATGCTATCCCTGAGTTCAAGCAGATGCTTTCGCGCGCTGACAACCTCGACATCATTCGCGACGCTGTCAAGCAAATGGCCAGCATCATCGAGACGCAGATCAAGCATAGCCTCGGTGATGCGAATTACGATCGCGTCGTCGAAGGACTGGGAACTATGCGTGAGGAGCTGGTGGACTATGAAGAACCGACCCTTTACAATGACTTCTTGACCTCATTGAAGGGGAAGATCCTTAGCGAGGAGCTTGGTGGTGATCGCAAGGAGCTGTGGTGGGTGGTCAGGAAGAGTAAGCTAGGGCTTATTAACCGGACTACATCGGAGGTGTCAAATGTCACCGAGGATGAGGCCAAAGAGGTAAGTTTAGAAGAGAGCGATGGGTATTGAGATCGACAGCTGACTTTGTGTGTAGTTCTTCTCTGCCACCTGAGATGCAGGGTGTGATTCATAGCTTTCGACTTCAAACTTGCCGTATTTCTAGCTAGAATCATCATCAGATGAGAATCGCACAGTACATGATACGACTATGCTTGAACAAGGTGTAGATGATGCTGTTATCGGTGTATTGATCATGCAAGCAATCCAAAAAAACAAATGTTCTAATATTCGCCCATGCTGGGAATCGGAAAAGTATCAAGAAAACGCCGAGATAGAACTAGTACAGTATGACCCGCGCTGTAAAGCGTGCTCAGCAGAGAAAAAAAAATGAGCCAATGCGACTCCATGCCTGCAATCTAGGAAATCTTGCCGATTCGCTTTTTGCCAACGTCAATCTTGGCATTCAGCCTGTTATTTCACAGTCAGTAAAATATCTCCGAATAATTAAGGTATCCGGATATAAGACGAACCGATCGGTATCCTCGTCCGCCAACTTTAACAGCTCATTCTGAATCTCCAATTCTTCATGAATGGCAGTTCCGAGCTCCCTCTGCCGTATAATAATTTTCATCAACTCCTCCACGCTCTGATCCTGATCTCTCATCGTCTGCTGCTGCAACTGCAGGACACCTTCATTGTCCAGCTCGCGTGTACGCTCAGTCTCCTTACCGAGGACTCTTCCAGATCGTGCAGGGGTTCGACGCCCGCCGTTCGCTGAGTCCGCACCGCTGGCTTTGAGTAGTGCCTCCTTATCTTGGACCGAGGCCACGGCATGATCGAGCCGGCTCTTTGCTGCCATGGCGTGTAACAAGTCTTCCAATCCGTCTCTTTCCTTGCGTGCGTTGATGAGTAGGTCCTTACGGCGGCGAAGCTCCCCGTCTCCCAGGCTCAATAATTTTGATGATTCTTGGGTCCCCCGACTACCGAGATTCTTCAAGCTTTCTTCCAGAGTGGTGATCATCGATGCTGCCCGGATGAGACTAGTCTTTGCTTGTGCAGAGCTTTCATGTTGTTTCTGAGGAGTGGTCTCCTGATCGCGACGGGAGAGCTGGAGTCGCGCATCGTGGAGATGGGATTTCATGTCACGGTAGTAATCAAGCCAGAGCGTTGGGTCGGTAATTGCAGTGTTAGCCGCTGAACCGGGATCTGTGATCGCGGCATGGAGTCGAGCGGATGTATTGGACGTTCCATTTGAGGTAGATGTCGCTGCTGCGGTCGGCAGGTTTAGAAAAGCTCGCCATGCAGACGAAGTACGCCATCGAGCATCGGGCGCCTCGTTGATCGCGCGGAGATATGCCTCCAGGCCGCGACGGCGTTCTTCACGGAAGCGGTCATTGGAGACCGTGTTGGAAAACCATGATTTCGAAGGGAGAGGTACGGGTGGCTGGATATCGGTCTGGCTAATCAGATCGCTGTGGAAAGCTGCAAAGTCGGAGTAGCGCTTGGATACGGTAAACGAGCGGAGTGGGAGGCGGAGGGTGATGTGGTAAAGAGTGTGCGGCGGGGAGGTATGTGAGAGGGTGGTTGTTGGGATGGAAATCTCGATGGTTGGCGCCATGGCTAGTCTGGCAGCTATGGCATCGGTCGTGTGGTCGTTGGAGAATTGGAGAAGATAAGAGAAGATCAGTTGTTGCCGTTGAAGCTGAGCCCATGACGCAACAGCCCCGAAGTAGTTTAGCCAGAACTGTCAGGCACCCACGCAATCATCAGCTGAGATGAGCACACTACAGTTTCTCTTTGTTTTTGGTTTATGAAAAGACCTTTCTCAAGTACAATTCAGTCATCCCTGGATGGCATATGCAACAAATAGAATATTATATTTGACAGTTGACAGTAAGGGTATCTTCAAATTGTTTACAGTTCAGCCAAAGCTTCGTCTCGGGTCCAGACCTCCCGTGCATCGAGCAGATCCCGCTGGCCAAAGAACTCGCCCACGATCGTGATGATCATATCGAGCAGTACCCGTGCTTGTTGCGCCGAGTCTCGGTGTTCCGCTCGACTTTGCTCATTCGTCGCATCTAAATCTGTTTCACTCTGCAGCTTGGCCTGTAATCGTAACTTGGCAGCCTCCAGCGCCGCAGACAGATCGACATCAGCCATATCAGTGTCCTGTTGGTCAACGGATGCCCCCGTCGGCGAATCCTCTCCCTGGTCTTTTGCTTGGTGGATCTCCTCTTGCTGAGGTTCCTCTGCATCCCCAGGGTCCGAATCAGAGGCGTCGCTATCCTCGGCAGATCGCTTGAACTCAGTCTCCTGCATCTTCAGCAGAATCTTCGCAGCGCGTTTGCCGAGATCGCGTAGCTCTCCCACTTGATCCGTAGCCAACTCACCGACCTCGCGGCATTTTCCCAATAGCCCCCATGCCCATGCGCCAACCCGTCGAACAAGACCGAGGTCCCCGCCCCGGACATTCTCGCCTAATCCTCTAGCAAGGATGCTCAGCACCCTTAGCACACTATCCGAGTCCAAACAGGCCAGTTGTACCATATGTGGGTCAACTGTGAGTAACAAGCGCCGCCATTCTTTCCGCGCAGCTGTGTTTCGATCGGGGAGACTGATGGGATGAACGTCGTCGAGGACGGCGATAGCGGTCGCGGGAGGTGTACAGCGCAGTGTTGATCGGAGAAGGAGGAATCTGTGCCGAAGGAGGTTGTAATATGATATTTGCGCGTCGGGGAATCGATCATCAGGGCCAGCGGCCGACTGCTTATCAGCCTCGACGGGTGCGATGTAAGCTTCGTCTTCGAAGAACCCAGCTGGGAACTTGTGTGGCCCCGGTGCATCCGCTTCCGTTTGAGTGATGGGTTCCGGGTTTTCAGCGTCTCTTATCGCGACCGGCGCGATGAAGAGTGAGGGTAAAGAATTGGCTTCAGATCTAGAGATTCAAACACGCAAACGTCAGCTCCGGCATCGAAGCACGAGAAGTTGGGGAGAGTGCTAAGGCGGCGAGTAGGGATATTTAGCAGATGGTAGACATCAGCCAGAAGAAGAGAGACTCACCGGACCATGCGCAGATACTCCATTCCATCGTCTGCGGAGCCGTAGAAGAGCTCGTCGCCGCCGTCGTCCAGTCCCGGGAATGCGCTCTTCTGTCCGTAGAATGGGTTGTTGCGAGGCCGCTCCTGAGATGCTACAGAGGAAGCGATTTCGCTTGCATCTTCATTGGAGATGCGCATTCGTTTGGCAGATGGTTCAGACATGGATGCTTTGCGCTTGTCCGGCATCATCGACGGCGGCGGCGTTGGTGGAAAAGTCGGGGAGAGCTCGGCCTGAGGCTCTGATCAATAAGATTGGCGATAAGAAGCTTATCAGTACATTCGATGTGACCAAAGTCCGCCCGGAAAATAGTGATGGTAGAGGCATGATTTGAGGGACAATTATGAGGAAATCGAAGTTCTTCATAACGTGAATGCAATTAGGCCGTGTTTCAGCCCATTCTGGGGGGTTCAACCGGGGGGTCCAACCCGGTTGAACCCCCCAGTCAGTGTGCACCTCAGTTAGGAAGGAGCCAGGTCCTCAGCTCCCTCTTAAGACCATTCGAATTCGAGCAATTATGGATAGAACACACTGAATACAAGCAAATGAAGTTCCAAAATGTTTCAGATAAAGGGCAGATACGAGAAGAAATAAGCTCTGCGGTCATACAAAGCCGGGGTGCGGCAAGTGGTTACATTCACCCCATACTACTGGGCTTAGCTACAAGACAAGATCGGGCTTCATGATTGAGAGTACGCGTCAGACAAATTGGAAGAGAGAAATGGTTTATGGATTAATTCATCTGCTGTAAATCTTGACATTGTTGTTTAAAAGTACAAATTGTCCGATGTTACTCTGAAGTATACAAATATATATTGCGCGGGATGAGTGTTGCCAAACAACCACCAAATTAATTGGAAAATTTTGGGCTATTCAAAATCTGATGTGGATGACAATGAGAACCTCGCCATCCCATTGTATCACCAATTTTCACAGAATGGTGGGTGGAAGGGAATGGGAATAACTTCAGGACGCAGCTGCTGTGTAGTTGAGCTTGCCAGTGGAGTAAGTGGGACAAGCCCTGCAGCGGCCCACTCTTAAGGCGGGAGGCCGCCCAATAAGGCCCACTCAGGCTCCCGCTAATCGCGCCGGATGATCTACCCGCTTACATACTATAAACAAGCATACTCGTTCGATATAGATCAAGTCAATCCCTATTGTAGTAACCAACGGGTGAGTGGCGTAGTTGTAAGGTGCCTTGCCATTGCTGCATTAAAGCGAGCCCGCGTTCGATTCCTTCACGGGGGGCACCCCCCGGTCTCGAGGCCGTTTACGGCTGAAAACTCATGCAATGCGCATGTGGGTTTTATAGCCTGCTCCCCCAGATGGGGATATGAGGGTGAATTTTTTGGAGAAATTTCTTTCCAATTGTGGAATGAGTAGCTGAGCTATTCTAGTATCAAAATTGATAGTTCAAAAGGCGATTGGCCCACTGTAAAGGGCAACTGTAGCCGATTGAAGTTGATGCACCTGTTGTCGACGAGGGTCCACTCACCGGCTGCCGAAAGATGTTTATGAGTACAGAAGCCCCCACAAAAGGGGGAAAAAGATTCTGAAGAGTGGGGACTCTGCAGAGATATCAGATCTAATCTCATGGTCATTTTCATATCCCTCGAAACCCTGTGGAACCCATTGAGGGGCAATCAAGGCAACGGACTGGAAGAATGTTTTGCAAGTAACTCACGTTTAGAAGCATTACAACTCAACCAACAAGAAAATAGAAACGAAAATTCAAAAATGAGTAGAAAAGGCAGTTATATATACACACACGGCATTTTATTGTCTAATACTCTGTTTCCGTCCTTTGGTGCGCCTATCCCCAAGTCGACTCGGGCATGATATTGAGGTGGCAAAAAGTAAACAAAAGACATTCACATCAAAAGCAGCAGACACAGAGTGGGGAAAATTATTCCAAGGAATGAGTGTAAGGTATTAGGATACAGACCATGTTCCTACTGACTTTCGTAGAATTTAAAGGTCATTGAGGTTACTAATTGTAAGAGCGTAAGTGTCGACCAAATGTAACTTCATGCCCGGCCGAGAGCAGCGCTCACCACAGCCTCAAATGAAATCGGAGGATTTCACAAAAATAAAAGCAGGTACTTCAAGACCTAAGGTTTGAAATGGCATTATTTACGCTTGTTAAAGTCAATTGTGGAGGTGGGCATTGGATTATGGTGCTGGCTTCAATTTCACATGCGAATGACGAGCTCAGAAATCTGGGCTTCATAGACCACTAAGGCCTCCACAGGAAATGGTGGGTCTTCAAAGTATCATGATACAAACTTACATAATTTATATACAGATCAAAGTCAAATATGAACAATTTGAATCAACTTTCGAATTCACGCACGCCTAATAAGATGCCGACTTGGAAAGTCGGAATCGGCGTGTCCACCCGACGGGATAGACCCTGTCTATGCCAGACCAAAAATCAACGGATCCGGTTAAAATTGTCATCTTTCGGTATGTATCCTTGAGAATAGTGATCAATAGCAAGAACTCATATTTTTTATGGAATTTTTCCCAACGGCAACACCCCATTGGGGCTCATTGAACCGAGGAATCTTCAAACTTGGTCGCCAAGGCCTCGAGTAGTGTTACCGCGGACGAGCACCAACTCAAAATCACTCGTAAATAGCTCCAAAATGTCAATAATATTGAGTGTGAAGTAAAAGTCACAAACCAAAGAAAAGAAAACCTCACTTCTTCTCTAATGTATCATTCACAGCAAGGTGCGAGTTACACATATTGGGTCCAAGGGACAAGATTTCTCTAGAAAATTTCCAAGTCAACCATCAGGTTGAACAGAGAAGAGAGGTTCAGGAAAGCTTTCATCAATTGATCCCGAGCACTCCCGAACAACGGACTAGGAACCAATGCTTGTTCATGCCAGATGGTAGATGTCAAACGCTGTGGTAATAATGATCTTGTTCCTCACACAAGGAGAAACTTGCAGAAAGACTAGAAACCCCGAATCAGTGGAAAAGAATCTCATGCTCATGCCCAACGTGGAGGAATTGAAGGCTGGGAAAGGTTGAGAGTCATCAGCCATCCACTCATTCTCCTCTGCTACCACAACCACCATATCATTGTCATTTTCGTACAGCCCACAGACTCGATACGAAGATCAGTTGAATCATTACACAGCTGTTTCAGACCTTGGCCTCGAAACATTGACACTCTTCTCTCGCGGGTCCTTCCTTGCGTTAAGGACCCTTCAATGCATAAGGCCGGCATCCTGAAGCCAAGTCTGCCACGTCCAGTATGGCCCAAACAATGGCCTTTCCTGTGGCTTGCTGATCTTATTAAACAAATGGATCGTTTCTGGATGAACAGAGGGCGATAGCAGCCGAAGCAAGGGTGCAGCGAGTCAGACAAGCCAAATGTGATGCTTCTCACCCAAGAATCACGATCCGCGCGAAGAACCATCATCACCTGGGCTATCTCATTGCGGAGAATGTGGAGTCAAGTATGGATATGGACTGATGAATCCTGCAAAGGTGGATCACCACGCGAATTGATGCCCGTCAAGATGTCTCTTCCGCACATTCTCATCGGCTTGCTCACAGTATCAATGAGAGACTCTGTGACTCTGGGATACCAAGCCAAGGATTTGAGGCAAAGGGAATCAATCACAGAAGATATGATCGCTAAGAAAGCCCGTCATAGTGGAAAGCCGCGATCCTCAAATAAGTCACGGCTTCGATAAGATAGTGTACCATGCCCCATGAGTCGGTACAAACGGCGATGGGTACCACCCTGAGACATTGCGATTGCAAACTACCCAAAACTTCAGGGCCCCCGCATCTTTCAGGCATCTTTGTCTAGGGTGGCTGTGCCATTGGCTAAACAGCTGACACGCGGTACATAGATTCATGCTCTGCCACCAGCAGCAGTATACCATAAAAGCTGCCGTGCATTCAAGCCATGAGAGGCGCTTGGTGGCTTATGGGATTTCTGACCAACACTGGACGCCTTGGCCAACGCTAATTGAACTTCTATGCACGGCCAATGTGGAGGTAGCCAGACGGCATCGGACTGGGGCTGTGAGCCGCTCATGACGGGCTTGATAATACCTGGCTTTTCTCCTCAACGCAGCATCTTCTGTCTTGCCGACTTTTCCTTTGTAGTCTATCACTGAACTAGCATCATTGGGCCTCTCATAACACGGTTGCAGTTAAGTATGATCTTAGTAAGCAGCAGATTTCACCAATCTCGTCACAATGCCTTCTGCATAGTGCTATTATGGTTATTGCCCATGACGCATTGGCCTGCCATTATTCTAGAGCAATTCAAATGATGCAGTAATAATTAAAAAAAAATGGGTTATAGGGAGCTTCTATCTCAGGGCAATCTCATATGGTCCCCACTCCTGGACCAATTTGTGGCCTAGACATGCTTCACTAAACTCTGAGATTAATGTTTGTCATGACAGGTGCCTCGATCAGATATTGATCACTTCAGTGGACTCTTCTAATCAAATGCAAGTGAGTTTTGAAAAGAAATGATGCAGTACTTGAAACTGTAAGGCGTGGACCTGCCTGTTTATCAAGGAATGGCCACCTTTCAGTCTAAAGACTAGAATGCCTCCGAACAAATAGGCACGAACTATTTATCTTGAAATCATGACTGTTCTCATGACTTCAAATCAACTTCCAAGCTTCATCTTGGCCAAGGCTACACCAAGTTTGCCTGAACGCTGCAGGCAGCCTTTCCAAGTCAGCGCCGACAGGCAATCGATGCATCCGAACAATGAAATCTTCATCATCTTGATTGTAGATCTCAGGCAGACAGCCCAGAGGCTGCCATCGTTGACTGATTTCATACCTCGTTGACTAGAGCCTGCTGGACTGATGGAGAGGCAATAAAAGGTATTTATATTCCCTTCAACACTTCGAACTCTGCCCTCTTCACATTTCTCCATCGACAACCTCTCCTCCTCCACCACCCACCACCCACCACCACCATGCACTTCCTCATCCCCGTCCTCGTTTTCGTCGCCGCCAACATCTGGGGGCTGTATAGCAGCATCCCATTCACCAACATCGACCCTGCCCGCTCCTTCCTGAACCGCGCCCTGGGGGGAGTCCAACTGGCCAGCACTGTCTACACGCTGGACCAGATCCCCGGCCTCCTCGACGAACAAGCCATCCCACACCACCTCATCCAAGGGTATCTAGGTGGCTGGAATGCCACCGTGGTGTCCGAAACGGAGTCAGCAATGGCTCTCAGTGCTGGTCACAGACCATTGACTGCTCCGTTGACCGTTCCTCCTGGCTTGTTCCCCTCGCCCCCCTCATCGACACCGACGGCCGTGAACCCGCGCGAGCCGTCCGCGCCACGACATACGCCCGTCGACGGTTTCGCCCAGGCCGTGGTGACCGTGATCTTCGCCCTGGTCGTCTGGATCATGGTCAAGCAAAACGACCACACCAGACGACTGACAAGCGTGCTCGAAGAAATCGGTCTGGTACAGCAGCACCAGGAAACCGCCTGGAAGGGGATCGTGGAAAACCACACCAGTCTCACATACTTGGTGTCGGTTGCACACGACCTACGTGCCGCCCCAGCGTATCGTCCGCCGGTCGAAGAGATGGATGCCCACGGCAGTGAAGGCAGCACCTCGTCGTCCACTGCAAGCAGTGTCCTCGTCGGCCAGAGCTTGCAGGAGGTGCTGGCCAGCCTCGACACGCTGCGCCAAACTATCGACCGGAGTACGGACGTGTGGGAAGGGCTTTCCGAGAGGTTGGAGGTCTTCCAATCGGGGTCGCAAGTTACCCAGCCGACTGAGTCCAGCGGCGACGACCCGAATGGATCCTCGACAGGAGGTCTGGCGCAGGATGGGTGAAGCAGATGTTTGTGGTGTTCGTCTTCGGTGTTGAGTCCCTCGGTGTATGGTCCCTCTTTCTGCTGTGGTCTTTTTTTTGGTGTTCGGTGCTGGAGTTGAGAAGTGACTTGCCATGATGGGGCGAGCGGCTGGTCCGGGATTCTCCTTTCTTTTTCGATGTTTTTGTTTCTCTGGGAGTCATGAGTTCGGGTTTCGAAGGAATTATACCATCTTTTATAATCCACAAAGTGCACGAGAAGAGAGAGCTGTAGTAAACTGGGTATCATAAGCTAAATGATCAAGAATCATGACGCTGGTTGCTCGTTAAGGTATTTCCGGCACGCTGCTTTGAGCATCTCGATCCGCCGTTGAGTATGAATAAAGACTTCACGGTACATATCCAGACTCTGCTGCACCACCTCCTGGCGAGACTTAGACCCTGCACATATCTCGAGCATTCGCAGTTCCATTTCTTTACGAAGGAAAGGCTTGCTAAGCGAGATGCTGTTGGGAAGGCCTGCAACCACGTTATCGTATCCCTCCACAAGTGCAACGCCCAGTCGCGTGGGAATGAGCTCTTCGACTTTACTTCTGCCGCTGCCGCGGGGGTGCACCACGACATATTCACGTTCCTTGATTTTGGCAATATGCTCAGCCATTGTCGCATCGGTTCCGATTCCATTGGCGTCCATGAGACCGATGAGCTCGGGTTCTGTCAAGTAATTCGGTGCCGTTGTTTTCCCCTCGGAGATATTTGCCTCGGTGGGTTCGAACGTTTCTCCTCTCTCAAAATTGGGAAGCTGCTGGCTACTCTCCCATTTGTCGTAGACATAGACATCAAGGTAGTTCCTCTCTAAAACGACCAGGCCGCTGGTGTGAAATAATTCCTCTCCGTATTGGATTTCAATGTCAGTTCCTTGGCCTTTGGCGTCATCCGAGCAACAAGCGAGGAAACGCCGGACCACAAATTCGTAGACCTTTTTTTCGTTGGCGTTCAGTTGGTTTGGTGATACCCAGCAGACTGGATGAATGGGAGGGTGAGCCTTGTCGTTGTTACGGCCAGATCGAGGGGTCCGAAATTTGCCCTCAATAAGGCTGGGCTCCGGATTAGCGACGGTTACATGTGTGTACTTTGGGCTGAGTGACTTACTCTTTGGCGTATTGACCCCATTGATTATCCGGAAATTGTTTCTCGACAAGCTTCTTCAGATCGATGGCCTTGTCGAATTGATCTGTCTCGGTACGGGGATAGCTGATGTATCCCTTCGTGTAAAGCGCCTCGGCGACCTTCATAATGGTTTGACTGTCCAGGCGAAGGAAACGACTGCCCATCATCTGAAGGTCCACCGTTGTCAAAGGAAGGGGTCGCCATTTGCTCTTCGGTTTCTGGCTAACTTTCGTGACTTTCGCCTGCTTTGCTTTGAGGCACCGTTCTAGCATCATTGTGACGGCTGCACGATCAAAGAGATGCACACGTTTCCAGAGAAAATTGACCTTTTTGCCTTCTCGCTGCAGCATGACTTTGATGCTCCAGAAAGTCTCGGGTTTGAAGTTCTGGACTCTGAGGTATCGGTCAACCACGAATCCCAAGGTGGGGAACTGACATGATCCTAAAAAGGGATGAGATAGGTCCTTTCACGGGAGAACTGATATTGCCTACCGTAGCTGATGACCTTTTCCTTCAGGACGGCGGACACGGCCTGAAGCTGGAGAGTCTGCAAACGAGTAAAGGCAGCGCCGATTCGCAAATCAAGCTCAATCCTAGCGGCCACTGCATTTGCCTGGAACTCATCGAGTTCAATCGGCTCTCGGGCCGCTTGAAGAACATGGCTGACAAGCAAAACAGATCGAGTCAGTGATTTGCTGGTCGTTTCGTCGTTGACTGTGACTTACGCTCTTTCTGTGTTACTGAACCTGGCTCGCTTCACCTCAATGAGAGCATTGCCGGCCTTTGCCTGATTACGGACTTCAGCGCCGATATGCTCGCCTTCACGATCACAATCGGTCCAGATGAACAGTGCTTTACTGTACCTGGCCTGATTCCGAATGTTCTCCGCAATGGGCTTTTTGTCCTGTTTTGATTTAGAAAAACATACGAGAAACCGTTCCAAAGTACATCCACACCTTATCAACATCTTCTTGCACTGGAGCTTCGAACAAAGCTCCGGGTGGGCAGGACATCCAGCCCTTGTACTGACGATCAAATTCCAAACCAGTGAGATGACCGAGTACGCTAGTCATCGTGACCGAGCAGTTGCCCCAAGGAGCACCGAAATTGAAATCAAACTCATAGTTCTTGACATATTGATTTCCTCTGATTGCATGCTACGCCCTTGTTCAGCTAATATCTGCACACGAACGATGTCTCAGCCTCTTACCGTCTGGAAAGAGCCGCCTGACATATGCGTCGCCACGGCGCGGGCGATTGCAGGCTTCTCTGCCACGCAGAGAATCTTGCGAGTCATGGCGATCCCACCGTACTATGATCAGATGGGGTCCCTGCGGCGGAGGGGAGATACTTTTCCTAAACGGGGGAATAGTGACTTTGGGACGCGAGTTGATGCCTGAGGTGTCAAATGTGAATGATAATGACGCGGTGTATTGCCTGAGGCACACAGATCGTGAGCGCCTTACCCGATGAGGTAATCCAAACAGGTACCCCGGCAACTCGAATCAATTTTGGCCAGCACAACTCTGCAGCTTCCACTCCTTTTCGCATATATACCCCCGCTTTTTGTCTTGAGGTTCGGGAAATATGGCATCCCTTCCACTCCCTCGTGTTGAGTCTTTGGTAGACTACACCTCCTTCAAACATACGGTTCTACCTTACCTGGCCCAGCTGCAATGGCTCCCCGCAAGCTTGCGCGAAGCTGGTCGGAATGTTGATAGCTTGAAGGAAGTATACCTGGCCACCAACCCCATGGTCTCCGCACTCGCACTGTGCTTAGTCTTGGCCGGAGTTTTCTTTTTGGCTGCAGAAATCAACCGCAATTTTTCGCAAGTGGATCGCTTTTGGAGCATCCTGCCCGCTGTCTATAATGTGCATTTTGCCGCTTGGGCGCGTTTGGCTGGTATTCGTACCCAGACCTTGGATACTATTGCCGTGATCAGCATAATTTGGAGTGTAAGATTGCTCCCTCCGGCTCGATGCGATGATTTAAATTATTAACATGGACTTGCTGCGAATAGATTCGCTTGACCTTCAACTATTGGCGCAAGGGCGGCTACACAGTTGGCTCCGAGGACTACCGCTGGGCGATTGTGCGGTCGAAGGTGAACAACGATTTCCTGTTCAGCATCTTCAATTTCACTTTCATCGCCGCGACACAATCACTCCTGCTTCTGCTCATCACGGCCCCGACCTACACTTTCGTGATCGCCGCATACAACCAGAGCACCGAGGCCTTCGGTCTTGCCGACCTAGCCTTCTCCCGCGGTGCGCTCTTCTTGATCATCATCGAGTACTTTGCCGATCAGCAGCAGTGGAACTTCCACGCCGCGAAGCATGAGTACCAGAAGACCGCGCGCATCCCCGAACCCTACAAGGACGTCTACACCCCGGAGGATCTTGAACGTGGCTTTGTGGTCAGCGGTCTCTGGTCCTGGTCGCGCCACCCCAACTTCGTTGCCGAGCAGGCTGTGTGGCTGACCATGTACGCCTGGGCTGCCTACCGCACCCAGACCTACGTCTCATGGATCGGCCTTGGTGTTGTGGGCTACCTACTCATCTTCCAGGGTAGCGTACGCCTGACCGAAGCGATTAGTGCCGAAAAATACCCCGAGTATAGCGAGTACCAGGCTCGCGTGGGCAGATTCATTCCCCGTCTGTCTGTGGAAGCCAAGAAGTCCAAGCCCACTAGCAAGAAGGTTGCTGCCAGGATCGAGGGAGCCGAGGCTACCGAGGAGACCGAGGCCAAGAAGAGCAAATAAAGAGTAGTATTTACGGGGTTGGTCTTATGAAGGAGTATTTAAGGGCTGGTTCTGAAATTGTGCGCATATTGCGCTGTCTGCTATAAAGGAAGGGACGTGTTTTCTTACCTGTTATTTTGGGGTTTCTACATATCGCAATTTAATTCTCAATCTCCAATAGCTATTCAAAATAGCTCGAAAACTAAGATTTTCGGCATTCTTTTAGTCTGGCCAGACTCCACTAGAAAGAGACGTTGCTGATTGAGCTGGTCCCATTGAACAGGTCATGTCCTCTAGGTATAGGGGTCCAAACATCGAGGTATGTTCCACAAGAGGCCATGCAAGGGTCCTAGGTAAGCATAGTTTGGATCCATATAGCCCAGCAGGGCTCTTTCTGAGGTCCAGTCAGCCTATGCTCCAGTAGCTTTTACGAGAGACGGAGCGTAGCGCCGAGATTCATGAAAGTAGTCATGCTCCATGGGGAGTATTCCGGTATCTTTTGAGTTGCCGACTCGGCCCAAATGTGCTACAATCACGATCAGACTCATATATCGCGCAGCGAAGATATAGAGGCTTCGAAGTAGTTGATTATCTCTACAATGCGGAAGAGCTTAATTGAGAAGAGATGAGAAGTCACGAACCCATATAATACACACTCCACACTCAGGGTACATGAGTCTTCGATCGAAGGTGGAGCAAAACAAAAACGAGATGAGCGGAAAAATCTTCATATTTAATCGCGACATGGTCAGAGGGAATTTTATGAGGTGATGGGTAGAAGAGGGGGGTTTAGAGAGGGGAGTAGATCAGACAGATGAAAGGGAAGAGAGAGGAAAGAATCAAAGGTAAAAATGCAGGTCCATAAGTACAAAAAGAAAAAGAAAAAAAAAGAGGAATAAACCCAGAGACAAAACACGGTGATATCACACACTCCCTGCTTTAAACAGCCAAAATAATGCAGATCCAAATTGCGTAGCGAAAACAAAACTCATCGATTTCTGGCCGTCTATGAGGGAGGGAGGGGGGTCTCGTCACGGCCATCCTTGCCGGTCGTCTCCTCGAAGTCTGCCTTGGGCTCTGGAGGAGCAATGGTTTCTCCGCCCTTGCCATCGAAGTACTTGGCGAACTCGGCGTTCTCGGCCCACTCACGCGGACCAAGAAGGCGGATCAGATCATCACGGCCGAGGACCTCCTTGGACAGAAGTTCTTCAGCGACGATGCCGATCTCCTTCTTCCGGGAGCTGAGCAGGTCGTGGCACTGTTTGTAGGCTTCCTCGACGATGCGGCGCACCTCGGCGTCGATCGTACGGGCAGTATCCTCGGAGAAAGGCTTCTGGAACTGCTGGCCAGAGTCGTCCTCATAGTGAATGTAGCCGAGCTTCTTGGACATACCGAACTTGGTAACCATGGCAGTGGCCATGCGGGTGACCTTGTTGAAGTCGTCGCTGGCACCGCTGGTCACGGTGTCGAAGTGCAGCTCCTCACTGACACGGCCACCCAAGGTCATGGCCATACGGTCCATGAGCTGGTTGACGTTCATCAGGTAGGTGTCACCACCAGCGGGGAGGTACTGGGCATAACCCAGAGCACCCTGTCCGCGGGGAATGATAGACACCTTGAGCAGTGGGTCGGCCCACCGGAAGTACCAGCCACAAATAGCGTGGCCAGCCTCGTGGTAGGCAACGGTGCGCTTCTCTTCGGGTGAAAGAACGAGAGACTTCTTCTCTAGACCACCGATGACACGCTCGATGGCCTGCTCAAAGTGACGCATAACAACCTTGTCGGCGTTTTCACGAGCAGCTATAGATACGTCAGCAAAATCCAAGGAACAACATCAGATGTGTAAACTTACCAACAAGAGCGGCCTCGTTGACACAGTTGGCAATATCAGCACCAGCGAATCCAGGAGTCAGAGCAGCAAGTCGGCCTTCCAGGAACTCCATGTTCTCATCGGTAACGATCTTCTTCAGGTGAACACGGAAGATCTGCTTGCGGCCATCCATAGTAGGACGATCGATGGTGATGTGACGATCGAAACGACCGGGACGCATGAGAGCCTTGTCAAGGACATCAGGTCGGTTGGTACCGGCCAGAACGACAACCTGCTCAGAAGTGTTGAAACCGTCCATCTCGGTCAGGATCTGGTTGAGAGTGCTCTCACGCTCGTCATTGCCACCGCCGAAGTTCGACTTGGAACGGGACTTGCCGATAGCGTCGATTTCGTCGATGAAGATAATACAGGGAGTGTTCTTCCGGGCGTTGGCGAACAGATCACGGACACGGGACGGACCGACACCGACGAACATCTCTACGAACTCGGAACCGCTCACACTGAAGAAGGGCACGCCGGATTCACCGGCAGTGGCCTTGGCAAGCAGGGTCTTACCAGTACCGGGGGGACCAGAGAGAATAGCACCACGGGGAATCTTCGCACCAAGTCTCTCGAAGCGTTCGGGCTGTTTGAGGAAGCTGACGAATTCCATAATTTCGACCTTAGCCTCGTCCATACCTGCGACATCGGAGAACTTGATCTTGATATCGGTCTCGTGGTTGAAGCGCTTAGCACGGCTCTTGCCAATGCCAAAGATACCGCTCTGGCCACCGGCACCGGCACCACGTCGGGAGAACCAGTAGATACCGCCGATCAACAGCAGAGTCGGAGCGAAGGACAAGAGGGCACTGCCCCAAGGAACTTCGTCAACATAAGCAACCGGGATTCGCTCGTGACTGGGAATGCCCAGTTCGTATTGAGCCTGCTCCAGCTTCCTCTCGAAGCTGTCAACAGATCCAATGCTGAAGTAGACGTGGGTCACTGGCTGCCCGGCAGAATCGGGATAAGCCTGGTTCACAACCTCGCGGTTAAGGTCGACACGGACGCGGTGACCATTGGCAACAGTCAACTTCTCCACGAGACCCTTGTCAAGGTAGTTCGAGCGGAACTCCTGCCAGGTGATCTCTCGGCCAGCACTCTCGCCGGGGAAGAAGCTGCGGTAGACGTAGTATGTGACGAATGCGGTGACCAGGAAAGAGGCGGGATCGAATCGGAATTCGAACACTCGGGGAGCAGGGAATCCCTGATCCTGCTTCTTCTTCTTCTGGTCCTTGCTCTCCTGGTCCTTTTCCTTTCCGTCCTTCTCCGTGCTCTTCTGCTCAGACTCTTCCTGTCCCGTCTTCTCCTTCTCGGTGTTTTTGTTCAACTGACCATTCTCGCCGTCTTGCGTCTTCTTGAACTCCTCCACATCTTCCTTGGCTTGTTCGCTCGTATACTTAAATAACCAACGCATCATTCGGATGTGATCCATCAAGGACGCATTTGCGTGCTTCTCGATAAACTGTCTGACTTCGCCCGGCATGCCATTCTTCATCAAATGCTTCCGCAATGTATCAATCGCCTCATGCTGCGAGTCGGGCATGCGTGTCTTCAGATGCTTGGTGAATGCATCCAATTTCGCCTGATCCTCGGTATTCAGGATCGTCTCCGGCTCGTCATCTTTGCGGCCTTTCTCCGGCTCGCTCCCCTTCGGCTGGGAGTTCCCGGAGTTGTCGTTCGGGGGTGTCGGGCCATTCGTAGCGTAGGTCCGGACGCGGGAGGATGTAATGAGGGAGGATAGTCGTGACGGGTGCGTTCGCAGAGAAGTTGTTCCAGCGCGGCCGAGGCACTCTGTGGCTCTCCTCGAGAATCGGGCAATGTTGCCTGGCCGCCGGAGGAGGGAGGCCATGGTCGAGGGAAGAGAAGCCCAGAGGGCTGAGAGGACGAAGAAAAAGGGTGATCAATCGGATTCGGGGGCGTTAGACAACTCCGCGCAATCCTTAGAGGGAATTGAAGTTGCGGTGGGCAGCTCTCAAGCTGCGGCCAGTTTCGGCGCCGGGTTTTTCTGAATTCCGGCCCTCGCTGAGTCATCGAAATCGGAATCGGGTCGAAGAGCATGGACTTAATCGGGGTTAACACTCCGTTCGAACATTATACTAATATGACCCGAGAAGGTAATTTCGGGGGTTCTCTTATTGTATTTGTCTTACGTCCCGAAATTCCATAATTATTGCTCGCGATTAGGGGTATTATTGGAGAGTGGGAGATTTGGATTATTTCCTCCATAGCCCCCATCGCTATTCGATCCGGACCGGAGTAGAGGAGTTCTTCAATGTACATGATAAGGGGGGAGAGGAAGAGGTGCGAAAGTAATAGAGAGGAGAAGAAACGCTCAATCCAACTGAAAACCACCCGGATAATAACCCATTCCATGTATCCGCAACCCAACGCCATAAGTCTAAATGGTGAACTATACAATATTCCACATATTCGATTAGTCTCGTCACCGAGTCAATCTTTCACTGTGGGTGCTGGCCATTGGCACCGGCCCCCTCAAAGACAGGAAAATTAGTTGACATGTCTGCCCAGTCCCATTCAATGGTCATTGGCATCTGCCAAAGATCTTGTGGAACGAACGGCTGCTGGAAAGGTCCCATGGGACTAGTAGGCCTGAAGGCTTGGTCGGGGAACCCGACGCCAGGGCTAAGTATGTCTTGGAAGTCCTGCCCTAAGCCAGACATGGCATGAACGTTGCTCGCAAAGTCATTGGAGATACTGGAGCTTGGAGGCATGGAAGGGTCGGTGCCGAAGGCCTTCTGTTCAATAGGCGAAGACACCCCAGCAGAGGGACTGGCGAACATTGATGGTGAGAAGGGGGTGGTTTGGGGGGCTTTTGCGGGCTTGGCCGAGGGAGACATTTGGGGATTTTGTTTATTTGACTCTTGCGCAGCAGAGTCATCCGGTGCGGCCTTTCGCTTTTTCCGGGCATGAGATTCTTTTTCAGCCTTATCGAGAACGACCTTGGCAATTCTCTCGAATTCACCACACAGCCCAAGCATGCGCTTGATGCTGCCATTTGATTCGTCGGAAACCAACGTGGAAAGGAAGTTGACCACCACGTTCATCAATTTAACATCTGATCGAGCACGAGCATCGTTCGGGTTTTGCAGAATATTAGCAAATAGTGTGACAAGAGCGGACACTGGATAGTAAAGAATCAACCTAGAGATTCATATTAGCATTTTCATGTCACAATGCATCGATCAAAAGTTCTTACCAGACACAAGCAAAGTCTCCCTGCGGAATATACTTGATAAGATTGATCGAGGCCCGTGCAGCAGTGACACACAAGACAGCGGACAAGAAGACTCTGGGATTCAATGGCCGGGCATTTAGGCCTTGAATGGCATAATTTGATAGTCGGCTGGTCCAATAACCATGGTGCACAGACATGCGGTGGATGGTAGTCAAGCAATTGTAGTAGGCGAAGTGAAGAACGACGACGTGGATGAGGAGTGGTCCGTGTGTGGCCTGAATTTCATGTTCAGGTCGGTAGTCGATGGGAATATTGTCCTTCCAATCCTCCAACTCCTTATCTAGCTCGCCAATAGTGTTGAGCAATTCGCCGTCGGACTGTTTAGAAGCCTTTGCAGAATACAGTTTCTTGTAAACTCTGCTCTCGATGGTAGCGAATTCGCAGAGAGATCTGAAGAGATTAAATTTGCCTCTGCCGTCGGCGAGGGGCACATGTCCAACGTTATCTGGAGGGTCTTCGCTTGGGAGATCGACATTCATGTCATCGTCGTCCTGTACTGGTGGTCTCCCGGAACGTAGGCAAATGCTGTGAAAAGGTCAGCAGAAGATCTTGGGTGTAGGGGATATAAACGGGACACACTCTTTGTCAAGGCAATAGGCCACCCAAAAGACTCGCTTCCGTTGTTCTACCTCTACCGGATTCAGACCAAAGCCAGAGCCTCGCTTGTGCAAGCCAATGCTATGGGACAGACGGATAGCCGCGGCAACCAAGAAGAATGCCGGTTGGGGGTTGGGGGTACCCTGAAGGAACAGAGACTGCAAGCGCATGTTAGCGGTACTGAATGTCCGAGGATTGAATCCAGATACTTACCATGCCAAGCAACGCTTGAACACTCAGGAGATCCGTGTTACGCATTGTTAATTCAGTCAAGACGCCCATGGCATTCTTCAGATACAACCATGCTTTCTTATCTTCTTCTTGGGGCACCAAGTTGCTCATCACTCGCAAGCGGTGGGAGATTGCCAAAACAACGTTGATACTTGCCCACCAACCGGAGCCCTCGTACGGGTCCCGCGAGTACTGTCGCTCCACCAGATGCATAAAGGTTGCTTCGTGGAAAAGTGGGAACATGCAGTTGAAATTCTCAAAAAAGTCCTTGAACAAGGAGAGAGCCTCTTCTTTGGGAGGGAGTGGCTTGAATACGCGCCGCGCAAAGATGTCACTGAAAATTTCCGGCTTCCAGTACATCCACTTATTGTCATCGACGTACGCTGAGGCAATCATATCTTGGAAGGACGTGTCGCCCGTTTTTTCGTTGACCCATTGGATACCCTTAGGTGAAAATATAGAAAATCCGGATGAAGAGCCTGTAACAAAATAGTCATTAACTTGAGACCCTTCTCAATGAGCACAGATGATCTCCCTACCGATGTACCGGGTTTCGCCGCAATTATTGGTCACTAGCGAGCACATCATATCCGACAATGCTTCAACCTCGGTCTCGGACTCTTTTTGTGAGCCGGGGGACGTCGCGGCGGTATGGGGACTGGACTGGGAGTCCACGCGGGGTGTGGTACTGTGAGAGGTCGAGGATTGTTGCTGGGTTGCACTCGGGGTGTTGAACTTGTTCGCATTTCTCGCCGCGTTTAGTACATTCGTTCGATCGGCGAGTCGTTTTTCCAGTATACCTAGATCTGTCTTTCCATTATCGTCTTCGGAGAGGAGACCAGACAATCGGAGGAGGGATTCCATGCGGCCCAGGCGGTTTTCCAAACCCTCGATGTATTTCGCCCTGTATGATCCAGGTCAGATCGGAATCCATCGGTTGCGCAATTCTTGCAGCAACATACCCTTTCGGAGGATTTCGTTTCTTCTCAACTTGAGTAAAGACACAATCCGTCTTATAGTTGATACAGTGCGAGCACTTGGGCATCTTGCCGTCGCACTTGATCTTTTTCTTCCGACACATATCGCACGCCTATAGTCAAAAATTTCCCGTCAGTCAATGCTCATAAATTTGTTTTCGGCCAGTAATGCGCACTCGTGCAATCCTTCGTCGCTTTGCGTCGTTGGCGTCATCCCCCACGGCCAATGCCGAATCATCGGGATACATCGACCCCGCGAGGCTAGCCATCTGGGAGCCATCCTGCGAGTAGCTGCCAAAGAACTGTTGCTGCTGTTGCTGCTGGTTCATCATCATGTGGTTCGGGTCGAAACCCAGGCCATCATCCCCGAGGCCGTCCATGGTGGTGTTCTTTTTTTTTAAGGTGGCGCGTGTAAACTCCGCGGAAGTGGAGCACGAGGAGGGAGGGCGGTGTTAAGTAACGACTGCGGGGCTAACTATCATGCGAGCCAGAGAGGTGCTTTCCCCGACGCTTTTCACCCCTGAAGTTAAAGCTCGGAGAGTGCGGACAGGGTGGATCAAGCAGTGGATGACGCATCCAAGGTGGGATTGAATGAAGAGGAGGCGAGGAAGGAAGAAAAGCCAGATCGAGGCTTGGACCGTAGATCAGAGGCAGCGCTACAGGTGAGAAAGCGGAAGAGAGTGGGACGAGTATCGCAAGGTTTCAACTTCCGCTGAGTCAACGCAATTAACATCAGCAGGGAAGGATGCTTTGGAGAACAATTTTAGCACGGATCTGATTGTATGAAGGAACCAAATACGAAATACGGTGCCGGCTGCTGCCTTGCGAGCCAAAGTCTGGAGGAACGGAGGTGCTTAAACCCGATGCCGAGCCAAGACTTTCGAGAACTGCACGGCTAGAACGGGGTCCTCCGACTGTTTCGTCCGTCGGCGCCGAATGAAAGGGAGAGCTTCTCCGTCTTCCGTTCACCGTGAAGATTCTAATATTGAGGCTGGGATCGGACAAAGGATGATCATCAGAGTCCCCCTCCGATGATGCGGTGGTACAGAAACATGACTCTAAACCTTGTGTTGCACCCTCCGTGACCGCGTGCTTCGTCTGCAACGAGCAGAGATCGGCAGTCTGATATCTCTTTGGGTGTAACCAGGTAGTATCGGGCAGAGCCGGAATTCACTGATAGTGCGAGTTTCTTTCAATTACTGGATTAGAATAAGGCTCGGAGTTGTATAACATGATCATAGTAGTACAATTCGATGAGTGGCGATCTCGGGAGGATATATGTGACAAAGAAGAAGAGCGCATAAGAGCGCATAAAGTACAATAAGATCGAGGAAAGATCGAGCGATTGAACGACTCGATATATCCAGATCTTGTAAATAACAAGCAAACAACGCCACGCTATGCACCCAAAGTACAGTATAACCAGTGTGGACCCTGGAGTGCCCCTCCAGGGTGCTTCAGTACCTGGCCATCGGAGAAAAGTACCGAGCAGAGATTAGGCTTCTCGATGATCCCAAGTAGTTATCTTCAAGAGCCATGCCGTCCTAGTTCGATATCTCAGGTGTGTTTGTCGAGGAATTCTTTGGCCTCGTTGATCTTGGTGGCCAGGTACGGGCTACCGCCACGATCGGGGTGGTTGAGCAGCATAAGCTGACGGTGCTTCTTGCGCACCTTGTCCTTGTTCAATTTCCGCTCACTAGAGACGAAATCCAGATTAGTATCATTCTGAGTACGCCAAAGTTCGTTCCAAGTAACATACGGGAGCTCGAGAATCAGGGAGGCTTCACGGCGGGTCATGCGCGGTTCAAATCCTCTGCCATAATGTTAGCGACCATTACTATCTCATTGTGCAAGAATTGACGAACCCCTTGAAGAAGGCCTTTCCAGCGGCATTTACGCCGCCCTGAGACCGGCGGTAGGCGACCAGACCAGCACGGCCCTGGAGAACAACAGTTAGCTCAATCGCCCCGGCCTAGACCTGCGAGAAATCCTGACACATACCAAAAAGGCAGCCACACCAACACCAAGACCGATAGCGAGAGTCGAAGCCATATCGTAGATGGGGAGGGATATAAGGTGGCCAAAAAATCGGAGAGATTGATTGCCAGTCTGGAGGATTCGCGGGATAAAAGTCAGCGCGCGAGTCCCGATCGGGTTTAGCGCCCTCCTCCTCCACGCCGACCATCTCTTTCAGAAAAAAAAGTTTGCGGATAACAACGAAGGCCAGATCCATCCCACACCAGCAACCATGCGGTAAGTTCTTTCAACTCAGAATCTATCATGATTCTCCGACTAACCTCTTCTTTTTCCTCACTAGTGTGGAGACCTGTCACTTCTGTTCCCGCCCGGCCTTCCCTGGCAAGGGCATCACATTCGTCCGCAATGACGCCCGGCAATTCCGTTTCTGCCGCTCCAAGTGCCACAAGAACTTCAAGATGAAGCGTCAGCCTCGCAAGCTGAAGTGGACCAAGAGTCACCGTGCCGCCCGCGGCAAGGAGATGATCGTGGACTCGTCGCTCGTTCTGTCCCAGTTCGCCAAGAAGCGCAACGTCCCCGTCAAGTACGACCGCAACCTGGTCGCTGCCACCGTCAACGCCATGCAGCGCGTCGAGGAGATTCGCCAGCGCCGCGAGCGTGTCTTCACCAAGCGCCGTCTGGCCGGCAAGTTGGCTCGCGACCGCCAGCGCGAGGCCAACCGCAAGGTCGTCGCCACGGGCGAGCACCTTATCCGCAAGGAGCTGCGCGAGCGGGAGGAGGGCCGTCCCATGGTGGCCGAGCAGAGCAAGGTTGCCAACCGGGTGCACGGTGGAGATCTGTTCAAGCAGAAGAAGAAGGCCAAGGTGTTGGTCGATGGTGGTGTGGAGGAGGAGGAGGCGATGGACATGGATTAAGGAATCTTTTCATTTCCTCGGGCTTTGGATTTTTCTCTCTTTTTCTTTACCCATTTTGTTGGACCGCTACGATACGATTCCTGGAGTTGGGTTTGCATTATCATTGTGTTTCTCACGGTGTTTTTTTCTTCAAAAGCTATCGATATCATCTCACCTATAGAATGTGAGGACCAGTGAAAGTCACGCTGAAAATACCGCTTCTCAATTTTGAATTTCTCATTTCTTTGGCCGTAGTCTCTAGTGGAAAACATGTCACTGCTGGATTCAACCTGCTTATAATGGTACTCCGCTCACACCAGCCATTTGCTCAGGGATTTCATCTACAAACGTTGAACTCGAGTTCACGGAACGGAAGACTTTGTAATTAGAGAGTCTTATAAGTCATTGACAACGTCCTCACATATCCCCGGCTTTACTTGCAAAGATAGACCACATCGTGTATCATGTCTTCTGATATACAAAACCAATGGTCTAATAACGCACCCGCAACTCCTAAAATCAATAATGACTATAACCATGCTGCCTGCCCGAATCACGATCGAAGTAACCTTCCCACTGATCACTGTTCTGGAAATCATCCAACTCCTGAGGATGGGCAAAGCCTTTTCCACCACGATTCGACTTGAACCATGTCCGACCAAGAAAGCCAATGATTGCGACACTGACAATAACCACACCGACGGAGTATCCAACGAGCACTCCCTTAGACGCGTACGACCAACGGAGGTCGATACCACCATCGATGATAGCGAGAAGGACCACGATGAGCCCGAGGTAGCGATGCACAACTTCAAATACGGACGCGGTCTGCGTCTCTTTGTACAGCTCGGTGGTGCCAGAAACCTTTTCCCCACTGGGCAAGGATGGCCAGCAAAATGACGATTTCGAGAATCTGGTGCATGGAGCCGTATGACTAGGACTTAATAAACATGGTGCTGAGATAGAATTTGATCATGATACCGATAAAGGCGACGCGGCACGAAATGGTCTGATTGATCCAGTGCCAGCGTACACTCTTGGCATAGACGCGGAGGAGGATAGCCCCGAATGGGAAAAAGAGGATGAGCGCGCCGCAGAGGCAGAGAGCGTGGAAGATGCTGGGCCAGCTGCTGTCGGTCTGGAACTCTTCGCCTTTTGAGTATGAGCCTTAGGGGTGGTATATGATATAGGCAGTCCGCTCGATCCTCCAGTAGCGTGAACCACATCAATTGTGAAAACATCTAAAAAAGAGAAGTAACGTTAGAACAGGATGATACTTGTGGATAGCCAATTCTGAGAGATATCTTCACGCCGTACTTCCAATGTCTCTCGATACTGGCCGTCTTGGAGCCACTGCGCAGTATCCCAACACTACCACCAGTCGGGCCCAGTCCAAAGATCCGTGGCTGAGAGACAGATCCAATGATCCCGACTTCCAGCTTGTACAATTCGAGCATCGGCCATTCACCGTTATCGTATAATTGGCAATACTCGTGCCTTCCGAGGAGCGTAACTGCAATCGATGAACCATACTCTGGTTGCTGCTCCCCAGACGAAAGTCGAGGGCGACGGTAACATTTGAATTATTGTCACGCCACTTAGTGTACAGTTTACCAAAAAAAAGGCAAAGGAGACAAACTCTTTCCATTAGCATTAGAGTAGAGAATGATTATTAAACAATCCTGCATCTCCCTCCCCGTTCCAACCGCCAGCCAGCTAAAACTAGCCGGTCCAGACAAATGGAAGTACAAATTCTAGTTCCCGAGATGCCACTCTCAGAGGGCCTCTTCAATGACCGGTAAACGAGCCCCTTGGTAATTATCTATTTCTAGTTTTCCCTACCATTGACCTAATTGCTAAGCGTTTGGCTTCTTAAACAAGCTCACAGGGGAGTGACATCCATCGGACTGGTCATTGGTGACCACCGATGCCCTGAACCTAAAAAATTCGCATTCGCGAATACTGAAATCCAGCACCTTCCTTCTTCAGAGCGCATGAATTGTTAAGAACAAAGGGGAAAAAACATGGCTGCCTAGTAGTGCCACCTCTGATTAAGCGTCGATATTGCAATATGTTTGACGTGGTTGATGACGACTATTCAGGCGTTATCAAGTCAGGCGGGCAATTGATTGCATGATTCTAGATTTTTCAAGGACCTGGAGTATCTCGGCCGAATTGCCCATGTATTCCTTATTATTGTAATTCCACTGTATCTGCGTTATACCGCAGAAGCTTAGCGAGGTGATAAATCTGGCATTAATACTCAAGTCGGCTCGTGACACCCGAGTCGAGTTCAAAGACGCACGAATTGCTGCCTCTTTTGGGAGAACTATTCGGGTGGCGCAGAAGCCGGTCACCCGTCTCTCGATCGCAAGGTACTTTTAACGGAACGCGTCCCTTTTCTTCTGCCTTTTTCTCCTCTGCACAAATACTAAAAAAACAGGTATCTCACGGCTACAAGGTCAATTACTGTCTCTAGACATGTGTGATCAAGCTACGCAGCGTTTATGTCTCACGATACATAACAACCTTCATGAGGGTGATATCACTCTCAAGAATTTGATAAGTCTCAGGTATGGACTCGATCTCGGGTTACGACGGTCGTACTTTTGTCTAACGATGACTTTAGCGGCCAACCATATGAAAAGGGCAAAAGCCTACGCCTTTTATCCACCGAAGACGTGGAAAACATCAGGATTCAACCTGGCGAAAGCAAATCGATAGGCTTTTGTGGAAGCGCGACATTGGCACTCGGAATCGAGGGCATGCTCGACCTACACTTTGGTGATGAGAGCCGGATCACCTCGCTCTATTGGAATGGGCCGAAGGATCGTCTTGATAATCAATTCCACGTCTCGAGTACGGATCATGAGCATTTCACGGTGACGGCTTCGATTCCACCGGATGAAGGTGTTCTTGGAGATGTCTCGGTCGATGTGAGAAGTAGTCTGGAGAGTTAGGCACACGTAGTGGCTTCTCTTCTACAACGTTCTGCTTGAGGGGAGCTGTACTGCACCTTGAAGTGGGTGCTTACGCAGCCATGCACAGGGAGGCCTTTCCTGACAGACAAGATGTTGATACATTGTAGGGAGTTATGGAAGGGGCATTACCGGGCTTGTGCTTTGCTATTTTGCGATAATGTAATATCATCAATTTCTTCTTTGTTATCGATATGCCTAGCCACGCTGGTCCCTGTAATTTTCGCATATTCGAAACACCACGACTACCACCATCCGACAAATTGCCAACGGGAACACGAACAGTCCGGAGAAGGGGAACGGGAATTCTGCAGACAGTCTCGGACAGAAGCCACACACGACCGATCAAACAGAAATCGCACAACGCACCAAAGGCTTCTTGACGCTCTAACAATGTCCATCCCCAGATCCCCCGATTTGGGAACCACTATACTAGAGTTATACCTTTTCAGGGTTCAGGGATCGGACGATCGGTATACTAGCGCGATCCTAGCCCGAGATTTAGATACAACTACTCGCAACATGATTGGATTAGCAACTCACATCATGAAGATCATCCATCGAAGATCAAGATTTTACTCCAGTGACGTACGAATAATGAATCTGGCAAGATCAAGGGATCGAGAGTTTCAAAATTGTTCGGTTGGACACACGATCAGCCATACTAAGTAGCGCCCGTGTATGAGCCTCATCTTCCCCTGAGTGAGGATGACAGAGTCTATGTCAAGACCCTGAATCAGAAGATGCAAGCCTGATTTTGCCCGTAGCTATAGAATGGGTAAATTTTTCTCCCCTCGGTATTGACTGCTCCAAAGAACCCTGAACACCCAACGACCCCGCTGTTCAGGCCTACAGTAGAACATCGATGCCCGACTTCCGACACCCGGTTCCTTTCTATCCCGCATTCCACGCAACATACCAGCCAATCGACAGCAAATAAACTCAATCGGGCAAGCAACCGGTTAAGAAAAGAAATTCAGACAGCCTGGATACCAAGTCCCCAAATTGTCCAGGTACCACCGATATGCGGACAAGTAAAGATAGGATACTGCGTGCTGATATGCAGGAGCTACCTGGCTGGAAAATCCAATGGCCGGGAACCGATCAAAGGAATTGAACTTTCAGCACGTATCATGAAACCAGCTGCAGGGCTGTGCCTTTCATTGTGCGTTGTCTGGCGCCGATCAGTCGCTAGATCACTGTTTGGCGGGTCCTTGCGTCAATAGGGAGGGATAATAGTATTGCTCATCCTCATCACGGGGCGATACGGTCGAAGATTCATGATGCTTAATAGAAATTACAATTGGGTTAGACAGACTTGTTCTTTAGTGAGTTATATTCATTGCGAACCCCGTCCGAGGGTTTCATTGAGTACATATGGGAGAGGTAGATGAGAATATGAGTGCGGGTTATGTCGTAGAGGAGGTAAAGGGAAAGGACGGAGAGGAAGAGGGAGGACGAGATCAAGCGTGGCAGGTGACTAGTGGTTTCGATGCAAAGGATCAAGAAAAGAAAACACGAGGTGTATATGTGCGAGCTGGTGAATGACGAGGACAAAGGCCCAGGGGAAGGAGGCGAACAAAGGAAGAACCAAGGCAACATAACGACCTCGGAGGTATTGTGTGGTTTGGGGATATTGATGATGATGAATATGCGCCGGCCCTTGCACAGAAGGGCCATTTATGGGATTTCCAGAAAGAAGAGGCCAAAGAAAAATCGAATAACAGAAGCAGAAGCAGAATAGAAAACTTAAAAGAGAGACAGAGAGAAAACAATCGGACCAAAGAGACATGATACATGGGACTGCCATCGGTCAAGAAGGGTCCCCAAATCTTCGACATGCAATTTGCGAAGAAGAGTACCAACTCTGTGCTGTTCCCCGAGGCGGACGACTGGTCCCATCGCGGATGGGAAGGGCTGACCGATCGAGTATCCAGAGTAGCATCCCTTCATTATTGAAGCATGTTGAAACATGTGAACAAAAAAAAACGCTCAAGCTCGTACATTTCGTCGTGAAAAAGGGTTCGTCGCTCGGCACAATAAAGGCTACGGCGGCGGCCCGCTGTCTGGCTCAAAGCAGGGAAAACGGAGGAGAGCAGATAAGTTATCTACTCCTCCATGCGGCCAAAGACACCGTCGTCATCGTCATCTGCAGGGGCTCGGCGGCTGCCAAAGTCTACATCTGCGTTGCGTCGTTGACGGGACTCCCGGGCAGGAGTCTCGCCGCTGCCGTGTCGTGCACCACGCTCATCCGACACCTTGTAAGAAAGCGACGGGTTGAGAGAGGCGGAAAGGAAGGCATCGGCATTGGAGTTGCGACGATAGGCCTCGTTCATCGGACCGGGGCCGGAGTGTTCAAGGCCAGGGCTGAGGGTTCCCGGGTGGCTGCCCGCGTCGAGGTAACGAGCCGGCAAGGGAGGAACGGGAGGCACATCCGGAGCCATGGCGACTGGTCCCGTGCGAGGAGTGCCGAAGTTGCACAATCCGATGGCGGCAGCCAGATCCGCCTCGTCATCCTCGTGAAGTCGAGTGTCTGCGGTGGAAGGACGAGTGTCGATGCTCGACTTGCGGAAGTGGGAGAAAGCAGGGGAGTGCAGCGGGGCGCTGCCATTGTACGAACTGGAGGGGATCGACTGGTAGGAGCGAGAGAAGGCGTTGCTGATGCTGGGTCGCTTGGTCCAGTTAGCTGGCATGCCAGACATCTCAAAGTCGTCATCTTCCTCCTCATCCATCGGGGGTGGCGTAGTCTCGGCGGAGCTGATACCATCACGCACGACCGAAGAGGCATCCGGGGAGGCGGAGGAGACTTCCGACTCTGCATCGGGGGACTGTTCGGGGGTGTCATCGTCCATGTTCATGTTGACCAGTACTGTAGCAGCCTCAAGCAGTTGCACCTGCTGGTGCTTGGAGATGAGTAGTTTCGAGGTAATCGACCATGCCGGGTCATGTTCCCACCTAATTTTCCACGAAGAATAACAAGTCAACCGGATGCCACCAGCGAAATGAGGGGAGGTGAGGAATGTAAAATGGGTGAAGCAGTAATAAGGGAGGAGTCAGGGAGTAGTGATGGGAGGGAGTTGTATGACCACGAAGGCGACCTGCACAGAGCCGACGTGGCGCATGCTCCCGATCGAACGAGAAGAAGACGGCCGGGCGACATGGGGAATACACACATATGCTTGGACAAGCAGCTGCCATGCTTATATCCTTTCCCGCAACGGTCGCAGCGGAGGTCTGCCGGGGTACGCTTCCCATCGGTCTTCATGTGGGCGCCTTCGCTGGCCCGGCGGTTGCGACCCTTGAGAATGGACTTGGCGTCCTCGTCGGAGTTGCTAGGGGAGGGCTTGCGAGCGACTGGGGGTTCCTGGCTGGGACTGTTCATGCTTCGAGAGAGATATGAACTAAATCCAGAGGCACCCCCGACCGAGGTGGATTCCAGTCCCTTTCGAGCCCCTAGGCTCCGACGGTGCGCGGCACCCATAGGGAGCGAGGCGGCCTCTCCGCCTTCTTTCATCGAGGCGGCGACTGCGGCCGCGGCATTGGCTGCGGCGGTGGTCACACTCTTGCGGCGAGTTATACGGTGGTTGGCATTGACGGCTCCCAGAGATATAGAGTGAGCGTGTTGTCGCGGGGTGGTGTTGGGGAGAGGACGCGAGAGAGACAATTCCTAGGAAAGGCGGGCGGCCACATCATCAGTATTATGTCTAGGAAAGGCGACCGAACGTGGGAGGAGAGGGGGGAAAGGACGACTCAGGGCCAAAGCCAAGAAATTGGGAGTCGGCATTGATGCCACTTACCTTGAACGAAGCCATGGTGAAGGACTTTCTGGCAACGGTTTTCGAAAGCCCTTAGAGTAACGAGACACAATCAATTCCGGGTGGAAGCTGGTGGAAGTATACGGAGGATCGGAGGGTCGGGCGGCTAGATGGCGGGATACCGAACGAATCGAGAATATGGAGGCGTTGGGGGAGAGAGAAAGAGGAGGGAGAATAGACAGGGACGAATGAAAGCAAGAAGTGAAGAATAAAGGTCAAGGTAGAGAAGGGGAGAGAAAAAAAAGTTAGGAACCCAAAAAAAAGCAGGGGAGGAGAAAGAGGAGAAAGAAGGAGGAGCTGGGTACAGAAAGTGTACAAGCCATCCGGTATGGTGGTGGCCCACCAGAAATCGCTCATTGTCTTTGCGGGGGCTTTTCCCTTTGAGCATGCGGGGGGAGGATCTCCGTAATCATGGTATTTCCCAGTATTTTTTTTAATGTGGTACATAAAAGCCAGAATTGTCTCTATAACTATGCCTTTGGAATTCGCAGTGATTCTTTATTTTTGACTGAGGGAGTCAAGGTCTACGAAATGTCTGCTCGTCGCCGTCGGGGGCCATTTGTGTGTGTGCGTCGCGCAAGGCCACCGGCTGGATGATGCGATAACCATGGCTCCACTTCGCTTCTGGTATTCCGGGACAGAACAAGAACTGGGAAACTGGTCCCCCTTCAGCTTTTGGAACTGACATCAGGCATCGGACTCATTTATAGGTTCGCCTCCCCCCATGCATCGAAGGAGATTCGAAGCCTCAAAGAAGGGTGATGGCCGATTCTAGAGTAGAAGGGATGGTTCGCACTTCTCCTCCCTCCAATCCTCGGCATGGCGTTCTGCGCAGGGCAGAGTTCAGGGTCGCCCGGCTATTGAGAAGTTGACCAGGTACCCATGGATCAGGGAAAGGAGGCATGCGCAAGACTGCTGCATCGGTCAATTATGATTGACTGCCTGTTGTGACCTTTCAATCTTGTTGAAAGTTGGGAAAATCCGAACAGATCTTCTCGGAGGGGTGACTCGGAACATCTGTTGCCTGACGATCACCCGCCAGGATCACAAGGGGAGTTGTATATTCTGGGTAATCGGTAATCAGGTCTAGAGTAAGTCTCCTGTCAGTGTATCCTAATGCCGGGGGAGAGGGGTGGAAATGGTTTCCTAGCCAGGGAGAACGCAGCAGGCGCTCAGGTACCCTCTGGGAGGAGGGCGAAACGAGCCACCACCACCACCACCGGCGATATCCTGTAAGAAAGAGGTGCTCGTGTCCCGATCACCTGCATGGGTATCGACCGGTCTTAGACCTCGCCCTGGTGGATCCAGTGATGTCATGGGCCAACCGACCACAACCGGGCAGACGTCCCATTTGAGGATCCAATCGACTGGCCAGCGGGCTTTCAGTGCAAAAGTGGAGTCCCGGGCGTGGGAGTGGAAGTGCAAGTGGATGGCGATAGGAGAAGTCACGGGATCAGGTGACTCACGCTCTGACCGGGGTTCCACGTCACGTTACTCCCGTTGGTATTCCGAGAATCAAGTTACCAGACGCTGGACGAAGTATTCAAGCTGTCGAGATCATAGAGTACTCGCCACCTCGTGGACAATTGACCAAGTACTGGTAAATTCTTTAAATTAAACCAGGGAAGGCATCAATTTTTGCCTCAACCAATTCCTGCTTATCCAAGCTGCCCTTCAATAATCGCCTGGCTCGGAGCACCTAGGCCCCAAGTCTGATGATCAGATCTCCTCTGGTCGCGCCAGCCCGCGCGCTAACGCCCTAGTGGGAGAGGATCATTACTCCGCGTAGTCTAAGCCCCCTCAGGTGCTGCTGCTGGAAGTGCTCTAGGACCGACGTTCCAGTCCACCAGCGCTACTGGCAGGACCCCCGGAGGAAATAGCTAGCTTGAAGCAGCCAGGTACCACCACGCCCAAGCCGAGAGTCACGAGCTGTACTCCATCCCTTGTACGAAGATACGGAGTATCATAAGACATTACTCTCAGGTTGCTACTGTCCTTAGTCATACGGGGCCATGATCTGAGATAAGCAAAACCAAGGGCGTAGGTAATGGTAATGATAATGCCTAATGCCTATCAATCGCGTCCATCCCTCCCAGGAAACAAGTCAGCCAGCCTAGCACATTCCCGCGGTGCCTATCTCCGAACACAATGATCAAAACATTCTTCGCAAAAGCATGGGTTCCTGCGGCTGACGGGGGTGCCCGTGGCTATGCAGATCATGCTTCAGCTCAGCAAATCATACCTCCAACGAGCCACCTAAACAAAACAATGCTATTCGTAGGGTAATCCTCCAGGGCAATCTCACTGATCAGCCAATCATTCTGATGTACAGGGAGAGATGCACAAGTACATACCCTGATAGATGGCAGCCGAACGAACGTTCTAAAAAAAGCAATTATCTCGATTCCCAAGAAAAAAAAGTCTCCCAGCTCATGATTTTCCCCTAATCCTGCACTTTCTGGTATCTCCACTATGACGATAAGATGAAGGGTGTGTACTAAGACAAGGCACGGAGTACGAGAGAGATATCGTGCAGCGTAAATACACTGCGCCTCCCCTTCCAGAGTTTGGTATGAAGTACAGCATGTAGCTACTATACATATCTTATTACCCTCTCACAAGTACGCCATTAACCTGATTGTCTCCAGAACGAGTTCTCCTTCCAATTTATCCTTCTTGAATCAACTAATCTCCCATGAATCGGTTTCTTCTATCTATCTTCCTTTACAACTAGACTGCACTCTGCTCCATATCACTGTTATTCGATACCATTTTCCCATCATTCCTCTATCTCAAATGGAATGGCGTTTTCTTTATCGATCAATTGCGCCATCCACTTCGATATAACGCCTGATAGTCTTGAACATGATCTAGCGCTATCAGCATGCCCTGTGACCTTTTTCTCGAGCGATACGTTTAAGGATTAACTTAAGAATAGTTTTCTTGGGCGAGGGTATACTTCATCCCTATCGCTAGCTCCTCGCCTCGATTCCACCACTCCTATTCGTATCCTCAGGGCTCCAGCTCAAAGCTATTACAATAAGAGAGAATGAAAGTAGAAGAGTCCTTGGAGGATCTCTCTTCGTGCCTTTTGGCATTATTGAATTACGAGGATATACCTTCGTTTCACAGAACTCCAAACCAGCGGGATATAGAAAATGAGACAACGGGGATCTAATGTGAACCTTAAAGAGGACAGTGGCCGGTGGCCTCGGAGCCGGAAAGTCATACACGTTCTATCTCGAAATTGTCCGCCACTGTTTCAAACCGACGGTACCGTCTAATTTTTTGAATGATTAGTCTCTCACTCGCATCTCGCTCTATCGTCTTCCTTTCGCTCACGCCTCGTTGGCCATTGTAACACCTCTCCTTCTCCCCCGGGTTCTCACTGTTGTGATTGGGTTCAAATTGACAGATGAGTCCCTCGAGCGCTAGCCTCTACGACATATCACTATCTCCGTTCAATCCTATGAATGGGGTATCTTCCCCGATTCTTCCCTTGACTCTGTAGAAATACTGGAAGGGAGAGGAAACTGTATAAGATGGAGGTCATGCATCATCGGTCATAGCTTCGATCTATAGTAGATTATTGATTCCCACGCTCACATACTCAGAGCTTAACAACAATGATAGCCTCCCAAATGCCACTCAATCAAACCTCCGAAACACGCTGAAAACACACCGTACACACTCCTTGCCCTTCCTGTCCTCCAAACCTAAATCGCGGATACTCAACACGGCCCCAAACAACCAAACGATCGCTTCCTTCCTCCTTCCCCGCGACAAACCACTTAACAAGCTCCTCCTCAGTCCAATTACAACTCGTGACAATCAAAAATCCACCTTTGCGGACCAATCGTCGCGCAATATCAGGATACCGCTCACACACGCGCGTCGCCTTGGCATCATCCGCTAACGAGATCGCATCGAACGTGCCCTTGTCCAAAACGATATCGAAACCACCTGCCTCGTAAGGGAACCAAGATAGCGTTTCGTCTTTGGTAGTGGGGGAGGTTTTCACGCCGGACTCGGAGAGAAGAGCCTTTGAACCCAGGATATCCCATTCCTCGAATTGGATAGGCGCTGGCTCGGGGGTATCTGCGTCTGTCTGTTCAGTCTCATCCTCCTCAGACCCATCAGAATCAGAATCATCATCAGTTCGGTACGCGGAATGCCCCCTAGATCGTTGCAACTCTCGCGCCAACTCCACACTCCTCGCCGAGTAATCCACCCCCACCATATTCCCCGCAAACCGTCCCTTTTTCCGCAACAGCGCAAGCATACTCCCATTTCCCGTGCCGAGATCTAGGATAGACGGCTGCGTTGACTGGGAGCGGGTATTCTGCGGTGCGAGTGGGAAGGATCGTCGCGTTAGGAAGCGGAGGACTTTCTCCGGTGCGTTGTGCTCGGAGAACCATGATGTGCCGGGGTCGTCTTCGTCGTTGACGTCTGATTCTGCGTCCGAGTCTGCGGAGCCATCAGCCTCTGGTTTTGAGGATTGTTCGGCGTCAGTGTGGGAGATGTGTGAGAGGGTGCGGGCGTAGTAGGTTTCCCAGCTATTTAGTGGGGTAGAATTTGTGTTAGCATAGCGTTTCATCATGGTGGGTGGATGGTACGATGGATAGTTCTTTCGGAGCCGAGATGGGAAATTTGGAAAGTAAGGACTCCGTCTAACTGGGTCTAGTTTGATTGCGACGCTCGTTGCTGAACATTTTCCATTCCCTTGAGAAGAAGGCAGAGGAGGGGCGGAACGCGGGGCTTCCGAGTCGAGCTTTTGCAACTGTATCGGGGGCTCGCATGGGCTCAATGGGATAGATAAGGCTTACTATTCTTTTGTGCCCAGCTCACTAGGTGAGAGATAGGCTGGGTGTGTGTCCTCTGCCATGATGGTGTTTTGATCGGTGATGTCTGTCGCGAGGGAAATTTTTGGGTACGAGTGCGGAGGATGTTTCCTTATCGGCTATCAATCTCAGCCCCAAGTAGATACGTAGTTAATCAAGACCCTGCCACAAGAAAAGTAAAGGCGGGCTAACTTGCATCAGTCTGATGAATATTCTACAAAAGATAGTCATGAAGTAGTCAAGCTCGAAGCTGTTTTATTTCTATTGTTGGGCTGCGCACAGGGGGTATTTGTCATTCCTTTCCCTCGATCCCAGTCCCCCTTAAATACTTATAGCAGCCCAGGTGTTTTCAAAGGAGGGATCGAGGGAACAAAAAGTACAATCAAACAGACAGGAAGATAGAAATATTGAAAACGAGGGCCTTGCCATACAGGGCAGGATGATCAGATAAGAGATGAAGGGGGGGGAAAAAAAGAAGAAAGGCAGAAAGCGATAGTTGTGATGGACGGTATAGTCCAGTCCAATCAATGCATAAGAAGAATGGGGTTCAGTCATCTTCCCCGTAAATAATATTACAGTTACCAGGCTCGCGGTTGACAGACGAGCGTCTTCCGCGAACCTCACGGCATGAGATAATGCCCATGCCACTGACGCCAGAAATGAGTCGACGGTGGTGAGAAGGAAAATCGAAATGATAGCGGAGTTTTCTGGGTGGCGGATATGCATTCCGGGGTGGTAGAAAGGTCAATTTGCCACATGCAAGTTGAAAAGGTTGATGAACGACAGCAAAGCCCGCTTTGGTCATAAAAATCATCAAGCCACAGTTAAGATAGGATATATGACTGGAGGGCAGAAATGTAAAAGCTTGTAGTGGCCGAGAGAAATTGTCAAAAAGAAAAAGAATAAAAAACAAATGGGCCGGTAATAAGGTGAAAAAGCGATCCTCGTGATGAGGTTCAAAAAGACATGTAAAATGTCGGGGTCGTGGATATCATTTCAAGAGCCTGGCTCACTGTGCACAGGCGAGAAAATTATAGGAACTCATCGATGTTCCTCAAAATCATGCGGTCTCCTCCTGCGGGAGGAGAACGAGGATCGGCAGTGTCTTTGGCATATTGGATCGAGCTGGAGTTTTCAGCGATCGTACTATCAACTCCGCGAGCAGATAATGATGGTAGAGGTAGAGGTGGTGCCAGGAAGCCGGATGTTCTTGGGGAGAAAAAGCCAGCTCCTGGATCGGGGGATCCTGGTGCGTCACGAACAAACACGTGAGTCTGGACCAGGGGGTCACAGCTGCTGACACTGCGTGGGATGCCGCGAGGGCGACCAAATTCAGGCTCCACGGACTGAAACTTCTGTCGGAAGGGCAGTGGGCGCGGGGACAAACTGCGCTTGGGAGATCTATTCCCATTACCGCTAGTCTGAGGGCGCAAGGATTTGGTCGGTGGAGCAGCGAGATATCCCATTAGTGGTGCCTGCGAGAGAGCTTCGGCCGCTTGCTGCTGGGCCTCCTCACGCTCAGCGCGGGTGACCTGAGGCTCTGAGCTTCTGCGACCGGTTTGAACAAACCACTCGCGAGGAGCCGGTCGCGAGGAGGGGGATCCTCGCAGCAAGCGAGACCGGTAGTCGGTGAGTTGGTAGATGAGACTCATATTCGGTCCCACCCACTGGCTGCGTCCCTTGACCAATTCGTACATCGAATTGAAATCCAAATTTCGATTCTTGTACAGTCCATACGCAATCACCAAAGACGCCGATCGGCTGGCACCTAACTGGCAATGAATCAGGACCTTCTTACCCTGCGATATCCGGTCGTCGATCAGTTCACACAAAGGAAGAAGATCGTCGAGGATCTCCGAGTTGTGATCCCAACCGACGTGAATGTATTCGGGAGTGGTAGATTTGGGTGTGGGGGTAGTCGGGGTTGCAGATCCGGATTCTGAAGGCTGGTATTCAAACGCAGACTTGAAGGATATTTCCGAAATAGCAGTCTGAGGATCACCGCCAGAAAACCGCTTCGAGGCCTTCGAGGCATTGCGCCACGTACTCATGACCGTGTCATTTCGCCCGTCCTTGTTCCCATTGAAGGGATTCTTGACTTCCTTGGCGACGTTGATGACTACGTCAAACTGCGCCGCTTCCTCTGCCGTAGGTTCCAAGTACAGAAAAACCCCAGTATCGTAAATCCGAATAGGTCCATTGAGATAGCCGCGCTCGGTACCACGAGTAGACTCTCGGGAACCCATGGGCTCGTCCTCTTCCGCCAGTTCAGGAATCACGCGTTGAGAGAAGGTAGAGCCATCGTCGGGCATAGATGTTAACGGAGAGACCGCATCGTCAGATGATGTGGCTGATGGACGCCGGGTTCCGTGTTGTGACGTTGGCCGAGGAAGTTGCATGCCACCCCGCGGGGCAAACCCAGGAGACGTGATCGATGCGAGCGAGGGGGATGACTCGGCATGTCGCAGGGACTGACGTCCCAGAGGCGTTGGGGGAACCAAATCAGGAACATTTGTGAAGGATTTATCAAAGCCTGGGGTGCGGATGGTGAGGTTTGCAGGGCGGCGTCGGCTGCTCTTCGGTGGAATCTGGATGGGCGAAGGTGGGGCTGAGAGGTGGTGCTTTGATGAAGTCTCGAGCATCGATGCGGTCGCAATGGGAGGTCGGGACTGCGAAGGCAAGGGCATGCGTAATGAGAGATTCTTCAAGTTGCGTGCTCGTCGTCCTGGCGAGTCCGGGCGCGCAGTGTTTGGCGCTGGCAATAACCTGGAGCTGTCGGCAGTCATTGTGGACAGTGGGGCCATCTCCACCGGGCGGATGTGTGGTGTGAATTTAGGATAGGATAAGGGCATTGCCGAAGGGGTTTCTGGTGAAGAGCTTGGGGAAACGTCGCCCGTGGATGGAGAGTCGAACGGGGAAATTGTAGTCGTGGGTGAGGACTCTGTCGAGCCAGAGGTCATTGACGAGACACTTGCGCGATGCACGGAAGGGAAGAAACGTCGCGATGAATTGGTATTCACTGGAACATGGGCTGGGACTTGAAGTGGGTGGATCGTATGCTCGTCCTCTTTATAGCGCGGAGGGAATGCACCATATACCGACATAAACGATGGGAACGAGTCCGGAAAGGACGGTGGACTTGTTTGTACCGGCATGATTTGGGCCAGTTCGCGAGAGGCGTTGGGGAAAGGCTAGCGGTCCTTTCCACAAGTACTCGAGCGAGGAGAGAGGATGAGGGGGGGGGCCAAGGCAGATTAAAGCGTCGTGTCCACCAAGTTAGAGGAGCATTCGGATCGAAGACAGATTACGTTTTTGTTGCCTGCGTAATTAAGGCGGTAGTGGATTGTTGGTTCTTTGCGAAAGGGTATCACGTTAGTCTTTTGAGGCTTGAAGATAGTTTGGGAATTGAGGGCGAGCGGGCGCAAGCTGCAAGGGCTGAAACTAATGATCTGCAACCCATGCGAAACAGAGATATAGCAGGGGAGAAGAAGCAACGACCGCAGGCACGAGCCTTGTCGCCCTGAAAGACAGAAACAGATTGTTGACAAGTGGAAAGGCGATGGTAAATTCGGGCTTCAGGTGGCTCACATACCAGAATCTCAAGCCACAGCCGATCGGTCGAGGTGAGTTTGTTTGTAGGGTTGAAGAGTGGAAAAAAAGAAGTGGAAGAGGTTGGAAGAGTGTAAGAGTCAAGGAGTGGCAAGGAAGATCGGCGAAATAAAGAAGAAACAATGACGATGATTTAAATCTCGAGAAGAATGGTCTTAGTGGTAGGCGGGGAGAAGAGTGCCCCAGGAATAGTTGAGGGGGTCGTCGTTCCTCCGGGGAATGACGGGAATGTAAAGGATAGTAATGGAACAGAAACTGGAACGGTGAAGAAGCCCCCGGGTACCGAAGAGGATGAGAGAGGAAGATTGAAAAGGGAGGTCAAGAAAGAGAAAGGGAGTGGGAGTGGAGGAGGAAGAGAGAATAAAGGCTGAAGATGAGAGATGAGGGTGAGGCGACTTGTGAAAGCCGCGAAATAATGGACCCTTACTGGTTTAATTGTTCATATTATTTTTCATCATTATTTACATACTCACATACAACCTATCCCATACTTCCACCCTGTCTCCATTCATTATTCGATCTCACTGTTCCTGCTCCAGTTCCAGTCCCTAGCTAGGATTAGCGGGGAGAAAAGTCAACCAGAAGTAATGCAATTTTTGATTATGATTTTTCCTGGTGATGGTGATTGTACGAAGTAGACGTGCTCTTCTGTATTTCTGTAATATAACACTGTACGGGAGTACGGTGATGTTTTAGATGTAGTTCAGCGGATGAAAGGATACTCCTCGTCTCCATCCTAATTAGAGATCTTCGATTTCAGGCCCACTGTAATTTAGAAAACCTGTGTTTCGGGAGTGTTTCTGCTTAGTATGAGGTACACTACCTATCAGGCGGATCGATCGAAGTATATTGCAGACGGCCCCTTGTACTCAGTACTTCCACCAAGGCTGTGCATCCCCATCCCTATTGAGTATCGAGTACCCTGTCAGACAGCCGTTTGACCTTGTCGAGGCGGACGGGGTGGCTTCCTTGTAGCTCTAATTTTAGCCGCCGGGGGCGTCGTGAGGAGACTCGGCGCCAAACGCACGCAGATGACAGGCCAATGCTGGGTGAACCCTCCTTTTCACACCCGTCACGACTATCCAGACAGAGGACTCCAACCGCTTCCTAGGCTTTTATCGAGGCATCTTAAAAATTTCCTTTTTGGATACCGTCTACCATCATTATGCCCATGGAGAAAGTCACATACTCCCAGTCCTTGATGGCGTGCGAAATAGCCCGGGTGTCCCCCTCCCTAAAACCCTAGGATCCACCTTGAGTCTGGAGGTCCCACCGACAGCTGCGCCTTGGAGGATGATGGTGAGAGGGAAGAATTTATTGACTGGCGGAAACATCACCGTACATACATAGTACCCATGTATGGTCCATACTCTTTAGAAGCTACAGTACTGACTATCCTTTCGTGTGACATTGAGCGCTCCCCGTTGCAACTTTTACTAGATTTGTTCTTAGGGTGGCGGCCAGTCTTCGGTCTTGTCAAGGCACACCGGTATTAGAAAATAGACCAGAAGTAGACCACATTACTCTGTAAATACAACATTCATAACAATGGCAAGTCTCTTCGAAAGATCCGCGCTGAGAATACCCAAAATAACACCCAGAAAGCCCGGACATATTGCGAGCCTGATTCGATAATTCCAAATTCGGTCCTATCCGACCCGTCCCAGGCGTGCACGGTTCCCTGTTCACGGGCTGGAGTGAACCTGCGGCAGGGATGATTCAATATTATCGACGAGGAGCTTAGGGCACACGCTGTCCCTGCACCTACGGTTCTCTCTCTCCTATGGAGCATATGGCCGTATTTTTAAAAAGAAAATTTGTCTGTACGCCGTATGCCGTACTCCATATGAAAATAATTCGTACTGCTGCTGTACCGCACACACGGCTCGTCGGGTGAACGGTGGGCGGGCTGATCCATGGAAAAGGCGCTGGGATGGTCCGCTGGACCAGCAAATTGTTGAAATGAAAGGGAGAAGGACCAAAAAAGACCCGCTAGTACGCTAAGTGTAGCGATTGTTGTTAGTGTTATACCTCCTAACTACGAGAATGCCCGTCTACTGCTCATATAAGTTTATCGCCAATGTCATGGTCCCTTCCATACATCTACATATGTATGTACAGTACTGTAGCCCCATTCAGAGTAATACGTATGGATACAGGTTTTTTTTTCCCAAGAGGGGCAAAAACACGGTCGCCCGGGGCCCGACATCTGAAACCCCGGAGGTCGATGGATCTGAGGAGACGGTTCTGAAACACGCCAGACTGGCGCTAGTCAACACTAGTGGCCCTTGGCGGAGGCAGCATACAGCCTATCGCCGTTGACTATCACCATGCGCTGGCTCCCATTAGCTGGTACTTCCTGATTTGGGCGATCGTCTTGAACTTGGTGTTGTGCATGTAGAGCTGGATTCCTGAATTGATGTATTCGTAGGGTGAATTGCTCATGAAGTCATCCCATAGCCTTTTTGACTTCTATTTGCAATCACTATACTATACCTCCGCAGATGTTAACCACTTCATGTGTACTCGATCTCTTTAACAAGCAACATGGCTTGCCGAATAATAAATCCTCAATGTTTTGCGGTCCGTGGGACTAAGCCAGGAATGATCGGCCCTTCCACGTGGAAGTCCTGAAACTGGTCCGTTCAAATTGATCCATTTCTCTCCCGGTGGAGAGAGATGGTGGACGTGGCGTTCACAGCCCTCGATAGACTACTCCGTTCTCGTACTGGACTGTGTGGGCAGTAATCTCCAGCATTATTAGCGAGTCCTCCGAGACGCCATGAAGGTACTGCATACATTTCACCGCAGGGGTAATTCCTCATAACTTTCAAGGTTGACAATGCCAAACTTCTCGAAGCAGTCGATGATCGACATCCCTCGCGAGGCCTTGTTGCGATCCATGTCATCCCCTCTCCCAGAACAATCATTTTCTTCGTAGTGAGTGCTGTACTGGTCACCTGGTATACTTCCCAGTCCGGATCGTCCCTAAACAGCCCGTCCCAAATAGATTGCAGTTCCTAGCCGCGGATCCTTCGTGAACGCGAAGCGTTTCACGATGAACCCAGTCATTCTAAAAATATCAAACCCAATCCCCGTCTTTATTTCCCAGCGCAAGACCTAGCTGACGTTGGTTCGTGTTTCGCCCATGTTTCGGGTTCGATTGCCACTTGACTTCTGGGAGGTGTTTCGGTTGCCGAGGAGGACCTGCATTATTATGGACAGGAGGCTGTAGGCGCCTGTTCGGAGTCAAGTTTCATACCGGAGTATTCCCTTAATGATGGTTTGTGGATTTGTAGGTTGATGGTCGATTCCCATATTGGTTTTGAAAATATACAGTTGCTGAGAGTGGTTCACCAGCCAACCAGAGCTATGGCCAATGGCGATATTAATTCCAGAGGCAGTGCTTGAGCCAATGGATCGCTGTTGTATCAGATATATTCTTGAGGTTCGCTTAATTACTAACCGGCTGGACATTGGGGCCAAAAACAGGGTTAATGCAGGTTTCCTGGTCTTGTCTCTCAAGGGTGCAAGTCGCGTTGCGGTCTCGACTAGAGTTCCGTCAGGCCCAGTGCTTGGATACGAAAGGGCAGCTCGTATACGCAATGGCTGAGTGCTTCAGCTACAGTGCTGTGCCTTCCGGATGGAAAGCGATTGCAGAGCGCTTACCCTATCGCTGATATCAGTCTTCTTACTGGAACGAGAAATTCTATCGCCCTATATAGACGCGAGCGATGCAACATTATCAGAATCGAAATGGAGTTTACAACACCTCCACCAGTGAAGGCGTTGCGCACACCCATCCTGGAGTCGAGCTACGAGATCACGTACAGACACTGTCATTTTTTTTTCCTCATAGAAGATAACGATGATATACACTGATGGATGATCATGTGGATATATAGCCAAGAAGCACAATTTGACAGTCGCGTGACAATTGATCCCTTTATGCCTAGATTGTCTCTCAATCATCTCCAGTCTCCATACTTGACTCCATACTACGGCCCCGAAGGGAATCCAGTGACCCGTCTCAAATTGACGAGAGCCACGTGGAAATAATATCCACAGCCTTAAATTAAACAGAAACAAATTATCACCCAAAGCGGAGTACTTGCACCTATTGATCAGTAACATGTGCAGTATTATTATCCTCGATTTCATAACCAATATTCTTTGTACTCCAGCATCACGGCTGGTCCGGCCATGTGGATTTCGGCCCCGAGTCCGTGGCTCCTCTTGTAGGCGAACCATGGTTGGTGGCTTTGTTTGTTGCCGTGAGACTGAACTGGTGGACACAAGTATGAAAACAGCCCTCTTGCTTGTGCGGTATAGATTTTGGCGAGGAAAATTGTTCGCTTCAAGATTTCCATGATCTTAAATCCGAAGAGTGTGACAGAAGATAGCATTCAACAGTGTGGGCTTGGGCCCTGTTGACGGGAGCAGGATATGTTTCTCACTGCACCGCAAACTTCAACATAACCTTGGAGCTCTAATTTTTCCTAGTGCTCGGCTCGAGAAGACTGCTTAAAGTAGATTTAAGACAAGGATTTGGGATGACATTCTCTTCCACACGCTGAGAATGAAGAACCTTCAATGATACATGGGCTGTCCAGACTAATATCGAGCACCAGGCAGTATTCAAGACAGATAATCAAGAAATCGGGTTGGAAGCCCTTCCAAAAGAAACCACACAAAGCTATCTAGCTAGAGCTATTTTATGTGTCGAACAATAGCTACAGTGCTAATAATCAAGCTGTCAGTATCAAGCCTAAGCCATCTCCTAAGAGCGCCGTAATAGCGGGCCTTGTCCACATCCTAATTTCCCAGCCACATGGAACTTATTGCTCGGTAAACAGAAAGGAATGAAAAACTTCTTCCAGAATCTTCAATTTTGACACATCAGAATTTCAGACACTCATCCTTTCATCACACACGTGCACTTTGATCGTGTCACCCGCGCAGGATTTCTTGTTTGCAGCTGCAGTGATCCAGTGCCGGGTGATCCACGATGCATACTCCCCAGTAGCTTTTCCCCAGACCACGACACACTCGTGAGAAGCAGCGGTGACCCTCGTCATATTTGCTCCCAAGCACACTTGCAGCTGCGCAGACCGAACTTTTCCAAGTCAAGGATTGTCCAAGTTCATCTGAGCCCTTCTTTGGATACTTCCAAATGATGGCACTGACTTGGACCAGCACCACCAATGGCCCGTCGCTTCATCACACGCGGTCCAGCTTCGAACCTTGGGCGGGCCCCACTAGCACGACGGCCACTGCCACTGGTGAAACGCCAGTTCCTGGCACCCTCGACTCTCTGACCCCCAAGCGCTCCTCCTTAGTGCACCGGTCGCACCAGTCCCGACGATCCGTTCCAAGCTTTCACCTCCCCAGCCTCCAGACTACTACTCTCACAGCTTCAGCGTCCGCTTCGGCTTTGGCGTCAACGACAACTTCCTGCTCGGCCACATCATCCTCGAAGCGCAATTCTGCCCCCGTGGTCACATTCTCGCCCAATATCTTATCGGGTCCTAATGACGGGCGACCTCAGCAAGCCTCCCTCTCACCCGTGCTTCGCCCTGATGTGAAGCGCACCATGCCATCGAGCGTGGCATATTCCGAAACGAGGACCCTGGCGAGCGATCATAGTCGCGCCTTGAATGGTGCTTATCGATTGGGGTCCGACAGGATCAACAACAACGACGCCTCGGAGATCGACGAGGGTCGTCCCAAGAATGAAGATGTCTTTCTGAACATTGCAAGAACCGACTCAGGTCGCCGAGACTCCCTTGGCCGGTCGGATTTCAGACGAGTGAGTGTCATTCCTGGGCACAGAGCAGGACGTGCTTCACGCGTCATGACGTGAATCATGGCACCATCCCAAATCCATTCTCGAGCGAGGGGAAAGATGACTGACGAAAGAGGGGATGAGTGTAAATAGTCGCGACTAGGATATTCGACTCAAAGCCTTCGGTCGCCAACCACGCGAGCCGATCCAGAACAAACCCCTTCCCCAGACCAGCGCTTTAGCAATGTCGACAGCCCCTTGCTTTCGCAGAATGGTTCGCCCACAGTCCCCTTGGGCTCGGTCAACCACTCCCCATCCGCTTCTGGCCTTCCTCTCGACGACCCAGCCCGCTTCCGCTACTCGAGCCTGACCTCGGGCTCGCGATCAGTTATTGGCGCTCCGCGCAGCAGACTCAGTCGAACGAGCCCAGAGACCTCCCCACGTTCACCACCAGTCAACGGCGACCGACGGTCATCCATCCACGAACCGCGCCTACGGCATTCTACCCTATCTACAATTCGAAGCAGCCGCCAGCCTTCCTCTTCCGAGGTTACGGAGCGTGCACGGGGAGAAACCGACAAGGCCCGCGACGGAACCGAATCTACTCTGTCGACCAACGCCCCTTCTACCGTCTGGGACGAACTAGACGATCTCAAGTCTCGAATCCGCAAGCTGGAGCTCACCGGCAAATTACCGCCATCCTCGCAAGAAGCGATCTCTGGGGCCGCCCAAGAACGACCGCGGACTGCAGCAACTACTTTAACTGCATTGTCGACTTCACCCAAGCACCACCGCAAAGTCAGCACGCCCTCGGCAGACGCTGACTATGTGGCACAGAGCCAAGTTCACCCACTGTTGCAGTCGGCACTGGCGAAAGCCAAAGACGTACTGACTAGTGACGTTTACACGGCGCTGGAAGCGACGATCAAAGATGCCTTGACCTTGTCCACCATGTTGGGCGTCAATACAGCTCCGTCGGGCACGGTCTCCGTCGTGAATGGAGGGTACAGTTCGTCCGAGAGACACGCCCGCCGCAAAGCGGACAGCATGTGCCGCAGCCTGACCGAGCTGTGTCTAGCTCTGACGGACAAGCAACTGCAAAGGAATCGATCGCGTTCGACAAGCCACGTTCCGGGGACGCAACCGCAGCGAGTAAATGGCGACGAGAGTGAACCCTTGGTGCCCGGCCCATCCTATCAACGGGCCCCCAGCCACGAACCAGAGGGTCTTGAGCGGCGTCCGAGCACGAGCAGCCGCATGTCCAGTCGCTTAGAAGCACGCAGAATGTCATTGATGAATCCCGCTACGGCAACTGCTCCAGAGAGCAAATTACCACCGTCGCCCAACGTTGCTCCACCACCAAGCCGTCTCCATCGCATGTCGGCCTCTCTCCGCGGTCGCAGGCCACCAGCCGAGGACGAGACTTCGGAGACAGCCAGTCCACTCAATCGGTCTCTTTCTAAGGCCATGACAGAGGTGGGGACACCGAGTCCAGCGCAGAATGTATCTCCACGACAGCGTTTGTCTCATAGCGGCTCCGTATCTCGCTCATTTCCGAATTCTCAGCAGCAGGATCAGCAGGATCAGGGAATGGGTGTCAGTCCTCGCACCTCGCAGTACCAGCAGACTCCCACTCCCTCTCAAACACCCCAAGCTCAACCTCGCACCCCCACTACCTTATCTCAATCGAGTATCCCGTTCCGCCGCAGTTACATGGCACCGGCCGTATACTCCCCGGCTACATCCCGCTCCAACATTCAGGCCGGATCCCGCCGGTATGGTCTCCCATCCAGCTTCTCTAGCACCACGCCGGGCTCTGTGGCCGAGGAGAGACCTCAATCCTCTCAGCTAGGCCCGGCCCAAACCCGCATCAGCGTGCCTTCAGGCAAATCCGCTACCAGCTATACCCCCATTCAGCAACCTCGTCTCCGTACCAACAGCCTAGGCACGCGGAGATTCGGCCTCAGACGCCGCTCTGCCGCCACCCCCGATGACACTTTCAACTTGGACGACAGCATCGACTAAGCGAGTTCATCCCGTCTTTTTGCCGCATATCTTGTCATGTCACTTTTTTGTCTGCTTTGCATTGTGTTGAAACGCCATCATGCATACCTACCATTGTTAGGAATTCGGTCACGCCTCCTTGATATCATATGTTCACGCAGCGTCCTCGCATTGATCTTATTTATGGAGATCTATCTTCTTCTTGTCGGCGTTCCTCTTCCGTTTTCTTTAGACGCTTGTGCATGCATCCCACCTGAGTTTGGAGTCGTCCTCTGTCTGCTGCATTGCCCAGTCCAGCTCAAATTCATCCGTTCACCATCCTTCACGAGGTACGTTGCACCTCGATGTACACCTTCGACATCGATGCACCGTTAAACTCTATATTCTTCCTGCATTTTATCCCGAGGCTCCCACTCGGAGAAAGGGACATTTTGGGGAAAACCGAGCCCCTGTTCCTTTTACACCCACTTTTTCTCCTTCGCCATCTGTCATTTCCAAAACTATTCGACCACCGGGCCTGGGACTGGGCACTTCATAATCCGGCTAACCACGTCCATTGATTGTACAAAACAACCATCATAACCATCAACCATCACAACCGGCGTCGGTGTTTCAGTCCCTTTTCATTTTCTCTGTACATGTTGCCCTGGACTCTTTGTTCTTACATTGTCACCGCGCCGTGAAGTCACGTCATCTTTCTTCATGTCACTCGTGCTTCTTCTTGACTTTGATCTCGCGCGGACTTGTTTCTTCACGCTTATACGGAACGGATTTTGATTAACGAATTGAACGAGAATTTTTTACAGTTTAACTTGCTGTCCCTATGCTTCTACTTCCTAGTTTCCTTTCTGTAACTCCCTTGTCATAGATGACTTCACAGTTTGCTTGGAAGCCTGGCACCACACTTCCACGCAAGCCCATGCGATTCGGTCGAGAAGGTAATCGTGCTCCCGCGGGGAATGAAGAATGTGTCCCCTGCCTTTACGGTGGCCGTCTGCCCGCTTTCATCTTTCAGTGTGATTCCGCCCTCAATAACGACACCAACCTCGTCGTACTCGTATTTCGGGGGAGTCGCACCGGGACCCTGTTCGATGCGGAACCATGAGCCGGAGATTGGGCTTGAAGTGTCATTTTCCGTGCCTAGGTAGTCCGCTGAAGAAGTTTATTGATTTAGTTTTGCTGCTATAGGATGCTTCGAGGGTGGGGTTGATGATCTTACCAAAGAAGACATTGGGAATACCAGCGAAGTTGGGGATTTTGAAGAGCTCTGCTCTTTCCTTGATTTGGAAGACCATGTTGTATGTTGGAGGATGGATTCGGGTGTGAAAATAGTTGAGAGAGCTTGTGCTTTTACTAGTCTCATATATGGGGAATGGTGGTCTTGGTACTTAAAGGCTATAGGAGACTTTGCTTCAGCCAATCGCAATCCTGCGCACTACTTTTCTGAATCGGGAAGTGCGTGGGCACTCCACACTGATGAATCAGATAGACTGGTATGCATGTAACTAATGGCAATGACACTGAAATAAGAGGACAAAGGTCATGTCCTGATAAAACACTTCCTTGATTTCCTTGTTGAACCTCACCCAAAGATAGTCTCCAACCGTTCATCTGCCATCACATCTGTCCAATGAACAAATTCCCCTACTGAGTCTGGCTCGTTCGCAAAGACTTGAACATCGGCCCTGAACCAAGTCTTCTCGATCACGTCCAATGCTCGAGTAACACTACCCAAGCCAACGCAATTGTGAATAATATTCATTCGCTCTCGTACAAATTCCCGCCAGCGCGTGAGAGCATCGTTTTGAATGAAGATCGAAATCAAATCACTACAGAGACTACCTTGGGTTGACCCTTGTGAAAACTCTGGTTGGTTTGGCCCCGTGGATTGTAATGCACTGCCAGCTGTAATCATGGGGGGACATAGCAAGACGTTCACGCCCGAGGTCTCCGGGATAGTCGATATGGTAGTGAGAATACCGATTGCCATAGCAAGGATCCTCGATCTGAACGATATCGATTGGAAGACATCAACCTCATCTGACGATGGCTTCTGCAACAGCTCTGGAAATACCCGGTAGATCTCGAGCAAAGCTGTCAACTTGTAGACTTGAGCCATTTTCTGCAAATGGCTCGTAGGAGTCAGCGCATCCCCCGTGTCTTCTATCCTGTCGATTGAAGGGACCTGGTAACTGAGAAGGGCATCTTCAACACCACGTGCTTGCACGAGAAGCTGTTCAAGAAGTGTTTCATGAATCCCCGTGTTGGAATGTGACACGGCCAATTTTCTAATAATTGACCGCTGTCGTCCAAGTGCACCTGCCTGAGCGAGATGAACGAAAACGGGAGTCGATATACCCGTCCAAGGATTGGACTGGATTTTCCCCGTCCCAGTCTGGTCGCAGGTAGGCATGAGGTAAGAAATGGATTGCACGGGTTGATCTACTAGGAAAGATGCAATCGCCTCCCAATAAGCCATGGCACCAACTAGGAAACTTTCACGTGGGACAGTTTGTGTTGGCCCGCAGGGGTGTCGAACGAGTCGTTGGCTCCAATGAGCCATCTCTTGTACAATAGACGTGCCCCGTGAAGATGCGTGATGCCCAAGACGGACGGATTGTGCCAGCTCTGATCGTGTGTTAGTGACAATGCCATTTTAGCCCTTCCAATTGGGGATCGTACATCAGTCATGCCCAATAATATGCATACAAGTAGTGCTCGAGATATAACCTCAAAAGAAGGATAGGACTTCAAGCCGGAATTTACGTCAATACTGAGCATTTCCGTGCTTAGCTTTGATACAGCCTTTGCCCTGTGCTCTAAAGCAATGGGTAATAGATCCTTTTGTTGCTTGGCAACCAAGTGCGATGCCGACATGGATAGTATGCAATGGTACAGTGGCGGACAGGAGTGCATCAATTCGGCCACCCATACCCGAAAAGGATTTTTGGATGAGTCAAAACAACAATTGATGCGGCAGATACTCGAAAAGTAGTAACGGGAGAGCCGTGTACTCTGGTCTTCGGCGATTTGGGGTGGCGGAATCAGTAAATCATCCCAAAGGCCTGCTGTATCTTGGGCTTGGTTCTGTGAGATGGTATCGAAAAAGAACTCGTCGATGCTTGGCCTTGAGAAAGGCAAAGGCCCCAGAAGCTTATCTGAGTCCAAATTGAAGTCGTCCTCAATGGAAACACTTTCGGTAGTATCATTTTGATAGGTTGATTCAGGGAAATGCCCTCTCTCTAAAAGAGATAGGTTCCCAATATAGCCGAGCTTTCTAGAGGTTTGTGATAGATCGTTCTCAGAGGCGTCTATGTTATTTGTGAGGTCGCGCTCGCTGCGATTGAGGTCCTTCGAGCTTTTCTTGCTAGCATCAGTGCTGTTCCACGCCTCATATTTAGACGACCACTTGAGTGGTCGCACGTATCCGGGGCAGTCGAATGCCCTACGAGTGCATTGGTTACAGTGTGGCAAAGCCTCATCGCACTTGATCTTTCTTTGCTTGCAACGAAGACAGCCGCCTAGGTCAAAGAGAGTTAGCCTCGTGGTCTGATCTGTGATATGGAAGTTGCATCATACTGCGTGTCTTTCTTCGGGCTCGGGGTATCTGCCGAGCTTCGGACATTTTGAGATCTTGGTCGCACAGCAAAGTGCAACGGGAGAAGGTCGGATAGTTCCCCGCAGCTTCGGAATCGCGTATTTCCAACGCACCTAAACGACCGTCAACTTGGATCTCAGCAGGGATTGAAGAAATGTCTAAAAGCCAGATAGCTGCCAAAGGTGATACTATCAACGGTAAGTGGCAATCCAATCGCATTTCCACCGCGCTTTTTGCCCAAAGTCGGCCTAGTTGCGAGCGGACCATTTCCGTTCCTTCTCCGCTTCCCCGCGTGGATTGATTGATAGCCAAGACGGAAATGCTGCGCATCTCGGATCACGTCTTGGTGCCTTGATGCGCGTAGCCCTAAAGATCATGGCTATCAGATGTGGACGTTTTCAAAAGTCCGCCCAGAAATCTTTCCAGACAACTCTGGCTAGGACCCACCGGCTGAGATTCCGTTCATCCAACAAGGTTGGAAGGGTCGTATAATAATACGAAATTCTGGATGGAAACAAAGTGAGGTATTTATTCTTCGATTAATTCTTTCTCCCAAGTCTAGGTTTCATCAACGTCTCATGAATGTTGATAATGCCTCCTCCTGCGCGCGATGCTCTTTGGCAAACCCAGTTGCCACAGTTGGAGTTGCTTCACGACTCGTGAATAGCAACCAACGACCCTTGTGCCGGTCCATCGTATCGAGGATTGTCTCCATGCGAATCTTGGCAAATGACCACAGTTCATCATTCAACGATTCCTCCTGACACCAAACAACGTCTGAGGCATTTGGGTACCATTTGGGGTTATCCCCGGCCTTCTCCCAGGGGGAAGGGGCGCAGATACTCATTGCGGGTCATGGCAGTGTCTGTAATACCATGCGTTTCGCGATACTTTTCCAAAGCAGAGTATACCTGCTCTGCGCAATAGATAACACGCTAGATCTCGGAAGGCTCAGCAATTCAAATACGATGAGCTGGATCTGCAAGGAGAGGCTGGAAGCGGGATATTCCCGTGAAATCCTCAATATTTGATCTGACCGAGGGATGACGCAGAAGTGACTGTGAGAACAATAGATTCAATGCTATATCAACGTATTGTTGTTAGCTTGGGGTTACGAAAAGGCTCAAAGACAGGACTTACGCTTGCGGAAGGCTCGGTGTATCTGTCGACGTAGTACATGGAAAAGATTCGCTGGAGTGGTCATGTAGACTACCTGCATATTGCATATTAGCATCCTGATGCTGTCTCTCAAGCTGCTGTACTGTTGGGAAGGAACGGCCATCCTCGCCACACAGTTGCAAGAAGCGTTCCGTACGCGCTGAGGAGTGCCCGGGTCCTTGGCCATCAAATCCCTTAGGCAACGACAACACAAGTCCAGAATCTCATGAGCCACCTGTTCTCAGCAGACGAGACAAACTGGTCGATGATACATTGGCCGCTGTTGGCAAAATCTCCAAGCTGCGCTTCCCACATCCCCAGGGCATTTGGGGACATGCAAGAATATCCGTAGTCAATTCCCATGACACCATATTCGCTCGGTGAGAAATTGTCGCCCGTGAACTCAGCCTGCGTAAGACTGAGATCGTTTAATGGCATATAAGTTGAGCCGGTATGTTGATCAGGGAGGTTGGCGTGACACTGGGAGAAAGCTCCTCGTTCCACATCCTGTCCAAAAACGCGAACATGATGGCCTCCTAAACACAGAATTTCCATTTTCAAGGCCTCGGCAGTGGCCCAGTCAATATCTTGGCCTTCAAGCAGGCTTTGTTAGCGTTTTTGAAGGATCCGTTACGGGCTCTGTTGCACCTGGAAAGGCTGCTCTGGAACCCTAAATCTTCCGGCCATGATATTCACAACGTTCCGAGTGATCGCTGTTGCCTTTGCAGGAAAAATCCCTCGACCAACTTCAGTCGGTGTTTTCATACTAGTCCATGGCGCCCGACCCTTGGAGTTGAGCCCAATCTTCCAGACACAATGCAAGTTTTCAATAATCTCACGAGCCAGTCGGCATCACTCAAGAATGCCATATAACCCTGAAATACCTGATGTGTGAGGGTCGTCGGGTTGCCCTTCCGACGACACTCGCTATAAGCACCGTGAAAATTGAGTCCCTTATACAAGCTCTAGTCGCTTAAAAAAAATTACCCAGGCCCAGTTGATAAAGAACAACCAAACGGCTCGTTTATTCCAGTCAAATATTTCTTATGTCTATGGAGCAGCCAGAGGGGTGGTCGGCGTCATCATCCTCACTTCGGCATACCGACAAGATGCCGGCCATTGTAGAAAAGTCGGATCTTTCTCCAAGACTTGCTTTATACGACCATAATCGTACAGTCCACTGGTCAATGCGAGCGTTTTGGGAGGATTAAGTGCTTTCTTTCGAATCATTCGACGCAATAATCTCCGCAAGCTTAAGATGGCCATTTCTCTCCGCGGCCAATTGAGCAGTCTGACCCGACTGATCTTGGTAATTGATACTTGCTCCATGTTGAAGGAGATAGCGAGTAATCTGCTCATTTCCACCCGTCGCAGCTATAATCAGAGCCGATTGCCGTGAAGAGTTTAAGTTTGTCGACTCATCACCGATGTCATCAATGTCTGCTCCATGCTTGTGCAGGAACTGGACCGCGTCAAATCTACCCGTGCGAGCCGATTCTCTCAAAGCCCCAGAGCCCTTGACCAAGGCTCCCCTTTCCACTAGAAAGCAAATGCGCTGCATAGCAATGTCTAGTCTTCAAATAAGCTTACAGAACAAGATCGAATAAACGAACGCGGGTGACATACCATCATCAATATCAGCGCGGACTGTTGCTCTGATAGGGCTTTGCTCGGGAAAGTTTTCATTGATGTCTGCCCCGAGACCAAGCAGATAATCAATGTAATGAAGATTCCCATGCAGAAGTGCCACTTTAACCTGCGTATTACCTAGCCGACTGCCTCGGGGGCCCTTGGGTTCTTCTCTGGCGGAAAATCCCGGTTCACGTTGACGAATTGCTTCTGCTAGACGCAAAGAGCCCTGTCGAGCTGCTGATTTCACTGTCTCCCATGGAACCTGAACATTTTGCTGCTTCATAAAGCCATCCCACAGATACTCGAACACCTCAACGCGTCCAGCCTCTGAGGCGGTGTTCAGCAAACGAGTAAGGAAATGGTTGAAAGAGATAGTTTGCCGTGTGCCTGAATCAGCAGTATGAAGTTGAATCTGTCCATCTTTTAAGACTTCTGGGAGTTCTTTGGTAAAGAATTCCTCGATATCCTGCAAGTTTCCTTGAGAACACCATGTTGTGAGGGTTACCAGCTCCACCATCGCGAGGAGGCAGGACTTTCAATAGGTCGCTTTAGCATGGCTGGTGATCTACTAAAATCTGGGCCCGAGAATAGACTGACACACCTTTCTGAACAGAAATAGGTTCTACTAACCCCAGGCTGGATGATTGGAGAATCTCAATACTGCGTGTGACGATGCCAATCGTTTTAAAGTGAGAGACGAGAGGCGGGTAAGCCGCAAAGGTACGTCGCGTTGACTTCCTCAAAAGGATGGTGAAGTAATATTATTTTGACCGCTCTCTGAGAATTTCTTACAGCCAAGTGGATAAAATATGGTCATGGCAGTTAACACATGGGTCGGTCTACAGCAACTGCTGGACATGTTTTTGGCCCGTAAGCTTGACATCAAGTCAGATGTGGATCTCGCCCCTTAGTGGGACGGCGTCTCATCATGGACCATGAAACGACGTAAAGATATTTAGTTACTTCTTCTCGTCAGCTTGTTTACTTCAGAGAATCAAGCTAATGAGCGAGTAATAATTACTTGCTGATATATTACAGCTCTATGGAGTTAAATGACAGATGGTATAAGATCTCGAGGACCATTCACTGTTGCTGCATATCTCTATGTCCGGGTCTAAAACCCTACGCATTAATCTCCTGTGAGGATGATGGAATGTAATCTGCAACGCTCTTACCATGAGTAGAGGGGTATTTCCTGTTTACCAGCCCCCACCGATCATACCCGACCGTTTCATAGAAGCCCGGTTAGCACTGGCTGGAAGCGTTATGGGTACAGCATCCATGGCAAGATCAGAAAGATAAGTTCGAGGGTATTGAGTATCCTAAATATACATCGGTCAAAAAGAATTTGAGGATAAATGCTTTCAAGCCTTGTCAGTGAACTTACGGTAGTCACATCCCATTCAATGTTAGTGACAAATTTTCTGCCTTGTTTGTAGAAACTGATAATCTGATTCACGTTCGTGTTTCGCATGAGCATCGGGAGTTCTACATAGGCCCAGACTTCGCCGACAGTAGCTTCTCCATCATGAGCGGGATCCTCTGGAAGAAAGGTTCAGTAAACAATGCAATGGGTTGGAATACATAGATGACTGACCATCTAGGGGCGTTTGTGATGCAGGAGAGAAGATGGTCCTGCAACCTGCAGGATTAAGGTAGACATAGGCCTTTCCATTGGTGGCGCCAGCAGCCAGGGCTAAAGGAAAAGATTAGATAGATGTCCATATCAGTAGATTCGACTGCAAACCTTTGCTAGCTCGGTAAATTGATCGCCAGTAGAGATTGTTTTGGTTGCTAGTATCAATTCCCATCTCGTTCGTGAGGTAGTTGTTATCAAAGACGTCTTTGAAGATCTTGCCGTGATTATCCAACCGAGTCTCTGACTCGATGAACTCATAGATATTGTCATAGTCATCCTCCGTCATAGTTCCTCCAGTCCAGAAAACACCGACGCGATCCTCTGAACTGAATTTGTTGACGTAGTAGTCGATAAGGTACTTCACGTATGGAACGCCGTTTGTGTCTTTGCCATCCTTTTGGCCATCGCCAGAGGTCATATCTGTCCAGGCAACTTGTCCATCTATGATATATTAGAGCCCGAGTTAGTCAAGAAATTGAACCATCCAATAGCACAGATTGAGAGTTTCTCTCTTACTAAAATCATCTCCTCGCGGCAGCAAAGCATTCAGATGAGAGCTAAGCGGAATTGCAGAGCTGACCGTGGCCTGTAGACAAAAGGAGATGGCAACCACAGAGAACAATTGGCTCAAAGACAACAGCATTTTGCCGTTTGATGCAGGTTAACTGATGATTGAAAATGACCTGACAATTACTTCCTAATGTGTGGGAGCAGCATCTACCTTAAATACCGCCGTATGGTCCGTAATATGGGGCCAAAGGAAGCAGTTCCAAAAACTTGGTACTGCAGGGCACATTATACTTAATTCATCTCTAGATACTAATCCCGGAGGCCCGAATCAATCCTAAAAAAATTGCTGCTTACAGTGGTTTCCGAGATTATTATGCCGAATTCAAGGAGCAGCCAACTCCATTGACCTCGTTTGAAGTAGCCCCTTACAGCCTCTTCAAGCCTTGTCAAACGTGAAATCTAGATCTTCTGTCTTTGGATCTTGTTATTCCTAACAAGCCCAGAAAATTAGCACGCGCGACAAACTCGGCTTAATTGGGATTGCTCCTGCTTCAATCTCTATAAGTCCTCTTGACTGGATTTCAAATGAACTTCATTGATGATACAGCAGGAGACAGCCTGAGAGATAATTTTAGAGCTATCTTGGTTAATATTTCAAGAGACCTCTAGAAAAATCTTTCATAAGAGCGGTAGTTAAAGTGTATTTATCCGGACCTCTCTTAGGTTGAGAAGCAAAGTGATCAGTAATAAGATCCTCTTTTTTCGAAGGAACATCGGCAACCATCAAGTGAGTTTTGAGAAATTTCACCTTTAGCGTTATGTACAGAAGTTGAAAGAGGTAGAGGATTTGCGTGAGTGGAGCATATTGACCTCGCTAGCCCCTTTATCTAGAAACCGCCCCATTCAGGTATGTTTCTCCCATTGGGGTCCAATGTAAGCACTTGTTGGGAGCTCGGGGGCCAAATGGGCGGCTCGTACAAGTTATTCCTCTTAGTGAACATAAAGAGTGAGTATCGTGACTTTGCCACTATATATGGCGATCTCTCTGTTTACAAGCAAGGTGTATGTTGTGAACATTACTTTATCTCTCAGATGTGAGTGTGTAGCATGAAGCTAGAACTTCAAACAAAGGAACAACTGTAAGAGAATACAGTCTGGATCTTACTAAAAATTGTCTCCTATCCATGCCCCTTTGATCTATGAACAATCTAGCACAAAGTTCACTATCCTATCGCATCGCTCGACCATTATACCCAAATCGCCAAGCTATGTTAGTTGTCATGATAACATCGTCAAAAGTCTATCCCGTTGGGTTGGCTATAAGTTGTGCTAGATTGACGGAGAGGATCGCGAGCGTTGGTACCTCATACAACATCTGAGAGGACTGATTCAAGGCGACAATGGCTGTCGTGCTTTTGATGTCCACTGCAAGGCGCAGAGGCATTTCTAGCCTAATGGAATCACTCGCTGATGACCGCGCACCACGATCTACTATCTTCTCTAAAGATTTTATTCGATCTAGTGGTCTATAACTCAAAGCATCTAGAAACTAGCCTCTAGCCCTACACTCCTTGATATCGCGGGTGGCCATTTCAGCCGCTGAGAATTCGCCAGCAAAGGCACTCTTCCCGGGTCCGTGATTGCACAGTCTGCGTACATTGCGCGCCAATATGCGACCCTAAGGGTTTCTCACAGAGAATATGGGATGCAAGAGCAACATTCCAGATTAGAGATTCCCGTAGTGGACTTGTCGAGGACATCCCATTAAGTAGTCGATCTACTGCCCGCCCAGCCCTGAGAGCTTCCCCGTACATGATTCAGTCGTCACGCCGCTTTGGACTCCAACTACGCTAAATGGGGGCGACTAGTTGTTCATCTCTATGATTGACGATGCTAGCTATCATCTTGGGAATCTAGAACTGCTAGGAATTGCCTGGAAGGACTTACTTGTTCGACTATCCCTTTGCGGTGGTAGGATTAAACCGTGCGATATGATATATCCCAAGCCTGCAGGTCGTGTGCAATCGACTTGTGAGCAGAGGGCCTGAGTCGGAATAAGGATAATTACTTGGCTTGTATCTTACCATCCAGTCAAAAGCTACTCACTTGCAAGACTACAAAGAGACATCGCCTTAAATGGTACAGCTACGTAGATTACAAAATGAATCGCAAGTCATACCATAGCCTATCCGCTGCAGATAGGAATCTTCTTTTTGGTATTTAGTGTACTCAGAAAATTCCGTGAAGATGTCAGGGACATCGAGATAACTAAGATGTCCGTCTGGAAAACAAAGGGATGGCGCACAGAGATAAGATAGTAAGGCGGTTTGAAGACGAGAATTAAGAGAGCAGAGAAGATAGAAGACGGAAATTTTTTTTCGAGGTTTGAAGGGTACAATCGAGGGGTAAAGATCAGGGTGAAAGGTTAAAGGTAGGGGGGGCATCGCAATTAGAGCATGGCAGATGAAAAGGTGAAGCTGGAGAGCGAGTATCAAGAACAGTGTAAACTGCCCCTGAATTCGGATACTTGGCGGCGAAAGGGAGACTGGGGGTTTTTGGACGGAGAAGGTCGAGAACGAGGTAGAGACAGAGGAGGGTGATGACTCGTTAGGGGAAGAGCATGAAGCAGCGACCGAAGATCGAGCCATTGGATCGATTTTCCAAATTGCAATTGCGTTCCACGCATACTACTAGATCGATGGAACGACGCCTGGCCTGGTTTCCTGGTGACGTGGACCCGTCCATTGCTGTGAAAGTTTGCCCTCTGGGAGATTTGAAGCAACGCATCGGAGGAAGGGAGTACATCAAAGGGAAAGATAAGAGGTGGAGGTGGGGAAAACAGGGTAAAAAGGGAATAAGAAAGAAGATGGAAAACACAAAAGATGGAGAAGAAGAAGAAAGAAAAAAAAATAAAAATAAAGGGAAGCTCGCTTGCACATGACCGCCGCTGATCATGACCGACAGTCTGAAGTCGTAAGGTTCAATAAAAAACACAAAAGAAACCGTGCAAGCGGTCCCAATTCGACTCCCTACCAACATCCGAAAGAAAGAAAGGACCGAATTACTCCTGGGGCAGCTGGCTGCGGCGAGTCTTCTCGGCTTCGAGGTTCTCATAGAGAAGGTACAAGGCCTTCTCGTTGGCGGAGGCACTACCCATGATCGTGAACATGCGCTCGCCAGTCTCGTCGTGAGGGGCCTTAGCGATCGAGATGCGGGCTCCAGAGCTCCGGCGGATCTCGGTGATCTTGCTGCCAGCGCGGCCAATGATGCAGCCAACCATGTCGGCGGGAATGCTGATGTTTTGAGTCTGAATTTCATCGCCGTCTTCGGTAACCAGGGGGTAGCCGCGAGAACCACCACCGGTACCAGCGTCGGAGTTGGAACGGCGGCTGTAGCCACCATTGTCACTGAAGTCAGCTCCGTTACCAGTGCGGTTGTACTGGCGGCTGGTGTAACCATTGCCAGTGCTGGCGGAGTTGTTGTTCTGCTGAACGGGCTGAGAACCGCCCAGAGATGCACGAACGGCGGGGTTGTAGAGAACGGTGCCCGTGCCACGCTGCCAGTCATCGATCAGGCACTTTCCAATCTCCCAAACAGCCTTCTCAATACCCTCGGGGGTGCCCTGCACCTCAACAATCCGCTCGGTAGACTGAGGAAGCATTTCCTTCTGGGCGACCATGCGGACACCGGATGCATCCTGGATGTGCTTAATCTTCAGGCCCTGACGGCCGATGATGGTGCCCATCTGGTTGTGAGAGATGAGGAGTCGGACGGCTTTAGGAAAGTTAGCACGTGATATGGGTCTCATGCGGGCTGGAGAATTGAGGCTTGACTGATGTGACTGTGGTTTCACATGTGCCGATGAAGCTCTCTGGGGGAGAGGAGTGCTTGAATCCTGGGGAAGAGTAGAGGGGCCTTTAAATGACTTACGGTGGGTCCCATTGTTGGAGACGACGCCACCCATACCCATCTGCGGAGCACCTTCGAGGAGACCCTTCGCAACGATCGCGTAGGCACGAGCAGTGCCTTGGAGAGGGCCGGTCACGGTTAGGACCCGGTCGTGGACGCCGGGGACGACCTTGCTAACACCAGCCTTGACGCCAGTCTCGTCGCGCAGGTCTGCGACGTTCTTACCAGCCTTGCCAATGATAACACCAGCTTCCTTGGACGAGACAATAGCACGCAGAGTCAGCATCGACTGCGCGTACTCTTCCTCCGTCTTTGGGGTGGCATCCATGGGCTCCTGCTCGCCGATGGTGTCCACGTAGGCATCGGTCATGGGCTCATCAGCCGAAACGGTAGTTTGGTGAACTTCAGTAGCCTCCATCTTTTTGATTGAACGAGGATCTGAAAGAAACGGTTCAGGGTTGTTGAATGAATTTTGAGAGGGGAGGGGAGCGTTCGTCGGAAGTCACACGGTCGCGGCGGAGTGGGATAGCGGGGAGGTTCACTGGGTGGGATCAGAATCAGCTTCGGCAGACAAAGTTGAGGAAGCGCTGCGCCAGAGTAGATTCTGCGATCGTAATAGATTACCCCACCAGGCTTTTTCAGAAAGCCCTAGCGACAGGACGTGGATGGGTGGTGACCTACCGAAGAGGGTCCGACAGAAGTGGAGAAATCGTGGGTGAGAGAAGAGGGGAAGGCGACGGGGGTGCGCAGGAAGGAAGGAGATCGAGGAAGAGGGGGGAAGAGAGAAAAAGAACAGGAGGGAGGGGATGACGGGAAAGGGACGGGGAAGTGAGAAGGATGAGGAGGCGAGGGAGGGGGGAGTAAGATGGTGAAGGTGATGAAGAGGGACGTCGTGAAAGAGTTCGAAGAGGGAATGTTGCGAATTAAGCGGAGAGACGCCAGTTGACCCGCCCGCCATGCACCGCCCTGACGTCGACTTTACTAACTTACATATACTCGCCTCTTAAACGACTGACATTAATGTTTCTTGTAATCGTGATCTATAGATCTAATGTGTTTCTGATTTACATTTGATTTTTTTTTCTATGTATGCCAAGATCAAGATCGTTCTTCGAGGCTTGAGTGCAGGTGAGCGTACAAGGAGTTCTTAGTCATTCTGCCAAGCATCCCGCCGTCCACAATGATTATTTCGTCGAGGGGCGTTGGCTTGACTTGCAGGGACTTGAACCATGCAAGTGGGCTGCTAGCGATGAATCTATGAAGAAGTGGCATGGCTTAATCTATTGATCCGCCACAAACACTACCTTTTGCACCTTCATGGCATTGAACAGCTCGTAAGCCTCCACCGCTTGGGAGAGAGGCATCATTTTCTCGGTCATGAATCTGGCAAAGATGAGCAAGACTGGGTTAGCAATGAAAGTGTAGCCGGCCTCAAATGATAATCTCCATAAAACACTCACCCGAGCTTGTGCTGGTTCTTCTTCAGGACCTCCAGGGCCTTGTCAGAGACCGACCGGACGGGGCAACGGCCCATCTGGACGGTGAGGTTCTTGTTGTAGGCATCGTTGCCATCCCAAGGGATCTATCGCATTTCCCCGATGATCAGTAACTTCACTTGTAACCCTGGCTGGCCTGATCAAGGACTTGAGACTCACCTCAGCGTTGTGGACTCCAACGCTGCTAATGGTTCCCCACGGCCGCAGCAAGTCATAGGCTGTGCGCAGCGCAGGACTCAACCCCACAACTTCAATCGCGGCATCAGCACCCCGGCCCTCGGTCAACTCCAGAACGCGCTTATCCAGACCGGCACGGTCAGTCATGAAGTTCCATGGCTCGGCACCGAGAGACTTGGCCAGCTCCAGTCTCGAGGGGACAGAGTCGATGGCCAGAAGATGCTTGGGCTTGTACTCCAGCGCATTGATTAGCGCACAGAGACCGACGGGACCACAACCGATCAGGACAACGGTCTGTTCAGCAATTTGCTCTGGGGTGGAGTTCTTGAATGCATTGTAGGCAGCAAAGTATCCCGTGGGGAAGATGTCACCCATCAGGACGAGGTACTGGTCCTCGACGCCCTCGGGGGCTTTCAAGACAGTGCCCTCGGCATTGGGGACACGAACCTGAATGCTCATTAGTCAATTTTCTTTTCACCCTCAATGAATGAGTTCAGCGCACATATTGAGCCTGTCCACCATCCAGGCGCTCGCATCCGAAGAGAGTGTTCTTCTCGCAGCGTGACGAGAACCCTTGCTTGCAGTAGAAGCACTTTCCACTGCGAACATGTTATGTTAGAACCCGTACCAATCATCGAAAGCTATTGGTATTACACTGCATTTCGACAGATACATACCACGAAGTAGTAAAAGCGCTGACCACGCGGTCCCCCTTCTGCAAAGTCGTCACAGCAGAACCAATCTCAACAATTTCACCCATGAACTCATGGCCCATAATAGGTCCGGCAGGACTAGGCTCAATGCCACGATAAACGTGCAAGTCACTATTCTTGCGCTTCAGTAATGAGTCACCTTACACGGGGATCTATAGTCCCAAAATACTCACCTTCCACAGAGCGCTGTGTATCGCACCTTGACAACGATGTCCTCAGGATCCTGCACAGTGGGAACAGGTCGCTGCTCAACCGCCACCTTGAATGGCTCCTTGAAGACCACAGCCTGCATGGTACCAGTAGTCGCCATTTTTTTCTTGTTTCTTAGTTGGGTCCGTGGGGCAATGTCTTAGCACTGAATCGAGGCGTCCTACTTGCAGAATGCGGGAACGGGTTGGAGGGGTACGCTCGGATCCAACCGAGCCTAGCGAAAAGTCAACCCCCACCGAATGTTCGAGGAATCGAACGACCCGGAGCTCTGCCGGTGCCGAGTCGGGACCCGGCATTGGAGTCTGTGAGGTGGGTCTGATAACGTACGGGTGCGGTTTAACTAGGGCTCTATGAGAGGCCGATTGGAGCGTTCCATTTATTGATTTATTGGTTCTATATCTGTCGCTGGGACTTGCGTGGAATTGATCAATGGAGGGCTTTGAGACGCTATAGGAAATGTGGGAGAGTGTGCGCGAAGAAAGGGAAATTTGTTAGTATGAGCTTCCCTCTACATCAAGTTGCTGACTATGGCAAGCACCTTATAGACTCGAAAGATGATTGATTAACCATAGGTAAATGGAAGGTGAACCTTTTTTACGCAGCCCATCAGTATAGTTACGCTCATCATACCTTATTGCTTCTTTGATCACGGGAAAGATGAATCCCAATCACGAGTTCACTAAATGCATGATAGAAGCTCCAGGCTGAGAGATGATCACCAATCATAAATTCCAGAATCAGAGCCCTTCATAGTACCAAGAGCCCTTTCATAGAAAAAGGCTACGCTCGTCATTTAAGGAAACAAAATTCACACTTCAAAATAAACCAGAACAGAAAAAAATCAAGGGGCCTTTGCCTAATGCCTATCAAAACCACTGGAGCTGATAACAACGATAGCTAGAATAACGGCTGGGGCAATCAATCTGGTCGCAATAAATGCACATGGCAAAGGAAGAAAGGGACATTGTCGCTGGAGCACATGATCATAAGCGCAACGGTTAAAAGTGGAGATTAGGACGTATGCAATGCTCAAGGAGAACCCCCCTAGCACACAATGCAGAGCAGTTCTTCCTCCAGAATGAACTTCCCCTCCTTATATTTCTCGCTACTCTCGTAGGCCTTATCGTACTTCCAACCCACGGTCTCCTTGCACTGTCGGCAGGCGATGTCGCGGACGATGTGGCGACCGGTCGTCATACTGCGCTCGACGGCATCGGACTGGGTGATATTCACGACGGTATTGAAGAGGTAGGCCTTGCCATGTTGACCACGGAAGTTCTAACAGCAAGCAGGTATCGTGTCAGCAGGTTCAAGGTACCGGTAGAACGAGGATGGCACGGTGCTTCAATGGCTTGATAAAAGAATGCTCACTCGACTGATGATATCATTGTAGTCGGCAAGGTGCGTCTTGCATTGCTTGCAGCCAAAGATCTTGTTGGAGGTCAGATAGACATTGTACGAGAGACCCATGGTGGCTGGTTGGGGAGAGGTGTTGGTGGTGAACAGGTGAGTGCTGAAGCTCTTCGGTGTGGGGGTAAGCAGCAGGGGTGTATGTTTAGGGACGGAATAGAGGCAAAGGCAGAAGAAAGAGGCAGGTGCAAAACACAAGTTTAACTAAGCGAATCCAGCGCCTAAATGGTTATAGCATGCGAAGCTTTTCTTTCAAGACTTCCCCTCAAAGGCAGAGGCGTTGGCGTCTCCGATGGGGTTTTAGACTCATGAAAGATTGCTCTGCTCTGGTAGTGCCTTGCAAGAACCCAGGCTAGCGCGTGTTAAGAGCTTTGTCTTGAGCTTGGAGATTTCTCGTCTCAACACCGACCGGGGCGTTGGAAATTCGAGGACGTCTGGAAAAATCGAGGGACTCAAGCTTGGGGAAGCCTGACGAGTTACTGACGATAAGATCTCCACACGATGGATGGTCGGGTGGGAGAGTCGGGATTCACGGAAGAAAGGGGCAGGAGCCAGCAGCCCCCTTAGTCTCGTCCCGGGAGGAGTCTGTGATTCTGCACCACGAAGCTTTATAGAATGAGCCACCGGGGACAAGAGTACAGTTGGGGAAGGTTGAGGAAAGAGGTTGAGGAGAGGGGGTCTTAAACCACCGTCACAGATGCCTCAGGCGCGGCGCCCCGCATCGGGTGTGATCAGCCGGTGGCCTGGACGCGTGGTTGCGTGGATGCGCCAGCTGATAGCTATGCGGCTCCATTGACCCCGGCCAGGCAACAGTGTCGATCAGCGCGCAGGGAATATACAAGGCAATATGCATGGAGAACATCAAATGGTGTGTCTATTTTGCGTAAATTCAATTATATCCCTGTACAAAGCGCCAGTAAAATGTGCTCCTGCATGCTTGATGCCCATATTACACAAAAGGTCTCAGCTGCATTGCCTCAATCACCATAAAAAATCGTCCTACAAGCTCAACAGGATCACTCATAGTCCCTCAAGTACCGGCCCGGTAGCTCGACATCCCACATCGGCCTCTCCACCACGGCCACCTCCAAAGTCCCGAGTGGGCTCTGATCGTCCTCCTCCAAGTCATCGCCCGACACGCCGCCTAGGGGAACGATTCCGAGAATGTCACGGTACTTATATGTGTGCCACCAGCGGCGTGGAGGCTGAGAGACGGTGCCATTTGCTGCCGCAAGCTGCTTCTTCGGGGTGTCTGCAGCCCCATTAACGCCGGCGATCAATTTGCCCTTAGAGCTCTTTTGGGGAGTTCCGAGTTCCAGGGTGGTACCGTCCTCGCGTCGAAGACGGGCCAGGGCGGTTTGGTTGGTTGCAGCAAAGGTTTCGTCGTACTCGTAAGCCTCGTCATCCTCAGG